GACAATATATTAATCTTCTTAAAAACTGAGAAAGAATATATAAGATATATAAGATTAATTTTATATAAATTATATCTATATCAGTTATAATATAAGTTAAAGAAGTATGAATTCCATGTACAGAAAACAGAGTTTCTGAAATATTAGATATCTATAGAGAAAATCTATATTAAATAAGTTAAAATATAAGTTATACAGAATTAGTCTTAATCTAAAAATCTGAAAGAATTACAGCAGTTTATTAGATTAGTTAATTACTATTAATAATTTATAGACGGATACGCCATCTATATAACATCATTCTTTAAGTTTATAAAAAAATTAAAGGAGTACTAGTAGAGAAAACTATAATAAAATATATTTAAAAATATTAAATAATAACTTATTATATTACTAGTACTTGTACAGCATAATCCGGATAAAGAAATTATTATTAAGACTGATATATCAGATTATGTTATTAATATACATATAACATAACCTGAAAAAGATAAAAAGCTAAGATTAATTATATTTTACTGAAGAAAGTTGGTTCAAGCAGAACTCAACTACAACATTCATAATAAAGAATTGCTAGCTATAATAGTAGTATTTAAGCAGTAAAGGATCTATCTTAAAAGAATAAAGTATACTATTATTATAAAGACAGATTATAAGAATTTAACCTATTTCATGATAATCAAAGAGTTGATTAGAAGGTAGACATGATGGACTGAGATTTTGTTATAATATAACTTCAGAATTATATACTATAAAAAAGTAAAGAATAGATATATAGATATACTGAGCCGCAAGCTAGACTATAAATTAGATAAAAAGACTATTAAACCAGCCATTCTGAAGCAGAATATGGATAAGTTAATCAGCTATAATAAAACTAATCTCACAGTAATATTAAAAATAGATAATAACTTAATCAGATAATTAATTAACAATATAAAAAATAATAAAATATTTTAAGAAATAAGTAAGGACTTACCAGATAAGATCACTATCAACAAAAATAGATTAGCCTATTTTCATGAATTAATCTTTATACTAATCATAATAAGAACAGAGATTATAACTAGACACTATAATAAACTATTTAAAGATTATTTAAAAGTGGAAAAGACTACTAAACTAATTACAAAGAATTACTATATTCCGAATCTTAGATAAAAAATATATGATTATATTAAATAATATAAGACTTATATTAAAAATAAGTCTATAAGATATTAATCCTATAGATAAATATAAGTATAAAAGGCACCACAGTGACTATAAAAATATATAATAATTAACTTTATTAGTCTACTACCTGAATTAGAGAGATTTAATATTATTATAGTTATTATTAATTATCTTATTAAATATATCTATCTTATATCAAGTAAAATAATAATAATAGTAATATAAATAGTAGAATTATTTCTAGAAAATATTATTGTATATTATAGAATATCAAAGTATCTTATATCAGACTAAGATAAGTTATTTATCTTAAAGTTCTAGAGATTACTTACAGATCTTATAAAAATTAAAAAATAAATAATAATAGCCTACCACCCGCAGATGAATGAATAAATAGAAAAGATTGACTAGATAATTAAATAATACTTGAGACATTACGTGAACTACTAGTAAGATAATTAAATAAATTTATTATTAATAATATAGTTTTTATATAATAATACTAATCACTTAATTATTAGAGTCTTACTATTCTATACTAATTACAGTTACCACCCCAGATTTCTGGAAATACTATTAGAAAAGTAATAAGTTATTAATATAGTTAAGAATATTATTATATTTATAAAAAACATATATTTATAATTATTTTAAGATATTGAGTTTATGAACTTGCGCAGCAAGATATACTATAATTATAAATATAGAAAGAAACCTGATCTAAAAAGAGAAGAGAAAGTATTTCTACTCTACAAAAATATTAAGATAAAATAACCAAGTTAGAAGCTTAATCATTATAAACTAGGACTATTTATTATCAAAGATAAGAAAGGACTGGTTAACTATAAGTTAAGATTGCTAAAATTGATGAATAAAATTCATCCAGTATTTTATATCTTATTATTGGAACCTGTACCAAAGAATACTAGAATTATAAAAAATATAGAGATTAACAATAATACAGAGTAAGAATATAAAGTTAAAAAGATTCTAGACTATAGAAAGATTAGTAATAGATTATAATACTTAATAAAATAAGAAGAATATAATATCTCAGAAAACACGTAGAAATCTATTAAGAATTTAATAGGCTATTATTAACTTATAAAATAATATTATTAATAAGCAAGTCAAAATTCGCCCAGAAAGAAGAAGAGCTAACTAGTTAAGATAAATTAAGATCGAACTTAGATATAGCAGCTAGCTTAATACTATTTATAATAATATTAATCTTAATCTTAGATATTGCAGTCTTTTAATCGTGTAATTTTTCTTAAACTTTATATTTCTTTTGCTCTTGCTTCTTAAGCTTCTCTAGCTTTATAATTTCTTTTATATCGCGAGCTATAAAATTATTAGCTTGTTTTTATAATAATTATTTCTATTTTTATAATTAAAGAAGTTTTGCTAAAATAACTTCCTTCTCTTCTTTAATAAAATTTTAAGCCTTGATTAAACACTTTTACTCAGTATTAGAAAAGGAAGGATCAGATATTTTATAATAAATACTATTTTTCTTAACATACTTACTATAGTAATCAGAATTTTCAGATTTAATACACACTTTATGAAGACAGATGTAGCACTTACAAGGAAAAATTATCAGGAAATCCTTATCCTTGATTTACTAATAAAGTCTCTTCTTATAAATAGAAGAACTAGATGACATAATTAATAACCTAACTAAATTTGGGAAAAACCATATTAGATACTTACTTTAAGAGGGAAGCACTGCAGCTTTATGTTTCTTAGAGATAAGAAATCTTGAAGAAGGGGGAGTGGTGTTACAGACCTCTACTAGCTAAATAAACTAATAAGACAGATATATCAGGCAGAAGGCCACGCCCAGGAAGAGCAAGGGCTCTTATTAAGTAAAGCCTTGATATAAGTAACTGATGAACGGGAGCAGTCACACAGCACGTGACCATGATAGAGATGTTACTGACATATTATAGAATGTCAGTACTACAGCAGGCATGTCACTGACACATTATAGGATGTCAGTGACATGATATAGCATGGCAGTACCATACTGAAGAATAGGATATAAAGACACTCTTTCATGTATTTAGCTAGTTTGGTTTTTTGTGCTTAATAACACTGTCTTTAAGTAACCATATATTTTAATAAAGCTTAATAATAATACTCATCCGCACTTACTTACGGATAGCTGCGCGGCACTATCTGGCCTTACTTCTCTTCTCTTGTTCAGATCAAGTCATCTTTAGATAGTCATTGACCTGACTACCTTGATTCAGTTCACAGGTACGTATTGGAACGGAAGCTAAGCTAACAGGAACAGGGAGAAGCGATCCTAGGGTTTGACATAACTAGTCTTGAACCAAGAAAGAGAAGTAAGGCTGAATAGTACTGTATAGCTATCTATAAGTAAGTATAGATAAGTATTATTACTAAGCTTCCAAATATATGGTTACTTAAAGATGATTATATTAAGTATAAAGAATAGAACTAGCTAAATACATGAAAAAGTATCCTTATATCTTATTCTCTGTATACCATATCATATACTATTCAGAATAAATCAAGGATTAATCTAATCATGTTTCTGGATTCCAGTATATCTTATATATACTCTTAATAATAGATCTAATAGTAGATAATTATGTAACATAATGCCGCTCCGGATGTTACTCAAACCGGGATTCTACTCGATAAGAGTTGCTGTTTGTCCGAGACCTGCCTTGTCGTCGCTTTTCTGCCTAACAAGTCCGCTCCGCTAGTAGCCTGGCTAGCAGGGGTCTGTAACAAATAAGTCTCATATATCCAACATATTCTTCTTCTATCTTTAAAAAGATTAAGATATTATCCAGATAAGCAATCACAAATCTGTTAAGATATTTTCTTAATATCTTGTTAATATATTACTAAAATAATGCAGGTGTGTTGGTAAGGCTAAATAGTATAATCAAGTATTTAAAGTATCTATACTTTATTCTGAACATGGTTTTCCATTCTTTATCTTCTGTAATGTATATACAATAATATATATTTATAATATTAAGCTTAATAAACTATTTTATTTCTTGTATCTTGTTCTGGATTTCCAAGATTAAGGATAAAGAGTGTTAATCCTTAATCATGATTATTGTTACGGACCCCTGCTAGTTAAAGCTACTAGTAAGGCGGACTCGTCAGGCAGAAGGCAACGTCCGGACAGACAGTAACTCTTATCAAGTAGAATCCTGATCTGAGTAACCAACACCCGGGACAGCTACGCATCACGTGACTACGGGTATATGGAATAGTATATGAACAGGTATATAGTATATAATATACAGTATATAGGAAGATATATGACTTAGTATATAAAGGACAGATATATAAGGACACTCTTTCATGTACTTAGTTAGTTCTGTTCTTCATGCTCAATCCAATCTTTAATACTGTCTTTAAGTAACCATATATTTAGAAAAGCTTAATAATAATACTTATCTATACTTACTTACCGATAGCTACATGGCACTATTCAGCCTTATTTTTCTTCTCTTGTTTAAGACTAGTCCTTCTTAGATAGATATTAGTCTGATATAATCTCGATTTAGTTTGAAGGTATATATACCAGTAAAGCTAAGCTAACAGGAACAGGGAAGCGATCCTAGGGTTTGACAAAAGAGTAATTAATATATAAAAAATACTTCTAGATTATTAAAAAAATGGTTTACGGAGCCTGGTTTAAACTATATATATTATTACTAATTTTATAATCTCCATAATGAAGATTTATAATATAAGCTCTATCATATAGCTTCAACTTCTGATTCCGCTTAACATTTGGGTTTAAAGATATCAGGGGCCTTTAAATCATGATTATGGTGATAGTTAAAGTTGGGTAATCATGTCCGTATGGGTGAAAAATGTGTTGTGCAAAGCCGCTACTAGCATGTTTTCCGCAGACTAACGCCGGGAACTGTATTTGGGAGGTTGTATGCAGGCGTCACTAGTCGTGAGGATCTAATGCAGCCTAATAGACCATTACGTGATGAACCTCGGCTGATCCACCAGATAACCATAAACAGCTGGATTGCCCCTCTGCCAATGATGACGCCTCGGGATCTGCTTGTTCCCTCGTCCCCTCGTCCGTAGACACCTCGGCCATGCAATGTGCCGTGGCATGGCAGCAGGTACGAGTATTTAAATAGACTATCAGACGTCCTGGTTTTCCTACAGTCACCCACCCCTCCACTGCCCCTCAGTCTTCCTTTACAACGCCACTAACTACTGCCACTACTACAATCTATCTACCACCATGTCCACCACAACCACCACCACCACCACAACAACAACAACAACCACCATCCCCCAAACCCCTCACCAACCCCCCCACCAACACACCCCAACCTAATCCGCATCCACCGCAGCCCCCTCCCCTTCGCCAGCGGCGCCTACAGCCTCGTCTCATTACCCGCCGGCTCCCTCCTCACAAAGATAACCACAGCCACACCGTCCAAGAAAGCCTACACGTCGGTCCAAACCGGCCGTGACACGCACATCGAACTCAACTCAGACCTAGTCTACTGCAACCATTCCTGCGATCCGACCATCAACTTCGACATGGAGAAGATGGAAATCCGAGTGGTGGATGACCGGGACTTGAAGGCCGGGGACCCGTTGACGTTTTTCTACCCCTCGACGGAGTGGGAGATGGATCAGCCGTTTGAGTGTACGTGTGGGAGTGGGGAGAAATGTAAAGGGTGGATTGATGGGGCGAAGAATTTGGGGAATGAGGTGTTGGGGGAGTATTGGTTGAATAGACATATTGGGGAGATGGTGGGGGAGAGGGATGGATGTGAGGTGTAGAGGGGTATAGCGGGGGTGATAGATTAGACTTTGGGTGGCTGGGGATTTGTTTTTAGGGTGGTTGGTGGGTTTGGTTTGGTTTAGAATAGATGGTTGGGTTGGGTTGGATTTGAGTGGTGGAATGGATGTACAGGCTCTATAGTAGAGAGTGTTATATGGCTGGGGTCTGGAATGTCTGAGGGTAGAATGGGGGAGGGAGAGGGGGTAGAACAAGGGTGTATAGAGGGGTTGTTTTGATAGATACTTGCCCTGTTGGATGCTGGAATGAAGATCAATGTTGATTTTCACATGCATCACTGAACAAATATTATAGATATCTGACGGGTTTGTTTACCCACATGCTATGGCATGACATGACAGTGTCAGGCGGGGGGCATCGGAACCCGTTCGTCCGGCCGGTCATGTGTTTGCATACATTCCTCACTTTGATTGAGTCCGTTGTAGTCGACAGAGAACCACTGGGAGGTGAGTTCCAGGTTCCAATGGGATTCTATTCTTCGTCTACTTCTCTCAACTCTGCAAATCATCTATGGGAGCAACTGGACCAGTTATTCCTTATTTGCTCCCCAACATGCCACACACTTTCAGACCATGCTGACCATGTTCAGATATTCTAAGCAGACTGAAAAACAATCTAACTAGGAACGTCGTGCCATCAAGAGAGGAATATACTCGACTTATACGTTTACGAGTCAGCACTTAATCATCTCCGAAGTACTATGGGCTCCCTGAAGCAGTGATACGATTCGCTCTTCCGTCTAGCCCGCACAGCTAGGAGTCAACTCTGTCCATAAATAGGTTGTCCATGGTCTTGCAACTGGTCCCTGGGTGGCACTACTTTTGCGTCGGATATATACTTTGGCGAGAGTGGGATCAGGTATGGATCTCTATTGGAGGAATCGCTTAGGCAAGCGGAAGGATTGCTGACAGAGCGCATCTTAGGACGAAGCTGTCAGAACTAAGTACATATAAATAGTGATAAGCGATAAGGAGCGGAGGTTTAAAGCCACCCCGTCATCCATTGGAAAGGTCAATCACCTCATCCATCATTATCCAAAATGTCTACAATCCTCCTTCGAAACGCGACCATTCTCGTCCCGTCCGGCGATGACGTTGTGCCGCTTCGCAAAAACTCTCTGTTGATTGAAGGGAACAAGATCGCCCAGATCGCGCCCCAGATTGCACCCCCGTCAGTGGAAACCCAGGTTATAGACTGCACGGGCAAGATTGTGTCGCCTGGATTTATCGATACGCATCATCACCTGTGGCAGACGCAGCTAAAGGGCCGCCATGCTAACCACACTTTGTTGGAGTATATGCCGACAGGTCGGTCTTCCTCTCATGTTAGCGCGACTTACTTACCTGCGTAGGCAATTTCCAACATGTCAATTACACCCCTGAGGATATCTTTTGGGGTGAGCTTGCAGGCTGTCTGGAGGCCTTGGATGCAGGGACCACGACAGTCGTGGATCATGCTCATATGAACGTGTCCGCCGCTCATTGTAAGTTGGTAGATCGGCATCATCCTATTATAGCTTACCAAGGTAGCATTCAATGGCATTGAGGCCACTGTCTCGTCAGGAATCAGATCCGTCTTCTGTTATACACCTACCCCGACGGTCAAGTCATGGAAGCCGGAAATCGAACGAGGCGGATATCTTCTTGACGACTGGGTATTAAACCAGCTGAGCGATCTAGCTACTGCCGCTCCGTTTGGCGACGGTAGAGTACAGATTGGACTGGCTTTTGACGGGCTCATGCTTCCCAAAGATACAATAGTATCATTGTACGACCGAGCCCGCAAAGCAGGAGTAAAGGTCATTACCACGCACTACGTTCGGGGCCACTTCAGTAGGTTATACTCACATAAGATGAACCGCACTAACAAGGACAGGCGATAACTCGCTCGTGGACCTCCTCGACAGCTATGGACTTCTTGGACCTGACATCCTTCTCTCCCACGCGACCCATCTCACCGCCACCGATGCCGAGAAGCTTTCCAAAGCAAAGTCCTGGATCTCCTCCACCCCGGGCACTGAACTACAAATGGGACATGGATTTCCAGTCTGCTTCCAGGAGGGATGTAGCGATATCAGCTCTCTCGGAATCGACTGCCATAGTAGCACCTCCAGCGACATGGCTACCCAGATGCGTCTTGCACTGCAGAGCGAACGGGCTCTCCGTAACGAGAAAGTACTCGATAGCGGCAAGTCTCCTCGTTCCTTGAGCCTTTCCGTACAGGATGTCTTCCGCCTCGGAACCATCCAGGGCGCTCGAGCCCTACGCATGGAAGACCAACTGGGTTCTATCGAGGTAGGCAAGCTTGCCGATCTCGTCATTTTCGAAGGAACAAGTCCGGGAATGATCTGCGCGAGCGAACAGGACCCAGTAGCAGCGATTGTTCTGCACTCGTCGATCCGTGATATTGACACCGTCATTGTCGATGGACGGGTATGCAAGAAAGATGGAAAGTTGGTTCCTGTGGAGATTAGCCCGTCTTTCTCGGAAGTCAACGTGCCCAAGCAAAAGGTGGACTGGAGTGGTGTTGCGCAGGAGTTGGTCGCGAGTCGGCAGAGAATCGAGGATGCTATGGAAAAGGCAGAGGCCAATGACTTTGAATATTTGGTTCCTGCAACGATGAGAATGATTCGCATTGACCCGGGTCGGTTTGTGTAGATGCGTGCTATACTCTTGTCATTAATTCAATTGATTTGGACCTCCAGTTACATGAGAGAAGGCACCATGACCATATCATACCGTACTACATAGCTTCTCTACTAATTCAGTCAAAGACACACTCCCAGAAGGGAGAAACTACAAACTCACACATGTAGGTTATATCTTGTATCTAATCTACGACAGAAACTTACAATACACCACAATATCCCATACCAAACCGCCCGTACCTAACCCACCCCTACGATACAAATCAACCAAATCCCCCAAACCCACGCATGATCTATTTAACCACACTACATTATTATCACCTATTTAGCTCTTCTACTACGTCTTTTCATTTTACCCACATATTTTATTAATTAGTCTAAAATCTTATCTAATAGTCAGTGTGGCCGAGTGGTTAAGGCGTCAGATTCGAAATCTGATACGTTCGCGTGCGCAGGTTCAAATCCTGCCGCTGACGAGATTCATTTCTTTTTTTTTGTCAACAATTCATTTTTCCTGGGGATTTCGTTCTCGGTTATTTACAATTTGTTTGTTTGTTGTGGCTTCGTGATATTTGGGGTTATTATTTGTGGGTTTAAAGGATGTATCTATCTATTTAGGGGGGTTGTCGTATGTAAAGAGAGGGGAAGAGAGGACCGGAACCAAAATACAAGTGTGTTTCGAATATAGTATACGACTATTAATGGATGATGAGTAAAATCATCTAGGATGAATGTGGGATTCACTGCGGTGGAAATGAAAGCGCCATGTGGTTTGAGAATTGCTCTGTATATCTATCTATATGACATGAAGGATGATTTTTATTATGAGTACGATTCTTATACTTCTTTAGTATCAATATTCTATCTATTCCTTGTATCAAAAAAAGCCAAGTGTATTGTTCCATTCAGTATGTTCTTTATTATGTGTAAATAGATAAATGAACAAGTAATGTCATGACTCGGATCGAATGTGGGAGGATACTTAGTAGTAGTAGTAATAATAGTAGTAGTAGTAATAATAGTAGTAGTAGTAGTAGTAGTAGCATACCAGCAAAGATAGAAATTGGCCTCTTATACAAAGATTCGAATGACTCTCGAACCCATCATCCTACATTTACAAGATCCAGCCCAATCCGATACATACAAAACTTATGGCGGAACCAAGGATACGAGCCCCCCGGATCCCTGGAATCATTCCGTTCTATCGATCTATAGTATCCATCTATAGCATAAACAAACCCCAAAGAAACAAGAATGGAGAATGCCCTATTATCAGACAATATACACCGAACGCTAATTCCTACACATCGTACAGAACAGCTCCTTATTTCTTTCTGATTAGATTAGACTACACTCATCGTTATGGAGTGGGTTGTATAGTAAGTATATGTCGGCATAAATACCATATGATATCACAAATTCTACCTACTATACATATCTCGAACTGGAGGGGTAGGGAATCAATGAGTGGTGATGACATCACCTCTAATCCTTGTCCTGTACATCAGTAATATGACCGAGGAATCCCAGTAGCGACATCTAACTCAGTCCTACATGCTGACTAGAGTTTTAGTTCTCAACAAGTAAGCGCTACCTTGCTTATTCTCTTGTCTTTTCTATAATGAATAAATCGATATACTTTAGTATCAAGAGTAGATACATCCTACATGAAACGGTAGCAAGCTAAGGTACCTCGGAATTCTATTCCGTAAGCAATAAGACATAAATTACTCCGTAATATCGTGGCTATTAAGTTTGCTTCCAAAAGTCCTATTCGATGTATCATTGGCTGTATGGGATTTGATTGGTTAGACCAAGGGCAGTGCAGAGAAATGTCACCTATCGACAATCTAACGGCTGGATAGGGTGAGATGATGGGGCCATTAGATACGAGGAAACCAAGACAGGACTTTTGGCAGGATTCCTCGGCTTCTTGCAGTGATGGGGCGAGGCAGTGCTGGATTAACCTCCTGTGGCTACAGCCCAACATCCCATGTTACACAATGACGAGTGTCCATTTTATTCAATGGAGGCTACAATCTGTGGATTAAAAGGTGTCCTGATGGGGGAATGCACCAGATAGAACGCATGAATAGCTGCAGAACTCCACCCAGCCAGTGCATAACGACTTATGCGGCCTCGTCGGAGCGATGCATAAGGCAACAGACTAGCTCGCTGTTGGCTCAACTATCCTCCCAATTCACCATCGTCATGACCCACTCTGCAAACCCAACCACGCCGAGCATTGACGGATCTCTCCAAGTGGACCCCAACGGCCCTAGCCACCTAGTCACCCAGTCACCAGTTGCACGCAAAGCCACCACCGTTTCTCGTACAATCTGACGTGGTCGGAGTCAACAAGATCGCGGCCCAATTTGCATGAACCATATATTGGATGGACCAAACAAGACAATGACGAGCGTGGCGGCGGGGATTGATAGGTCAAGTGGCCTGCAACTTGATGAAAGTGCCGGATTAGTGAGCATGATTGCCAGGCCCAATCAAGGGCGGATCTGCATATGCGAGATTTGCTGTCGGCGACCCAACCTGGCCCCTCCCCAAGCAGTCTTAACGTGCTATTCAGGCCCGTCGATCGATATATGACGGGCTGGTGAAGAATGGACGCCTGCAGTTGTGGCGCTTTGTTCCCATTTGACACCGGTACCAATAAGCTATCACGTTGGCACGATGGTCCCCACCTCCTTTCCCAGTGTAGTCCCCATCCACGGATACTTTATGGTTCGTAGAGTATATGCAATATGCATAGCTAGAGACCCTCGCCTCCAGCAGGCTAGTTAGACAGCACCTTAGTCACCCAGGGTTGATTGTCAGAGTCTCGAATTGCATAGGAGGGTATCGAAATGAGGGCGTAGAGAGCCACCCGGCACTTGCACCGCCATACCACGCCGAGGCCAACATAGAAGAAAGAAAGGGGGCGAAAGGATGCAGTAGATAAAAGATATCTGTGGTTGGTAGGCCTGGCAAATGAATGTTCTCACTTCATTTGTTTAACAGTGACTAAGGGACGCAAATCACCCTTCACATAACCCAGCCCCTTTTGTTCTTTCGTACTCTTCTCCGTCCCCGAGACACATGCGGTTGCCTCTTATTATCCAGTCGAAACATCGGGACTGTCGTTGCGTGCAGGGGTGGGAGTCGTAGTCGGGAAAGGTAACCGGGTCATCCAGCTGATATAAGGCAGTTTGTGCGGTTCTGATCATCGGGCCACGCCATCGGGCTTTGAGTTTGCTGACGGGCTGTTGTTATTGCTGTCAGTCACCCCAGAATCCACCCCATCCGGGATGCTCATCGCATCATTAGGCGCAGACTCGGCAATAAAAGCCTGGATTTCATCATAGCTCGCGCCCGTTCGGACGAAGTCGACAAATACATCGACGGAGGGACGATCAGCCAAGCGAATCGTCTCGAGAACGGCATCCAGAAGCCCACGGTAATATTTCAGCGCCTCTTCGGTCCGCTTGACGGAAACCTTGCGTCGCTTGTCGGCGAATTCATCGATCACGCAGTCCCGGCCATGAAGGTGGCATTCAGCACACGGAGTGCCGGTAGTATCGGCGCTACACTGTGATGCGGCCACCCAGGTTAGAACAGGAAGAGCAAGACAAGGGGACTCAATGTGAGCGACGGAGACATCAACGTGCATGAGAAGGGAAAGGCCATTCCCCCCGGGGGGGGAAGGCCACTGGAGAAGCCGAGCTGGGCCGGGATTTACCTTTGTTCGACGTCGTTTACATTCCCCGCAAGCCGTGGAGGCTCGCTTTATTTTGCCCTCCTCGGGCGCAGAGGCCGGGGCCGGGGGTTCTGGGACCCTCCGAGGAGCAATGGGACGGAAAGGTTTCGCAGACCCTTGTTGGGCCATGACTTTCAAGAGCAAGCTGGCTGTATATGGTGGAAGAAGGGGAGGAGAAGCAGCGATGGAAGGAAAGCAAGAGGCCCGTGGGAGGGGGCCAGCGAGGAGCCAGATAAGATCGCGGGTACGTAGAAAGTTCTAGGAGCACACAGCACACAGTCTCGCCAGCAGATGCATCTTAGAAACAGCCCCATCCATGTTGGAGGGAGCTAGCCCAAAGTCCTGCAGCGTCGTCGCACCAGCCGTACCGCGGGCGGTCGAACAACCAGCGAATTTGGGGGGCCCTCGAAATGCACGGTTTGACACAAGGAGTCAAAAAAATGAAAAATAATAAAAATCCCCAAAAACTCAAAAATTACGGCCCAATACAGGTAGGGAAAAATAGAATCGGAGAAGTTGTGACACATCGGGGCCTACGCAGGCCCACGGGCCGTCCCCAAAGGTGTGTGGCTCTCCTCCAGTCGTTCCAGGCACAGCAAATCGTTGGGCGTGTGGCAGGTTGAGGACCTTCCAATCTGAGAAAGTATCAGAGCAAAAAGCCTGGAGCCGAGAGAGGACCAACGCCTGGGTAGAATGGGGCGCATGGACACTTGCATTGACGAAGACACCAAGTCAGTCATCCACTGGGACGAGCAGGCTGCATGGCAATCCCAATCGCCCATCAGGGACGACCCAAGCCCAGTCTTCGTCTCGAGACAGGCGACTCAGCAGCGGTCAGCCAGGAGTGAGATTAGGCATTCTTCGTCAACCAAGACGGACGATGCGCAGCTAATGTCCCTAGGGGCCCCTCCGCCCATTCCCCGAATTATATGCTTTCCCACCGTCGCTGGATCCTTCGGTTTGATTCTTCCTTTTCCCCTTTGAGCGGATCTACCGGTTTTCTCCCTTCTTGGATCCCCGGTATTTGGATTTGGGTCATTGGCTGCTCTCCCCCTTCCTTGTTTCTGCCGCGGGCGGTTGTCTGGATGAGAGAGCTCGCTCGCAGTGACCTGTCAAGTTGGGCCCCTTCCTCGACGGTCGAACCATCCTTGGGGCAAAGGGGGGAGATTCATTGGGATAATTACTGGAATTGTGCGAGCATAACTTGGGCAAATTCTAACGTAGGACCAGTGGGTGACTAAAGTACCGGTGGATGCTCTGCACGAATTCGATGGCCGTCTCAGGCCGGATATCTTATCCGCTGGATTTGATAGGCTCTCAAGAGAAAATTCGACGGAACAAACAGAGGGTCCAGGATGTTAGTCCACTGGGTCGAAGAAGGTCTTGGTCGACAATCCTGCCCTGCTACCAGAGGTTCTTAGCACAGCGTGACCACTCACGCATGCGAAGAGGAAGAGAGATTGAGTGGCACAGACCAAGAGCGGGGGATGGCCCAATGACTGGTTCTGCGAAGCTTAGGATGGGTGCGTAGTCCAGCCGGCAACCACCTTGTTGATGGCCGAGTGCCTGGTTTCCCCCCAACTCAGTTCATTTCATACGGTGGTGGAGGTCGGAGTCCGCGAGCTTGGGACCCAAAATCACAGAAACTCCATAGGAAATCATGGCGACGATCCTAATGCCTCTGGGCCGACCGCAGCAGGGGATAGACTCACTCCGATGCAGGCTGAGAGGATGGCTAGCTGAGGAAAATGGGATCTAGTTGAGCCAGTCGAGGAGGTTTCGGCTGTCATCGCAAGGCGATGCTCCAACTCACGTGCCGGCGGCCCACCACCACTAGTCCCGGTCGGACTTGGCCTAGATTCCGCCTTCTCTTCATTCTTCCTATGGAAATTCTTATGGTCTTGAGTCTTCAGTCTCTTCAGTCTTCAGTCTTCGGTCTTCGGTCTTCGGTCTTCAGGCTCCCTCCTCCCGTTTGCGTGATTGGTTCCGGTTGACTACGTGCTACGGATGGTGCTCACTCAAGCTCGGTAGCATAATGAGAAACATATACTATCTATCTATCTTGAACCATGTCCCCGATACTCCGTACTTGGTTCGCATATGCATTTCGTGGTGGAGATCAGCGATCGGCTACAAAGAAGATTCCCAAATTCTTCGCCCTTTACGGCCGAAAGTCGGATGCGACAGAGGTCCTGGCATTGGAGCCATCCCTACCGTTGATCTCAACATATCTAGTAGATAGAAGGTAGCATTTGGATGCTCTCCTGGCCTCATCCATGGATACCACACTCTAAGCGCCCGAGCTAAAAAGAAATAGCCGCCTCATAGGCTGGCATCTCTGCCGAAGCCGTGGGGTCTTGTGATCCGACATACTATGGTACGTACCATCGGGTCTTTGCGCCACCCTGATGTCACAACCCAGAGTTTTCCGATGATAACCCGTCGCAGCTACACAGTACTACATGCACGGGTTTCCTCGCGATAATCACATCTTCGGCGGATCACCGGGGATGAGGTGCATATCTCGCCCGGAAGAAGGGCGCCACCAATTTTGGAGATATATTCCAGGAGGTACCGACCGACCCCACTCATCAAACAACCCAAAAACTCGTCGAGTTGGCAGGCCACACCAGCGATTACTGTACGAAAAGGCTGCAGCTGAAACACAGCGCGCGGAATGATGATATTCCTATATCAAAACCCTGAAACCGAACTGCATGGGATTCCTGGAAGGGAAAAAGTGTACACTCGAGGTGGTAGAATAATGTAGAGGGCAAAAATATTACTCCAAGAAAGGGGTTAACACATGAAGCGAACAGGGTCCCGGCGGCTAGCGAGGGCCTCAATAGATGGGCCTGCCCTCGTCCCACTTGCGCGATTCTGCCGGGCTCCGGGCCAGCGCACTGTCTCCAATAGATGGGTCACGGCTTTGCTCGACGGGCAGAGGCGAGAAATGCACCTTGCTGCCTTCACGGCCGGCCGTGGCGCCGCTCTCAACCTCGCCTCGGACACTGCCTATCCCTCCAATCCACTCCCAAACACGGGCAACGTCCCCACCCCGGCCCTCGCGAACTGAGGCCCGGACATTGGCATTGCCTTCCACCACGCTGCGGACGCGCTTCCACAGTTCCTCCCGCCGACTGCCGCGCAGCTCGGAACGGAGGACGTCATCGCGCAATTGACCAATGGGAATGTAGGGCTCGCGAGCAGCACCACGGGCGTGAAGGGCAGCCTGCGTGGCTAGGCGATCGAGCGTTGTAGCAACTAGTTCGGGGACTCGGGCCCTGTCAGAACGACGAGCCCGAACCCTTGAGCGTGCGTAAAGCAAGGCGGATGCGCAGGCGACTAGAACTGAAAGAGGGAGTCGATACGCGACGAGAGAGAGTCGGATGTTGCGGCGGAAGGCGCATGTGAGGGGGAGTCGGCTGACAGAGGTCGAGGTGAGGGTGAGGACAGAAGATGGTCTGTAATCATGTGGTCGCCGCTGTTAGTTCCGTGAATACACGTCAGAATTTGATCCCGTCGGTGCGCTGCCATAAGGTCCAGGCTGTTGCCGTAGATGTGCCTCCAGAGAAGGAAAGAACAAGACTTACTGCTTCACTTTGGTCACAACCTCCTCCCTTCCAACCACTTCGCCCAGTGCTCCTTTCCAAAGGTCGTCGAACTCGGTGTCACTCATACCTTTCCGACGTTGTCTCCCGACTTCTTGCTTCAAGTCAAACTCGCTGATTTCCGCACCGGCCGCCTCTTGACCATCTCGTGCGAGCTCTCCACACTCCCACTTGGCCCTTCGATCCCGCAGCGCCTCCAGGGCCTTGTCAGCGACAGCCTTCACCCGACGCGCTTTCTCGCTGTCTGGCTCACATGTCGGCGGGAGCGGAACCAAGCCTCCAAGGGATAGCGGATGAGCCTTGAGTAAAAAGTCGTGCTCACAGCGAGCCTCAAAGTTGGGGTAGCAGAATGCATGCGGAGGGCATGGCTCGCATTGGGGTTCGATGACGTTGGCCCACTCGGGGACTCGGGTTTCTGCTAAGGACCAAGTAGGTTTACCAATTCCGCAAAACCCGATCTCAATCTTTTCTTTGCGCCACCAGGCACCGAAGCTAGCAAAGAGGATAATCAGGATAACCCAGGGAGCAGCTCTACTTGCAGTACCCTGTTTCTGTGGCCGCCGACTTGGGGCACTGTACATCAAGTCCGCATGCTCCCTCTCAAGCGCCAATTGCTCGTCTGGTGTGAATTCTTCGCCTCCACTGAATTCACTCTCTTCATCCTCGTATTTGATAGGCACAAAGTCCTTCTGTGGGGTCCCAAAGTTCGAGGATGGGAATTCAAGCGACGACCGCTTCGATGGAGTGGCACCATATTGATCATGCATATCCATCGGCGTCGCGGATTTCCTTGACCGCAGGCTGTTGCTGAAGGCGGGAGAGTCGAGGGAAAACCGCGAACTACTTTTCCTCTCCGATCTATGACTAGAGGGCCTGGGGCTCTTGTGATCCCAACGGGCTGGCGAGCCACTTTGGAATGGGTTGTCGTCTGTGAAAACACTCTCCTCCTTGGGCTCCAATTTGATGGCAGAAAAGGGAGGCTCCGGGTTCACCGATGGGGTCATTTCGCTTCGTCGAACCTTTCTAGTCGTAGACTTCCGGGGGGTAGTGGTGTCTGTCGCTACAGGTGTAGCCAACAGGTTTTCGTGCGATTCGGGGTCCGATGCGCGGTAGCGTCTCGACTGCGACCTGGGGACTGACTTCCTAGAGTTCACGGATGGCGTAGCCGTAGCATTTCTTTCCTCAGTGTCAGCTGTTGATGCTCTAACACTTGCCCTAGAGCGTCCTCTTCTTCCTCCAGTGGCCGTCGACACCGAAGATGGTGTTGGTGGGGGTGGCATCGAATCCCTTGTTGGGACGTCGCGTTGTTCATCATAGTCGCTAACCACTGACGTCGCGCGACTTCCCATATCAGTGATGCCTTCGCTAGTTCTTCTAACCCTTTCGCGCTCCCTCAGCAGCTTTCTTGCCTGCGGTAGAACTTCCGCCTCCAGGATACCGATAAGCTGTGCCTTTTTGGCCGAAGCTGGGTAAGGAACATCGTGGCTGACCAGGATGGATCGCAGACGCGGTACGGTGAGGGTATTAAGGTCAAAATCAGGAGCGAGATACTCCATACCGTCCGCCATGGTGTAAGCAATGATTGTACTTATCAGCACCACGGGGATTCGATAAGGGAACAGGGGGAGGTGGATGGGGGTCAAAATTCGGTAAAGTTGAGAAGGAAAGATCTTCTCCGTCTCCGCTCTGGTGGTGAGAACCTTGATTGTGCAGCCCCCAGCTCGTCAATGACGGAAGCAGCCGTTAATCGTTGGTCTCCAGGGCAACCAAGCGGCGCCGTGGCAAGAAAAGACAACTGGCCAGATCACTGAAGGCCTTGGGCAGCTAAATTGATCTCAAAGACCAAATTGGCGCGTAGACTCGATAAAACCAGAGCACGGGTTCGATGGGAAGTGATAGAAGGAAGGGAAAGGGAGGAGGGGGACGAGCTGGGGGAAGATGGCCGAACTGGCACCCCGGCCCAATCATGGAAACCATAACAAACGGCGAGTGTCACGTGGGCGGGAGCCGACGCGCCTGAGGTCTCCACCGGGGGACGCCGGTGCATAGTGGCTTAAAGCAGCCTCAAGTGCTACAAATACGCCCCGCTACAAGCCTAACCCTCTACATTCATCACAAAATCCAGAGACAATCATAAGTCGCTTTTAAATTTTCATTAGATGCACAGTAACCAAGAAGTTGGGGAAGAAAGGTGCCACCACAACGGAGAGAAAAGGGCAAGAAAGACGGACCCCACCCTTCCATGGCTCCAACCTATGCTGCGAATTGAACACTTCCCACCAACCCAAGAGACGCCGCTCTGAAGTGAAAATAAAGATGCAAAACGATAAGAGGGGTAAATAGCAATAAGTACAAGGCGGGTTGGCAAATAGCCTCCGTCAGAGATATATCCAAGGGTGGAGGTCAGCGACGAGGTCCACCAGGGTTAAACTCGTCAGACGGCGGTCCCATCTGTAGATAGGACGACGATGCAGAGTCGGAGTTGCTCTCACCGTTGCTATACTGTGGATCGTGTGTATAGCTAGTGGCAGTGCCAGCACTGGCGTCAATTTGCTCCTTCAGAGCTCGGTATTCTGTGAGCTGGGATTGCAGTTGCTGCATCACGTCTGCAATTGGCATGGCGTGGTCATTGAGTCGATCGCCTGGCCGGAAGGGCCGAATCATGTTGCGAACGGAAAGAGTAGTAATGCAGACCTGCAAGTTGTTAGGGTAACTGAACATAGCATATCAGGGACACGGATAATGGTTACTCACCTCGATGCGAGTCACCTGCTGTTCGACTAGGCTGATCACAGTCGAGTCGGCAAGCTCACCGCCATGATTCTTGACCACATTGAAAAGAGCCACATTTGGTTCTTTGAGTAGAGCTTCGCCCGGGTACTCTAATGCGGCACAGAGTCTCTCCAGCCGGAGAGTAATCTCCCATAAGCGCCAAATTAGATCTGTTTGGATCTCCAGTTGAGAATGTTTGCTGATGGTGGTCGGGGCAAGCTCGTTGCTCGTATCTTTATCCACGGTTGTCAAACGTCCCGACAGGGCATGCGGGTAGATGAGGTACAGCGGCTCCGGGTTTTCAAGCCCCTTTAACTTGCGCTCGCCTTGGTCCTTGATCACAAATCCCTGGCTGTTGAGTTGCTGCAGCTCACGGCGAATGTTGTTCCCAAGAGTATCAAACGCATAGCTTTCTTCCGAACCGGTAGACGCAGCCCGTTCACTGTCCGCAAAGATCTCCAAGTTGCGTTGAATATCACTCATGAAATCCGACGAAACGAAAATTTGACCACCATCAGCAACTGCAGAGACTCGCGACGCTCGGTTCACCATCGGCCCAAAATAGTCCATGCGGTTGGTGACCGGATCCTTCTCACAGACAGGCTCTCCCCAGTGCGAACCCATTCGAACGGATAGACCCCTGAAGATGACGTTATTCTCACTATCACACACAACCTGGCACTGTGGCTGCTCGAGGATCTCCGTCGGCCATTCGGCCTCGAGAAGTTGTGTCTGACAGTTGAAGCACCACAGCAAAGCAGCGGTCGTTGTGGAAAATGCGACCATGAAAGCGTCACCTTCGGTCTTGACCTCATAGCCACCAATGATACCCAGCTGTCGACGGAGGATGTCATTGTGGATCTGGATGGCCGAGCGCATTGCATCCGGGCATGTCTCCCAAAGACTTGTCGATTTCTTGATATCGGTGAAAATAATGGCAAGTTCACCAACAGGAGCATCCACGTAATCGAATCGAGCGAGCCTGGAGTCGCCAGGCGCGTCACGCGGCTTCTTTGTACGCTTAACGCTGGGAATGATCTGTTCCTCGGGAGGGCCGACCATAGAAAGACTTGGCCGCGTCCTGATCTTCTCCCGCCTCTTCAAATCGCCCACACCAAGGATCATCACCATCAGTTTGTTGGTTGCACCAAAAGATAAAGCCAGATCTCTAATCTTCTGGGCTGCAATCATGAGGTCTCTTCGTTCGGCCCTGGTCACATCGACAACCAGATCCGGCGTCACGTAGTCCCACAACTCTCTAGAGGCTAGGATGACCATCTCATCCTGCTCCGTAAGATTGACATGCATGGTGTGAGGGGCCGCAATAATTGCTGGCATCATGTGGAAATACCCAAAAGATCTTGACACGGTGAGGACGTCGTTCAATTTACCCGTGCGAGAGACAAATCCTCCGGCAGCGCGGATTCTTTCTCGTTCATGTGCCTCGGCAGGATCATGATTTTGAGTGAGGTGCCTCATGGAACCATCGGATTTGACGAGGATCGCTTGGGCATCGCCGACGTTTGCAACATAAAGGTCCATGTTATTGATGTACATGACGGTAGCGACACCGCCCTGATTAATGTCATCCTTATTCAACCGGACTCTTCTCTGGTCAGTGGAATCTTCCTGATATTGCCGGACATCCTGATCCAGAGACTTGTAACATGCAAAAGCCATGTTCTTGTTTAGAGTCAAGAACGCCCGCCGCAGCGCATCCAGTGCGGTCTCATGTTGCTCGGAACGGATTCGCTTCAGTTCAGAATTAAACGTGTGTACGAAATTCTCGTGCAGGAATTTGGCAATCCGTGAACCTCCACCAGTTTGGGATTGTCCATCAAACATCCCTACGACTGTTTCCACCTTGTCCGGCTTTAAACGAGGCACAATCATGTCGAAGATAGAAAGATGGTCGCTTTTACCGAGGAAGTCGGCCATGCCATATGCGAGTGCACCAGCCAGTGAAGCAGACGTCCTGACGCGGCGATCTTCGTTTTCTTCAGGGATTGTCGTGATCGTGAGGGTGACATCCATCAATCCCAAAACTCGCAAGTGGGTGAGAGAAGTAAAATCTGTCAGATATGGTGGCTGTTGCTTAGACGACTGAGGATGATTCGATAGGGATGAGCCAGGAGGCTTGATTTCAAGTCGTTTGTTGCCCGAGAAGTTGAGATACCGAAGATTTCTGTTCCAATTCCAGTTCCAATCATAGGGCCAGTTAGAGACATTATATTTGAGCGAATTGCTCCCGGCATCCAAGTATGCGAGTTTCGCAACTTTACAGAGCTCTGCAGGGAGTACTTGGAAGCGATTGGCGTTGATATGGAGGACTTTGAGGTTGCTACCTTCTTCGAGATCATCGGAAGGAAGAGAGATCAGCTCGTTGCCAGAGATGTATAATTCGGTCAGCAGAGGCCAGCGCCTGAGAAGTCCCTGGGGAAGCTCGGTCAACTCGTTGTACGAGAGATTCACGATGCGCAGCTCTGGGATCAGTGACAACTCCCGAAATATGTCGTCTTCCAAGCGATTGTCAGCCAGATAGAGGTTCCTGAGCGAACCGGCAAATGTCGTCGCCACATGCTGCGAGAAGTTCGAATCTTTACGAGATGACGGACTTCCATCCGTAAGTGACCGAGATGCTGCGGACACCTTCCTACCTTGACCTAGAGAAGATGCAACGGAAGGCTTTCGATATGTGCCACCGTTTGGGGAGTTCCCGGTGCTGAGGGCTCCGCCCGAGGCTTGGCTTGGACGGCGTGCCTCTTGTTCTTCGAGAGCACCGAGCTCTTCGTAGCTCGGTGTCGTTGATATGCCAGGTGTTGCGGCAGGAGTACCAGCCACTTCGCTGGGAGGCTGGGGTTGCGGGCATCCATGCTTCGGAAAAACATCGAGAACATTCGACGAAACATTCAGTGTCTCCAGCCTCAGGCAATGCCAAAGCTCTGGTGGTAGCTTTCTCAGGTTGCATTCCCTTAAGTTGAGATACTTGAGCTCTGTTAAGCAGCCAATTGTCGCAGGAAGAGCTGCAAGAGGATTCTTGATCATGCTAAAGTGCTCGAGCTTGCGGAGTTTACCAATGTGAGGTGACATTGACACAAAGTGGTTCTTGTCGAGAATGAGCCTTTGCAGGTTTGGCAAGTTATCGAACAAGCTGTCGCGAAATTGAACCAGCTTTGCAGAGGCGATATTCAGAGATCTCAGCGTGGGCACAGGTGCGTCAATATCGAACTGGGTCATAGGACAATGGTCAAGGCCTAGAGCTCTAAGCTTTGGGAATGAACCCTTGAACTTCGAAATTGAATTGTGCCCGACATCTACCAGCTCCAGGCGGGGGAGGAAACACAGAATGTCTATGTTGGTGACTTCGTTGAACCTGGCATCAATCTCCTTCAGGTTGACCAGATCCCTGAATGTGTCATCTAGCGCACCCCTGACGATATTGTTCGTCATCCAGAGCCGCTCGAGGGTTGTCAGCTTTCCAATGTGTAGAAGCCCGGAGATATTGTTGAAACTGATGTCTAGGTCGACTAAGTTCTTCAAGCGGCATAAGAGTTCAGGAAATACATGGAAGCTGTTCGACGATATGTTCAGGCTTCTCAGATATTGGAAGTTACCAAAGTAGCTAGGCAGGTTTGTGAGCTTATTGTTGGCCAACTTGATACTTACAAGGCCGTGCAATCTATCAAGGTTGGCATGTGTCAGGTCTTCCAGGCAGTTGTTCGACACGTCCAAGTAGGTCAATCGGCTCGCAAGTCCGAAGCTCGCAGGCAACCGGAGAGCCTCATTACCCATGAACTTGATTTCTCGCAGGTTGATGCACCCCTGAATGAAATCCTTTGGCACGTCCAATGCAAGGTTCTTAGACAGATTCAGTGAGATGATCTCGGCAGCTTTCTTGTAGAGACCGATTGGAATCGTAAGAAGGTTTCGGTTCGTCAGGTCCACATGGCTAAATTTCTGTTGAGTTTTGCCGAGCGGGGGATCATGGCCTTCAATGACAGAGCCACTGATCCTAATAGGTAGGTACGTGTAGCGCAAGATATAGCTGTGATCTTCCCTGCCGACTTCTTCGATACGGTCTTTTTCAGTATAGCCCACTTGTTCGAGAATTCGTTTTTGCATGAGAATGGGCATCTCTGTTTGATCGACCTGCCTTGAAAGACCGTTCTTTTGCATGATCAGTTCGTAATTAGCCGTAGGATCCGAAAAAAAGGACTTTCGACTGAGCAACTGAACCAGCTCGGAAACTGTAGAGTATAGCCCACCCGACAGTGTGGCGAATGTCGCATCTTGACGAAATACCCGTATGTACCAATTCGAGCCGCCCGGCTCAGAAATGGTTGGACCAGGTTCCGAGGTGTCTTGGGGAAGTAGATTGGAAGGCTCATTCTTCTTTACATGCCAGCTCTCCGGGGCGTCCCAATTGCCTGCGGGCATAGTATCAGGCCGTCGTGTTTCCTCAGACCGTATCGAAGCCCCATCGAACATCTTGCTTTGTGCACCTGGCGATGGTGGATTCACTATGCCTTCCATATGAGTGAGGTCGGTATCAAGCGCCCACATATTTGGTACGCCCGGCTTTCGGAGCTCCACGGCAGAAGGGAACTCGTTGCCATGACCTCGACGACCCCTCAACTTCGTAGAGCTAATGGCTAGGCCTTTACTGTCCTTTCTCCGCTCACTGTCCCCGGTCTCAGTCAGTCGAGAGGATGTTCCGCTTTCAATGCTTCCCTGTCGTCCCCGTCTGGCTGGCGAGGCTTCACGCCGAGAGAGTTTCGAACTGGCAGCTTTGGTTGTGTCCTGCACTGTTTTTGACCCTGTGATGTTTTTCAAATGGCCGTGCTTCGGACGGCGTATCTTGTCGAGAAAGGAACGTTTACTCGTCTGCGTCCCGGGTGAATTTTGGCCCTGTTCCCTAGAGTAGGCGCTTTGAACGCTAGGGGTTGGGCTTGTGGAGCGGCCAACGAGGGTTGTGGACGAAGTCATCGGCGTCACATGGTTCAAGCTGCCTTCTCTAGATGGGCGGAGTTCGAGGGAAAGGTCGTCACGTCCCGTCGCTGGACGACTAGAATAACCTGCTAGATCACCAGCAGCTGTCGGCTTCTCTTCTTTGCTTCGCGAATGCCGGTGGCCGCTGAAATGCCGTCGGGATTGGTCCTTTTGAGATATTGACCCACGTTGACTATCAGTCGCTGCTGTGGGTGCTTCGCGGACAGGAGCTTCACCATACTGGGGTATATCCTAGAACAGAATGAAGATTAGTCTCCAGCTTGCCAAATGATACAAATGTGAATACGGATATGTGACATCGGACAAGCCAAGACTGGCTTGCTGCCACCGGGGACCGAGAAAAGCATCTGCAACTTACGTGATAGCTCTGGTACAGCCACGGGGTGATGTCGCTAGAAGGAAGAGGGGTTTGGGATCTTGCCTGGTTTTGAGCCTGTGAAGCTCCTGAGTTCCGTGAGCCATCGGAGTTGGCTCTTTCGCGCGCCCGGAAGTGGTCGAGAGACGAAGGTTTCGTGGCCGAGCTTTGGGTGAAGTTGTCCGAGTCGTGCCTTGATTCTCCATTCCCAACATATTCATCGCCAAAAAACCCCTGCAGTTTCTTTCGGAAAAGCGCACCAGCACTAGACTTGGACCCTTGACTACTAACAGTCATTGCGCTGGCTACCGAAGGCCTCCGATGATCACCATTATATTCTAGCTCTAATGGCTCACTTGCATATGTTTGGGCGGTTCCTGGTCGAAATATGTTGTGCGCAGGTGATGGCTCCTGCTCGGAATAATCGTGAAAGAAAGTAGAGGGGGCATCGGTAGGTGGTATCATAGGGGAAGAGGACAGTGAGGGCTCTGGGTCTGGCTGGTGATTATCGGAGTGATTGAGATTCAATGCTGACGGTCGGGCGCTAGAGTTGGTTGTCGGTGGAGGGCCAGGTTCGTCAGTTCCCAACACAGCCAACGCCTTTCTGTGACTGCCAAATTGAGGGGGTTTGCGTGGATCTTTCGGGGCGAAGTCTGTTGAACCCCAAGAAAAAAGTGAAGAATATAGATCGTTCGGATCTCTGAAGGTCGGTGATGTGCAGTTCTGTGGATCTGGTCTGAAAGCAAGTTAGTAAAGGCAGAAAAGTACCGAAGTGACTATGAGTCTATTTTGTTCTGCCAATTTTAAAAGACCCTCAGATGGTACGTGCCTGCAGTCGCGGAACAGCAGCAAGACCAGGAATATAAATTTGACATTCACCAGGGGCAGTGAAGACAGGAGTCTGGAAGTATATCGAAGAGCACAACAGGGCAGATCTGAGAGAGCTTCCAGATGGCATCTGTTGCCCGTAGCAAGGGTAGACTTCATTCACTTGGTTTCGCCTGCCACAATAGGCCATCCGGAACCTCCAGCCAAGAGGGGTGAGGAAAGGAAGAGCGGGCGGGGAGGTCAATCCTACCTGTCTGTATCCCTAGAACCTGATAACGGAGAAACACTGCGTCCGTTCGAAGGTTCATGACTGTGCTGCTGGTGATGGCTTCGACCTTCTCTGACAGTCTCCTGCGACAACCAGCTATGCGCCCCCGAGCTTTCCGAGCTGCGTCGACCCCCAGATTGATCACTGTTTCGATAAGACATGCTTCCAACTTGTATCCGGTGGGGGTTGGGGTTATGGCTGTGGTTGTGGATGTGGTTGTGGCGAGAAGACCGGTTGTCACCAAAAGCGGTTACCGAAGAGCGAAATAGGGGGAGGAAAGGGAAGCATTAATGAAGTTGGCTCCGGATGCTGAGGCGGCAGAAGAAAAAGGATTATAAGCTTGTAAAAATGGTGTGCGATAAACGTTTGATGGATCCGACCGGCAGTCAAATAGCGTGGGGATATAGATACTGCGATGTCGGTATAGAGAAAGATTATATGAACTCTAAAAGGAACCAGAACGCCTCAGCGAAGATGCACCACGGGAAGGGAACGCTTGTCGAGGGTAGTAGTGATCACAGTACGAGCAAGATAGGGTCGTGGCACGGAGTTTAGCGTCGGGCGCGACGGGTTCAAGGCGTGCTTCATGTTCTGGAGGGTGAGCGGCAGCGGTCAGGAAACGCCATCGCACATTTCTGGGACGAAGACACTCAGGCCTGCGACGGGCTCGGGGGAATGACGACAGGTGGGGGGCGGGGAGGGAGATGGAGGGAGAGGCGAAAGATTGAAAAAGACAAAAGAAGGGGAAATAGATGAGTAGGGGAAAGAAATAGAGAAACTCAGAGAACCTCCAGCATGGATAAGTCTGGCGATGGTTGAGGCGGAGGGGAGATCGAATGGGTGGTGGTGGTGGTTGTGACGGTCGGCGGGAGGAGTGAACCTGCGCAGAGTTGGAAAGGCGTTGAGGCTCTGACCACGAGCGCCCGCTAAACCGGACCGAGCAGCAGCTCCCTCCCCTTTGGAGGGGGCGGTGGTGGACCGCTGCTCGGAAGCTACTGTAAGCTCCCTCCCATGATGTCAAGATCCGACTGGCCTGGTTCCCTTTTGCTCCTGGAAAAGCTCGTACCAACTATTGGGGCAATCTCCCGATACAGACTGACTTTACGTCTCCGGCGTGGACAGAAATCTTTATTATTAAGATTTAGACTCCCACGCCTGCTCCAAATCCACTTGCTAAACCATTCACGTCTCTTTGGAGTGTCGTTTCCGGGGAATGCATGGTCCGTGAGGATGTCCGTGCTTTTAACAGGATACATACACTACAGCAGATAAGCACAACTAGTCGACCAGGCTCCGATGCGCATCAATGCCGGGTTGCCTGGCAATTTCGAGGGCCAGGGCCGTCTGTCGGGGACTTTTAGTCACCCCTATTTTCGACGGTAAAAGCGGCAATGGCTGGATGGGAGCAGGTGATACTTGGAAGTTTCAGGTGTCCGGGACAGGTGTTTTACCAGCCGACGGAGTATCTCTGACCAACACTTCCGAGCCAGATAATCCAATGAGATCCATGGTCATCCCACTCCAGACCAAGGAGGCCTGTTCTCGATGAGCAATTGTGGCGTTGTGCTGATCCCATCCCTGGTAGACAGTCAATCTTCCCCTGGGGCAACATTCTATAATTTCTGGGCCCTGGGATTGGTGACTAGGAGGTTGATCTAGGAACATATTAGAGAGGTTGGAGACATATCACGGCCGATAGTTTTAAGGGATAAAGATCCGAGCAAGCAGGACCCCCACTGGTACAATCTCGCACCATGCTTTTTGCCTTTGCGCTCTTTCCCTTTGAGAATTCCGGATTCAATCTACAGGTCCATCCAGTTGTGGGGGGTAGCGACTCTGCCCGACTTAGAGGAAAGGAGGTTTGGGATTTCCATTGGGTTCCCAGGTGGTCATAAGAGTTGTGCGAAAGGTGCTGTTCGAAACAATCTTAGGGCATTTCAAATGTTTTCTTCTTCACTTATTATTTGCTCTTTTTTCTCGGGCTTGCAACCAAGAGCCAAACTGAAAAAGGAAAAGAGAAGAGAAGAAAGGAAAAGGCTAGGTAATTCTCTGGATAAATATTCTTCAGAAGCCTAGATGACAGGTCCTATCTTAATAAGTTTTGCCGAGGTGCTGATCAATGGCACATCTGTACAAAGGCAGATCCGGCACAAAGAAACTATACCAGTAGTCCCAAGTTGGAAGTCCCAACAGATTAGCTGTACCTTCAAAATTGAATTGTGACTATCGTTATAGTTCTGAAGCCTAATAGCCAAAGTAATAAATGCTATCCAAACTCTACTGGATGTCGGTTATATTACTAGTATTTTGCTGATTAAGTTTGTTCGCAAAGAACAATGTGTTCCGCACTATATATTTTGATGAGAACTTGAGCCAAGGATCACCAAACAGCTTCAAGATTACATATCTTGACTTTTGGATTTAACTTTTGTGAAGTACAATATAGCTTGGTGAATCCCTAATATTGAAGCTAGCATATCATGCAAACATATAAACAGTTCCAGTGCTCTTTACATTTTCGGCCAACGACTTACTCATCGTACGTATGGCAGACCAACGGGTGTCATGATAATCTAGAAAATTCCGACAATTCTCCGCGAGGGCAGTCAGAACTTGACGAATGACAGTATTGCACACTGCCACTGTAATAATTTAGATTCGTCCACGGCAATGGCCCATAAAACCAGACATTTAGTATTTTAAAAACATCGTATCTGCATCGACCAAGGTTTTAGTAGTCAAAGTTTCATAGACATCCTCGTGGTTCGAAGATAGCCCATTCGCATAAAACCTGACACCAGTCAGAGTAGATATCGTGCATTTTTTCTCCCTCGAGGTCGCCAAAAACGCCCCCCCCCCCTACTGCATCAGAGACAGTGGACTGTAATGTGGGGATTCATTTAAGCTTAGATTTTAGCCTACCTGCATACAGTACCTGCTTCATTGCATGATTGCAAAGGGGCCCGCGAATGCCTCTGACCTGGCAGCCTAATTTTAGCATGCAGGTACACCCTTGTCCTCAATCCTCTTGCTGGAGGGTGGAGGCGCGTTTTCATCACCGGATCGGAAAGGAGCTAGTCGGTTTGATAATTCCAGAATGACGCCTTACACATCCAAAGGAACAGGATATCGGGGACAGAGTTCAAAGCAGCCGGGGTAGTTTGACCTGGAACGGTTAGAATATGGTCCTTCAGTGACGTGAGCAATTTCCCTGACTTCATTGTACACAGGAAGTCTAAACATGTGTTGCTGCATAAAGTATATTTCTTTTCATTCCTTGACATCATCCGATGTACTGTACCTAAATAGATCGAATTGCATTATGTTAAAATTCTACAGGTAGCCCCCAGTTGCGCGAGGGGAGACGGGTACGCTCGTGCGGTCCACTTGTAGTTTGCAACGGTGTCGGATTGTCTGTAGATGAATCGAAGCCTGCTTATGCCTGTGATATATATCGGTGGGCTGCTTGGGTGTGCTTTGTCAATGTCTGGATTGCCAACATTTTCCTGCAATGGCTCCGCTAGAAGCCACGACAATCGGCCTGAGCTCAATGGCTCAACGGGATGATGCAATAAAAAGGCAAATGGGATATGTTCTACTCTCATCCATGAATAGGACCCGGGTAAACAGGGGTATTTTCACAGAGTTTTGGTATGACGGGAAATCATTGGTGAACAGGCTTTTACCATGAAGCGGTCTCCCGTCATGGGATGAGGGGTGGTAGGGTAGCGTGTGAGCAAAAATAGGAACTGCTACTTCGTAGGAAGACCCACGAGCAAAGGCTGCGAATGAGAAATTGTTGTGCTGTGGTTCTGGATCACCAAGGTCTTGGATACTGGATAGGTGCCTGATAAAAAAGAGGAGGCTGGGGGTGGAGCGGACAGGCGGTGATCCCATCGGCCCCGTCGAGTGGCGGTTGATGCTATTGTTGGAAGTTGTAAGTGTAACAGCTGCACTAGGACAGTTGATGGATGCATATGACACGAGTGGAGGGACGAAGTTGTAAATGTACCGTCTCAAGGATAACGGCATGCCACATGTGTAAGGTATGTATGGGAGTTCCCTAAGTGTTTTGGTTGGGGTTTGGACCGACGGTTAGTAGGTAGCTTTCTACCTAGCTAGTAGGTAGTACTTGGGTGGCCGTGCCGCCCGAAATGAAAGAAAGACCCTGAAGTTTTCAACATCAACATTGCCACCTGATCCAAGGAAAAGACTTTTCCCCTTGGATGCGACTTGCGACTAGTAGTACTAAGTAGTACTAGGATGTACTTCACGATGATTATGGTCGGGCTAATTCATTTCCTGAGGTCGCATCTCGTACGTAAGGTACAGTCACCGTGAAAGGCTCGGAGCCAATCAGCGAGGCCCAGGAGCGACCCGGTGCCTGCCCGATCGGGCATAATGGCGATGAACGGCCCCGAGATGAAGCGTCGGAGAAAGCGAGGAGGCTGGTCCAAATCCATCAGTCCTACCTCCACTCCACGCTGAGCCCGGTGCTTTCCTCCGCCGCTAATCTTGCCTGTGCCTTAAATACTACGACGGTGCTCCTACCGCTCGAATGGCTGCTTTGAGTGTGACCTCTCTCCACCGCGAGCTGCACCTTCCTGCTCGTGATTGTGCCGGCCGAAGTGGACTTGCATCCGTTCAGCAAACCGTACCTAATCCTAGCACCCTCGCATCTCAGTTCACCCACATCTGCTGCTAGGTGGCTTCCCATAATATAAGCATCATCTTGTTAATCGATATCTGTCCGCTCCTCTCAGCCTGTGCTGTAATTGCGGTCCACATTGTATCGTGATTCAGCAACGTATCTAGTTCCACCATGAGACTCCCACTCGTTGCCTCGACTCTCGGTCTTCTCTCCGGCGCAAGCTTAGTCGCAGCGCAGACATATACCAATTGCAACCCACTGAAGAAGAGTAAGTATCGAGTACGTGTGCTGGGTGACATGCATTACTAATTTTTCTCAAGCGTGCCCCGTGGACCCCGCACTGGGGAAATCGGCCAGCTATGACTTCACTGAAGGGAGCTCGTCCGACTTCACGGCAACCGGTAGCCCGACATATGGTAGTGATGGTGCCGAGTTCACCGTCGCTAAGCAAGGAGATGCCCCGTTGATCCAGTCGAACTGGTACATCATGTTTGGGCATGTTGAGTATGTGATGAAGGCTGCTCCCGGAACAGGCATTGTCAGCAGTGCTGTCTTGCAGTCGGACGATCTGGACGAGATAGACTGGGAGTGGCTTGGAGGGAACGACGAGCTCGTGCAAACCAACTACTTTGGCAAGGGTGACACCAGCACTTACAACCGTGGAGCTACCCACAACGACCCCGGGAATCACGACGGCTTCCACACTTATACTGTCGACTGGACGAGTAACCAAATCGTCTGGCAGATCGATGGCACAACGGTTCGCGTGCTTACACCCGAGACTGCTGACTCCAACCAATACCCCCAAACCCCAATGGTAGTCAAAGTGGGAATCTGGGCGGGAGGAGACCCTAGCAACCCACAGGGCACGATTGGTGAGTACTCAGTCATCACTACGGCTATGCGAATGGACAAACGATGTGCTAATATCTGTATCAGACTGGGCCGGGGCGTGACCGATTATAGCGCGGGTCCCTACACGATGTATTTGAAGTCTCTCAAAGTGACCGACTACTCGACCGGTTCATCATATTCATACGACAATGAGAGTGGGGACTGGACATCAATCACCGCCAACGGAGGCAAAGTTAATGGAAACATCGGCGCCGATACCATGACATCGATTCAGTCTGCCCCCACCGTGACCTCGACGGTTGCCAGCATTCCTATTCCTTGGAGTGGTACTCATCGTGAGACAAACACCTTCACAACGCCGGATGTTTGGCCCTGGGTTGCCACAGGATCGTCGACATCAATCCCATGGAGCTATTCCGGCTCTGGCCAAGCCCAGCCGCCTAGCGCGGCTTCCGTGAGTGAGCATTTCCTACCACCATATACGATGGTCTCAGAGACAGTCGCTAAATCGATCTCCGTATCTATAGTCTTTCTCCCGGTGTATATCAGCCTCCTCGCAATCTCGGCCGGTTTTATCCTCCCCTTCCGGCTCTAAAGTCATTTCGAGGACGCCTAGCTTGACCCCTTCCCCGACAAGTCTTGCAAGCCAGACTACCACCACGAGTGCGGCTAGCGGGACAACGGCCACGGCCACGCCTTCTTCCTCTACCACAGCCGAACATGCAGCCCCTACAGTGAATGCTGCAGGAACCATGTACTATATTCCCATTAGCATGGATATTTTGAGTGTGCTCCTGAGTAGCGCACTGATCATGTTCTGATACGACGCCTTGCAACGACCGTCGATATGCCTTATTCCGCCGATGATTTATGCAACACCGTTACCAGACGACGATTATGTGAAACGACACGACGACTACCGAACATGACCTTCACGAGGACGTGTATATGGATGAACGGCCCCCTTTCCTTTTTCTTGTTTATGATAGAGATCTTCATTAGCTATGTACAGCATTGGTTAGGCGTTGGTTCCCGAAACAGGCGGGTCAGACGTGCTCACTGGATGCACGTGCTGTAACTTGGGCTATTTTAGCGGCGTTGGTAGTGCTCAACTAATAATATTACTTGCACAATGGTTTTGTGGTATCACGGATGAAATGGGTATCGAAGTTTTGCGATGATAGAATTCCCCAACTAGACCAAAAGAGATACCTCTTAGGTTAGTGGAACAATTCAAGGGGAATAGGTTCCAATATGAGACAGTGACTGATATTATCGTGATTCAACCAGGTCTACTAGGACGCATAGTGCTGTAAGAAAGCTCTAGTGATAGTAGATTAATGTGCCATTTTGGCCCAGTGTTCCTAGCAAGTGCATTATGAGCAAGTCATTCTCGACCCCAGATGTGCCAGGCACTTATCAGCCAGTCATCCATCTGACCCTTCCTATGCCGGACTGTGGGTCTGCGAGGCTCCCTGCTTCTGCCGGAGAGGCTTGACCAACCAACCCAGACCCATATAGGGAGTATTCACGACACTATCATCCCCAATATAGATGAAGGCATCATACAGCCACCCACCAAGGGTACATCCAACAAACGGTGCCACCATAGGAACCTAGAACAAGTTAGCATCCATCCAACCATCGATCCATAAATATATCTAATATCTCTCAGCACTACCACCATCACCACCCCCCAAAAAGAAAAAAACCAAATCCATATACATACCCAAAAATACCCACCCCCGCCCTCCACACCTCCCCTCCATACCCCAACCAAAAACTCACCAACCTGGGCCCAAAATCCCTCGCCAGGTTAATAGCATACCCGGTCTCCCAACCAAAACAAGCCCCGATACCAAAAACCACAAAGAACATGGCCAACGGGAAGAGTTTCTTTCCTGTTTCTGAATCGCCCCCGAGATTGTGTTCATCTTTTAGAGCGAAGATCAGGAACATTAGTATAGCGCTAGCGAGGAATTCAGAGAGGAATTGACTGGCTTTGCTTAGGAAGGGGACTGGGTAGGTGGCGAAGATGCCGGCTGTTGCTGTTGTTGTTTCTGGGGTGGTGTTGGGGACGGTGCGGAGGTGCGGACCGCCTTCATAGAGAGTGATTGCGGAGTTGTAGTTTAGGTAGACGATAGCGGAACCGGCCATGGCGCCAAGGATCTGGGAGAGGGTATATAGGGGGAGGTAGGACCAGGGGAAGTGACGGAGGAGGCAGGAGGTGAAGGTTACGGCGGGGTTGAGGTGCGAGCCGGAGGGGGTGGAGGTGTAGATTGCTAGCATGACGCCGAGGCTTTTGAGGGGGGAATGGGAGATGGGTTAGTTGGGTGGGTTTGGAGGCAGGGAAGAGGAGGAGAGGGAAGAGGAGGTGAGGACATACGCCCAGCCCCAGGAGATGGATTGGTAGTTGCCTTTTTCGCCGTGGCTGAGGAGGACTTGGGCTACGACGCCGTCGCCGAAGAGGAGGAGGATCATGGTTCCGAGGAATTCGGAGATGGCGGCGCGGATGTAGGGGCGGGATTTGAGCCATTGGAGGGTGGTGGGTTGGGTGGGTGAGAGGGGATGGGCAGTGGATGGAGATAAAGTGGTGGTGGTTGTGGTGGTGATGTGGTTTTTGTCGTTGGTTAGGGTTGGGGTGTCTTGGTCGAGGGAAGCGGAGGTGGTGGGAGTGCTGAGAGTGGCCATGGTGTGCTGGATGGGGGGCTTGGAGAGGATGAGCTTGGGGTTGGAAATTGGAGGTTGGAGTTTGTTGTCAAGGGGCTGATTCTGGATATAGATAGGTAGAATGAACCGATGAAACGATATGCAATGCATGGCCCGGTGCAACATGACGCGGCCGGATGTGTTATAAATATGGGGTTACACTCATACTAAATGATATCACGGCCTATTACTCTGTTGGCTGGGGAATGTCTGGTCAATAGGGCATTGTCTTTCTGGTTCACTACTCAGGGAACAGGGAATGAATGAACAATGGCACTTGTTCACTCACATAGGTGAAATGGGGATCGGATTCAGCTGATGGAAGGTGGTGGAAGAAGCAATACTGCAGTGATATCCGAAGGTCCGGAGTATACTAGTCTTCCATACTGAGGGGATGTCGGTAGTGTACATAGAATCCCAAGGAGCACAGGAGGATCTCGTCTAACATGGACGTCTTGGCTACTTGGTCTTGCAAGCGTGAGAGGACAGGATATAAAGGACTTGCTGCTCCGAGACTACAAGATAGAATCCTCGAATCCGATAGGTATAGCATCCACCAAATAGGAGTGCATTCTTCAGCATCTTTCGCAGCCGTGTCACGTCTGGGCCTGTGTGGTAGTATCGAAAGACGATGGAAGTAGGCTTGATGTTGGACAGGTAAGCACCTGACAGTCCAATGCCAGCAGGGCTAATGATTCTGGCTCGCATTGCCAGGGAGCCCAACACAATCGTCCACTCCTTGATATGGCATCACTTTTGCGGCTCTACCAGTGGCCATGGCCGTCTGCGTCGAAAGAATCCGGAGAGCTGAGAGAGGACCCTGGGACCGATGCTGGTGAAGCCGTGGTTCCTGGTCGGACCGGCAAGCCTCACCCGGATGGCGCTCGCAGCTCTCCCCCGCACATTCTTCATTCACCTCCTCGATTTCTCAGTCAGCGGCGAGTGCAAGTGACAGACCAGCCGCGCCGAGTTAAAAGAAAGATAAGACGTCTTGTGGCTGTTGCCGACGCACGTCAGTGGCTGTGGTCAGCTGCGATCGAAACTGCTCGTATTCGGCAGAGGCCGTCAGCCATGAGGGACTCGGGCTGACGGAGGGTCTGGAATGCTGCTCAGAGATGCGTGCTTATGTCTGTAGTCGGGGGAGTAACGTTGTTTATTCCTGGTCAGCCAAACCCCACTCTGTCAAAGGGATGCTGTCACACAACATGTCGGATTCCTCAGAGTGAAGAAAGATAGTGAATGCCTGAGACAAACTGACTCCCGGCTGGTATCCCCTCTTCAGGTCCTTTTCTCACTTCATCCCACGTCGAGTCTGCACCTCTCTTTCCCCTCGGGCTGTAAGTCTCACTGGCAAGACACATACTGCTATGGATCTTCCTCAAAGATATGTCGGATCTATCGATCAGGGTACGACAAGTACCAGGTTTCTCATCTTTGATCGAGATGGAAGCTGTCTTGCATCTCATCAGGTTGAGTTCGAACAGATCTTCCCTCATGCAGGGTAAGGTTAACCATATATTATTGCTTTGCTCACAGCTCACGCACTGGCAGATGGCATGAACACGATCCACTGGAGATCGTAGCTTCCGTTGAAACATGCATCGATGGAGCGGTCAGAAAGTTCGAAGCCCAAGGCTACCACCGGTCTTGCATCGAGGCAGTCGGAATTACAAACCAGAGAGAAACCACGGTGGTTTGGGACATTGTGACCGGACAGCCACTGAGAAATGCCATCGTGTGGACCGATACTCGATCCCAGGAGATCGTCGACAGGCTGAAAAAGAAACCCGGGGCCTCGAAGCTGCAGCAGATCTGCGGCCTTCCACTCTCAACATACTCCTCTTGCTCGAAGCTCCTCTGGATGCTTGAAAACAACCCGCCATCAAAGAAGTATATGAAAGGGGCATGCTAGCCTTTGGGACCATTGACACATGGCTAGTGTATTGTCTGAATGGCGGAAGCAAAGGAAATGTGCACGTGTCGGATCCTACCAACGCCTCCCGCACAATGTTCATGAACCTGGAGACTCTTAGATACGATGACTATCTCCTTGACTTCTTCGGTATTAGGGGGGTACATTTTCCCAAGATTGTCCCATCCTCTGATAAGAATGCATATGGACACCTCGCATACGGTGCTCTTGCTGATGTTCCCATTACAGGCTGCCTCGGAGACCAATCCGCAGCACTCGTCGGCCAAAAGGGCTTCTCTCCCGGCATGGCAAAGAATACCTACGGCACCGGATGTTTTCTGCTATACAATGTTGGCGAGAAGCCAGTGTTTTCTAACCACGGTCTCCTCGCCACTGTAGCATATCACTTTGGCGGAAAGCCAATTTACGCTCTGGAAGGAAGCATTGCCGTCGGTGGGTCGGGTGTCAAGTTTCTCCAGAACAACCTTGAGTTCTTCAAGGAGCCCAAGGAAGTAAATGACCTGGCCCTTACCGTGAAAGACAACGGTGGCTGTGTCTTTGTCACCGCATTCAGCGGCCTTTTCGCTCCATACTGGATCGACGATGCCAAAGGCACCATATGTATGACCATCAACCTTTTCTAACGCCTCCCACTCTAATCATGTCCAGTCGGAGTCACTCAATACACCAAAAAAGGCCATCTTGCCCGCGCAGTCCTAGAAGCAACCTGCTTCCAGACAAAAGCTATCCTCGACGCCATGGAGAAAGACAGCGGTCATGCACTGTCTGAATTGGCAGTTGACGGGGGAATGAGCAATTCGGACTTGGCTATGCAGGTACGGCCTCCCCTCCCACTTCAATATCACATACCAACTTCAGAAACGCTATAGATCCAGGCCGATCTGATCTCCATCCCTGTCTACCGCCCTGAGATGCGTGAAACCACCGCCCTCGGGGCCGCGATCGCCGCCGGTCTAGCCGTTGGGATCTGGCACAACTTCGCCGAGTTGCGGGATATCAACCGCGCCGGTGGATCGGTCTTTCTGCCGGAGATCAGTCGCGAGAAGAGTACCGAGTCGTTTGCGCTTTGGGAAAAGGCGGTTCGTATGAGCAAGGGGTGGGTGGGGAGTGTAACATCAAATGGAAAGACTAACCAGACGGGTAACGGTGAGGTTGGCAAGGATAACAAGGTCGTGGAAATTGGAGTGAAAGTGAATACCGATGGTGTATCGTTGAAAATTCCAGCTGACGGTGTATTTGTTGATCTCGAAGATGCAGACGAGGAGGATCTGTATTTGGAACTTCGACGCGTGGAAATTATGCAGAGGTTGAAGAAGCTCAGGAAGGTTACTGGCTGTTTTGGCAGGGGTAATGGTTCCAAGTGTTAGGGCTTAGTTCGGTTGGGTGTATGTGGTCTGAGGGAGCCGAGGTTGACAGATTGATTGATTTCTAAGAAGAAATACGGAGCGAAGGGATGAGGAACGTAACGCAATGTCATTTGTTCATACCAGACGAACTCTTGCCACGTAGAACACGAACTAAACACAAATCATCAAAAGTCCACCACATTCTCCCTATACACATAACTCCAGGCTACAATCCGCCATATACATACCCTTCCTTCCTCAACAACAACAACCCTACCTAACCCTCCCTCTCCTCCTTCACACCCCTCATCCCCATCCCCATCCCCATCCATCCCCACCATCCTTCTCAAATACACAATTCAACTCACACCCGGGATTGAGGGTAATCTCAAACCTCAACCTCGGATCCCCTCCCACCTCCACCCCATCTTCCCCCTCAGCCCTCAAACTCCCATAAACCTGCAAAATCCTCACAAGGGTATACCCCATCTCGACCAACGCAAACTGCTGCCCCAAACAAATCCTGGGCCCGCCATTAAACGGCAAAAAGCGCCACGGCTTCGGCGTCCACTCACCCATCCAGCGCTCGGGGATCCATTTCCCAGGATCAAAGTATCCTTTTGATCCGGGAGGCGGGTAATGTGCGGGGTCACGCTGCATGAGCATCGTACTGTAGACGATCCTCGTGTTGGGACGGATTCCGATCGGCTCGCTACCCGTGGCGCCGCCGCCGGTGGGGAGGGTAGTGTGGGTGAGGGCATAGCGGACGTTGAAGGGCACGACAGGGTAGAGACGGGTGGTTTCGTTGAGGATGGCGGTGAGGTATTTCATTTCTTTGAGGTCAGTGTAGGTGGGTTTCTGGCAGGAGGGGCCGAGGCCTAATCGGGTGGAGATCTCGGTGCGGAGGTGAGTTACCACGGTGGGGTTGCGGGAGAGTTCGTATAGGCAGAAGGAGAGGGTGATTGCCGTGGTGTCCCGACCAGCGAGGAGAATGGAGATTAGTTGGTCGCGGAGGACCCGAGAGTCCCGGGTGAAGTGGGAGAGGGCGTCGAGGAAGGTGTTGGGTTTGGGGTTGGAGTTGGAGGGGTGGTTGTTGTTGGTGGGGGGGAGGGAGAGGACTCGGTCGATGTAGGGTTGGATGAAGTTGTTCATGGTTTGGAGGTTTTGGCGGAATTGGGTCCGGGAGAGGAAGAAGTTGAAGGGCCTGGGATGGGAGGGTTAGTGAGCAGGAAGAGGGAAGAAGCAGGAGGGGGTAGATGTACCCATAGCGGAAGATCTCGCCCTGACGATGCTGCACGTATTTGAAGGCTTCGGCGAACGCGGTGGCCGGGTTCTGTAGGCTGTTGGTGCCCTCGCCGAGAAGGTAGTCTGTCGCTGCGTCGAGGGTGTAGCGCAGGAACAACGGCGTGATGCCGACGGCCTTTTTGTCAGGGGTCCCGGCGAGAAGAGGAATGAGATGCTGGATGTGCTTCTCGAAGAGTTCCGTATCCACAATACGGTCCCTGGTGAACATGGGCCGGATGAGGTGTCGCGAGGTGGACCAGAGTTCGCCGTCAGTGACGAAGATACTATCGCCTAGGAACTCTTTCCAGTCGCGGTGGAAATCCTCGCCTTTGCCAAAGTCCGCGAACTGGCCGGTAAGTAGGGCTCGGATGTTGTCGGGGTCCGTGGTGATAATGGTCCGGTTCGAGATGCCAGCATCTAGTTCGGCGGTTTGGGGATGATGGATTGTCGAGGCGCCTTTGGCGTTTGCAATGACAGCCTGCCAAAAGGTGAAGTCCTGACAGTTGCGGTTTGCTACAATAGAGTTGTAGATATGGTCAATTGCTGATATATCAATGTCAGTCCATTGGTATGAAATGGGGGGCTGTGGGGGTAGTCGGGGGGATATACAGACCGTATGGCAATCGAAATCGGACGCGAGGCGCCCTTGCACCCAGACGGGAGATCTCTCGAGATACTTGCAGTTTGCGAAGGAGACACGCAAGGATGAAGATCCCCGCGAGGCAGACGGATGCCTTGACGGGGGTCATCTGGGCAACGAGAAGTTCGAGCATAGTGTCTATACTATGGCTTCTTGATGAAGTGAATAAATGTGAGCATGGCCTTGATGACTGAGGGGACAGGTAGGATTAAAATATCAGGCCTGATGACAGTCTGTAGCATCATAGCATGCAACATGACGCCCCGACCAGGGTCTGAGAGACTACCAGCCAGCCAAGCTGCAAACCCCGCAACTCGATTGCCATTTCGAGCATGACTGGCCCGGCCTGAGCATTGGTCGTGGGGTGATTGCCGAGCCCGAGGTACTCCAGGATGTGGAGGAGGGGGTGCATTGGCGAATCGACGCTCTATCATCTGATAGCGTCGAGGGCCGGCCAGCATCTCATGTTATGGAAGTCGAAGAGCCAGCATGTAGAAACGGCTCACACCGGGTGTCAATGCATCCGAACAATATGTGATTGTCCCATGTCCGGGAAAGGAAGCCAAGTGGTGACCAGGCCTGTCCATGGTGATTTGGGGACTCTGGTGACACAATGTGGATGGCATCGCGTGGGATACACGGACTGGCCAGTTGGTAGCTGCGCCACACTAGCACGTGATACACGTGGCGCGGGTCTTTCATCATCGGCGAAGCAAAGTTCCTGCGATGGACGGACCTCTCCTCAAACACCCCCTCCCATCTTCTGATTCCTCGGATTTTGCATATCGCGCCTCGGTCTTGTCCCCGGTATTAGATTTTGATTCTCCAGTCTTGCGACTGGTCTTAAAAGGGCTTTGTTGGCTCAAAGGCGCGGCATTTGCGAACCCCAGTCCCGTCCCCTACAATTCCTCGCCTCCCATTTTCCCATTTGCGTCACTTGCAATCCACCTTCAGCGCCCGCGCACTTTGATCATGGCCACCATGGTCGCAGCAGGGACTCCCCTCGCGGAGGCCCTTGGTCATGTTATCCCACCAAAGCTGGTCGAGATGGGCTGGAGCTCCGACGGTGGCGACGATTCAGCTCTGACCGAGTATGTGATCTTGATGCTGGTCAACGGCAAGACCCAGGAGCAAATAGCGGGCGAACTCTCCAATGATCTCCTTGGTCTCGGCGAAGGCGACACACAAGCCCTCGATTTCTCCAGGTGGCTGTTCGAACAGGTCGAGGTTCTTAACCACCAAATCAATGGCGGGGGTGCCCCGGTGCCCAACGCGCCTGCCTCTGCGCAGGCAATTCCATCATTTGCGGATCAGGACGCCACCGCTACTCAAATGACCGGCTTCGATGGTAGTGTGCAGGATACCGATATGAGCATGGGTGATGGAACCCCCGGCGACTCTATGTGAGTTATACTTTCTCCTACCCAAATGAAATGGCGATCCAAGCTGACAGAAGAAAAATGCAGACCGACGGGTCCGAAGGCGATGCGCAGTGGTCGTGGCGGCGGACGGGGTCGGATGCTCAACCAAATAAATCGGACGATGGACCGTGGGGACTCGGCTTTACATAGAGTCCGTGGCCAAGCTGGCGCTGGTCGGATCAATTCGCACGGCCGAGAGCATGGAAAGGGACGTTTCAACCAAAATGGAGGAGCCAGGATGCCCGGTGGCCGTCAAATGGGGCAAATGGGCATGGGCAATATGATGAACATGACCCAATCCGATCAGATGCACCTCATGTCTCTGCTCGAGGAGCAAGCACGCATGATGGCACAAATTATGCCTGGATTCGTCCCCCCTGCGATCAACCCAGCCTTCCAGCAGAACGGATCGCCACAAGGCCGTTCCTTGTTCGATCGCGTCGAGCGCCAGCGTGGCCACCGGCATCACGGTAATCGCGGCCAGCGTCATAACCAGCACGATCAGTCTGGAGATGTTGATATGGATACGAAACCGGACCAAGGAAACCAGGATGAAAGCAATACCGACAGTGTGTGCCATTACAACCTCCGGTGCACCAGGAGGGACTGTCCCTTTGCTCACCAGTCACCGGCCGCCCCTGAAGGTGCCCCGGTTGATGTTTCAGACCCATGCACATATGGGGCGGCTTGTAAGAACCGGAAGTGTACTGGACGCCATCCTTCCCCTGCCGTCAAAACCGCACACCAAGCAGAGGAGCTCTGCAAATTCTTCCCCAACTGCGCCAACCCTCATTGCCACTTCAAACACCCCAGCATGCCTCTCTGTCGGAATGGGGCTGACTGCACCACTGAGGGTTGCAAGTTCACCCATGTCCAAACCGCTTGCAGGTTCAATCCTTGTCTCAACCCGAACTGTCCGTACAAGCATGCCGAGGGCCAAAAGGGCGCCTTCTCCGACAAGGTGTGGACGGCCAATTCACAAGAGGGCAGCCATGTGAGCGAAAGGAAGTTTGTGGCTGAGGGGGACGACGAAACGGAGGAGTTGATTAAGCCGGACACGGCTGGGGATGGTTCTCAGAGCCATGAGATCGTGACATAGTCTCCTGCGAGGGACTTCCCTTCCCTTGTTTCTTTGACGATATCCACATTCTACAATTCCCTTATGAGGCCGGAGAGATCTCTTGTATTATTTGGTGTGCGCGCGCATGCGGATGATGGTTGCTTGCTTGCTTGGGAGGGCGTTTAGTTGCGATCTAATAACTTTTATTGCTCATGGGAATGACAGAAAGAATTCATGGTTGTTTGTAAATAGAGTCTGGATATCATAAGCCTGCTTGTTGTTCTGCATGATCTTGATCCAGTAGTTACTATGTACTAATGTAGGTAGTAGTCGCACAGAGAACCATGTGATCACATGGTCCTGTATTGATGGGATGGTTCCATACCGTATCCGGCGGGAGATCTTAGCTCCGGAGTTTCTGGCAGCGACCATTATTCCGCTCCCGAGCTTCGTCTTCCGCTCTCCTGCTGAGTTGACTGCCGATACCAGTCATCCTTGAACCGTTGAGATGCGGCTACCAGGTGCTTCCAGCCGTGTACTCCGACAGGCACAAGCGCCATTGGCCTTCGCCCGCATTGTCCAAAGGCACGCTCTGCATACCAAACCGTTTGATGCCGCCGTCATCGGTGCCGGCATCACGGGCCTCACGGCGGCATACCAGCTATCGCGGGACCCTTCCTGCTCCAAAGTGACCCTCTATGAGAAGTCTTCCCACCTGGGAGGCTGGATCTCGTCCGAGAAGATTCCTGTCCCCGGTGGGGGCCATGTTGTTTTTGAATATGGTCCGCGGACCTTGAGGCCCGCGGCTCCCGCATCCCTCCCCATGATGGACCTAGTAAGACGACGCAATGTATCCATATGAGCAGATGTGAGAAGCTATGACTAACCAACCCGTGGCTCGCTGCAGCTTGGGCAGCTGGACCTATTGGGGGAGGTTAGATCGATCCCAAAGGACCATCCCGCATCTACCAATCGTTATATCTACTACCCCGATCGTCTCGTCCGTTTGCCATCGGTCCGAAAAGATGGAATCATCCATACTTTTATCAGAATGCTCCAAGAACCTATGTTGCGGGACATTGCGTGGAGCCTCTTGACCGAGGGCACCAAATTCCGACTAGAACCCGAGGGCTACTTGCGAGACGAGTCGATCGCGGATTTCTTATCGCGTCGGCTTTCATCTAAGGTGGTGGACAATGTTGTTTCAGCGGTCTTTGCTGGCATTTTCGGGGGCGACATATATCGCCTGAGCGCAGAGACCGTCCTCGGTAAAGTGCGGTTGCTTGAGAAGGAACACGACTCAATAGTCGTTGGGATGTTTGCAGATTCCCAGGCATACGACAAAACTATGGCGATGGACGACTTTTTGGCCATTGAATCGGTTGATCTGGAGCAAGGCAGGACTACGTCAACTTTTAAAGTCCTCAAAACCTTAGGTTCCACTTCCAGTGTAGTCACAATGCAGGACGGTTTGGGGCAGATAACCGACACCTTGGCCACCCGGTTGAGAGAGTCCGGCAAGGTTGAGATTGTATCCGGTAAGGAAGTTACGGCAATTAGCCAGGACTCAAAGACTCGGGACCTGACCGTGAGTGTGCATACGAATAACCGCTCCAGTGCTGAAGAAGAATTGAACATTAACATGGCGTTAGATCGGCTTCGGGAGGGCAGATGCTAAAACTCACAACCGTGTAATTGCCACTCACTCACCTTGGAATCTCTGTCAACAGCTCAGGAACACGAAGGCGGGGCAGAGCATACCTTCCGATACAATTCAAAATCTGACAGAACACAAGGACTCCGTGACAATCATGGTCGTCAATCTGTTTTACACCGAAGAAAACCTGGTACCGGTCGAGGGATTTGGATATCTTCTTCCCAACTCGGTTCCCTTTGAACAGAACCCCGAAAGGGCTCTGGGAGTGATCTTCGCGGATCAAGCTAGTGTGGGACAGGACACTGCACCAGGAACCAAGCTCACAGTCATGATGGGTGGCTACTTGTGGGACGGCTGGACTGAAGCCGATTACCCTGATCCTGATACAGCTATACAGATGGCTCAGACTTTGCTCCATAGGCACCTGGGGATCACAGCTACGCCCGCCGTGGCGCGCTCTCGGCTGCTGCGCGATGCTATCCCCCAGTATACAGTTGGCCACTTGTCCCGCATAGATAGACTCTCCCAGTCAGTTCGGCGTGACTTTGATAAGCGGCTGACCTTGGCTGGCTCATGGTACGGCACTCTGGGAATCGGTGTAGTAGACTGTATCCGACAGGCCTACCTGGCTTCGTCGTATGGCGTCGGATCCAAGAAGCTGGGCCGTGGAAAAGGGCCTCGTCCTTGGACGAAATACGACTACCACCACTGGGAGTTGGAAGGTGGCATAGTCACCTCTCCAATTCGGTTTGACGGGGTTTCCCCTGACGAGCGCAAGCATTTTTAGGACCTATCACCCCGACAGTGATTTTCTTGTAAGATACAGGGCAAGATGCGAGCATCCGATGTACAGAGGAATTAAACAAAAGCTTCACAGGAATACATGCATTTGTTGCCCAGTCGCTACGAAGAGCTAAATATGAAACAAAGATGATTCAAGATCGCCACTTGTATCTTCCCTCCTTGGTTTGCCATGTTCTGTCAACGACCACGGATGATCTATGCCCGCACAAGGGCTTTACGAATTACCGTGGCGAGATTTCTGCGAGACTCAGAGACGCAGTGAATCTCTTGACATATTTTGGCTTTTATTGCCGAGCAAGATGAGCGGATCCCAAAAGGTTTGATCCATGGGCCCTTGCATCTGTCATCTGGATTGGTATGCTTCAGCAAACAAGTCACAATGGACCCGGGCAGTGATACCTTCGGTTGTCGATGCAAGTGACCATGCTGGCCGTTGGGGGGCGCCGTCAGAAAGCCGGCCAGCGAGCTCGAACACCAAAGAAGTATGTTGACTTCTCAGCTTCTTTGAATTTGTCTATTCCTTCTCTTCAGAGGCTTCCTTCTTGTCGCCATTTGCGTCGAACCCGAGAACATCGAGCTGGCGGACTAGTTCCTGAATCTTGATCACCTTCTCCAACTGCTCTGGTAGCAGTGCCTCTCCCTGGTTCTTCTTGTCACGTAGATCGCGAGCTTGTCTCAGTTTCTTCTTGAGGCTGCGGGCCTTTTTCTCTTTCTCCGCTTCAGGATCAACCGCCTCCTCAGCCTGCGCTGCGGTATTCTTGGTCCCGTTGGACTGCTTCTTGCCCTCATCAGGTGCAGCGGCGCGCCAGTTGTGGATCTGAGTCACGTCCTTGCCATTGGTAGCAGATTCCTGTGTCGCCTTGGCTTTTCTTTTCGCTTCCCGGCGCTTCGCATTCTTGTTGCTGGTCGCACTGCCAGCCTTGTTGGCCGACGCGTCTTCTTCATCCTTCAAACCGTCAGCGCCGATTACCCCGCCTTTGCCGCGGTTCTTCCACGCCTCTGCCGCTCGGTTCTTGTACAGTTCCACATCCTCAGGGGGGCGGTATCCCGGTCGAACACGGATCTCACGACGCTTGGAGCCATCCGCGCGAAGAGACGAGGGGATGTAGCGTTCTCCGGTGGATTCGTTCGTGGCAATCCCGGACTGGGTGACCGAATTAGGCTGGTTGGAGGCCATTCTTTAAGTGAACTGTTGAGCCCGTCGGACGACAAGTCAGCGTGCTTGGAATGATCAACAGGTAGCTCCGTAGTAAGAGGCGTTTTCCCCTCTCCAGATATTGTAACGTGGGTTCGCTGGAACTGAATCCGGGGCGAGTTGTAGGAGGCGTTTGGCGGCTCGAAAAAAGGACGAGAGTGGGTGTGAGGGTGAATGAAGCCCGGGGCGGCCGTCGGGAGGCTCTGCGCCAGTGGTGTTCCGACTGGCCAATCAGCGGCCCGGTGATTCCCGCTGTTGCTTTTCGCGGCCGCCAAACCGAACTCGCACCCGGTTGGAATCTTCAACCTCACCTCGCCATCCCCTTTGCCTAGCTGTCTTGCCTCGCTCCCTCCCTTCTATCTTTCGATCCACAACCGTCACAATGGCCGGCGCCGTAAGTGATTTACTGGGCTGTGATGCGTGACCGTTCAATGGCTAACTCCAGGGTGCTCCCCGTCCAGATCGCTTCCGCTATCTACCAGCACGTCTCCCTTTCCTCCGGATCTTCAATCCGGGACCGAGCCCGGCTACAGAATGGACTTGCTAACGACAGGTGCTTAATCGATCTATAGGGGCCTCTTCCGCCGCAATGCTGTCTACCTGACTTCCATCTTCGCCGGTGCTTTCGCATTCGAGCTGTACGTTTCTGCTATCGGGATGCTTCGGAGACAATCGCTAAATAACATTTTTTTTTTCTTTCGGAATAGGTCCTTCGACACTGCTTCCAACAAGATCTGGGATTCCTTCAACCGTGGTGTATGTTTCCAAGCCCAGATCTTTCCCCACGAGCAATGCTGACAGGTTCCTGTAGCGCCAATGGAAGGACATCAAGCACCAGTATGTCAACAAGGCCGAGGAGGATGATGACGAGTAAATATGGAGACCACCGCTATGCCACAATGGAAGGAGTAGATCGATGCTGGGGGGAAGATATCCCGTCTCATGTTATATACTACCGCCGAGTGACGGGAGGGGAGTGCTATAATTCGGGGTGTTTGTACGAAATAGAGTCCCAAGAACCCATAACCTTTTCCCACAGCGCCTCCGGATGATTGTGCGTAGCTCGACCACTTAGCTCCGTAGAGAATCAACCTACCATCGTGGCGGCTGGCCAGCCAGGCGGGGTGGTGGTGGGAGCCCACCGGTGTTGAAAGGCTGTGGATGGGAATTGCGGTGGCGCCAAGCCCCGGTGTTTGCAGTGTTCGATGTCATGGCTCGAGTCGGCCCAACCGCTGGCTGCGAGCCTGCCTTCCCTCTTTGTGTTAATCACCTAGGCATCTCGTCGCGGTCGCATTTTCGCCGGATATTTTCGCCAGAGACAACTGGAGCGCAGACTCGGAAGATCAAAGTCCGGCTCATGATATATATCAACGGGCTGCTGCTGCGTGCGGTTAAATACCACCACCCATCCTCCGACCCCCACTGTGACATCGCCGTTGCTAGTATTGTCGTTCGATCACTAAGCCTCTCGACTGATCTAGATTTTTTCCCCCCTCTACTTCACATGGGATTTCCCGCCTCAGTACCATCCACCAATTTTGTCGCCCCTTCCATCCGGGCTCATCGAAACCGACTAGCCGCCACTCAAAGTACGCCCTGTCGGCTGAGCGATCCCAGACTGGAAGATCACAGGCCCGCCCGCCGGAGCTTCCTTTCACTTCATCCGCCTTACCATCCCCTCATCCCTCATTTCCTGGACTTCCCAGATGAGTTCCGCGATTCGAGCGCAAAGGCGGTAAATTATGAAGCTTGCGGACTTGGAAAGGATCCTTGGAGAAAGCCTTCAAGGGCTCCCCTCCATACACAGCTATCGCTATGGGCCACAGGCAGAGAAAGATGTCATCCAGCTTCTCTTCCACTCCTTGACCGGCTTTAACGGGGACTATCTCCGTATACTATTTCCCGATGGAGTCCCGGCCGGGACGTGGAAATTAGCGGAAGCCCAGGGTGCGAAAGAAGGTGCGGAATACACCGAGGCGGCGCGGGGAAAACGTTGTGGTCATATTTTCAGGGCCGGCGAGGCAACATACCGCTGTATCACCTGCGCCGCGGACGACACCTGCGTTCTGTGCAGTCGCTGCTTCGACGCTTCCGACCACACCGGTCATCAGTATCAAATCTCTCTGTCGTCGGGAAACTGCGGCTGCTGTGACTGTGGGGATGAGGAGGCATGGCGACTGCCGTTGTTCTGCGCCATTCATACCGACAGTGACGATAAGAAGGGCAAACAGCGGGCTCAGACTCAGCTGCCGCGCGATTTCCTGGATAGCATCAGGTTGACCATCTCGCGAGTGCTGGATTATTTCTGCGATGTCATTTCTTGTTCCCCTGAGCAGCTGCGACTGCCGAAGACGGAAGAGGGAATCAAGCAGGATGAAGAGGCATCTCGGCTACGTCCCGGGTGGTATGGAAATGGAGATGAAGCCGAAGAAGAGCCGGAGTTTGCACTTGCCCTCTGGAACGATGAGAAGCATACCATCCGCGATGTCGCTCATCAAGTCAGCCGGGCTTGTCGGGAACGGGACCGCTTTGGTAATGATAGAGCCCATGAGACGAATGATATAGGAAGGAGTGTCGTCAAGTATTCCAAGGATCTGCAGAGATTGCTGGCGGTGTCTAAGATCATCGAGCAGATCAAGGTCACGGTTACGATCCGGTCTGCCCGCGACACGTTCCGCGAGCAAATGTGCGGGACCATCGTGGAGTGGCTGGCAGATATATCTGGCTGCAGTATACTGGACGATAACGAGATTCTACGCCACACTGTGTGTGAAGCACTCCTGAGTACGTGGCGACATGGCAGTAATGCCGTTAATGCAGATGTTGGAATGAAGGGCATCGACGACCATCAAAGGACGGAGAATGCCCCGTACCGCACTGTCATGCTCACGGTGTCCCCCCAGGGGCAGGTGGTTTTGGCTGCCGATGACGACGACGACGAGGATGAAGAAGATGAAGAGATTCAAATTGATAATGAATTGGGTGGTGATGGAGACGAAGACTTCGTGGAGACCCATGATGATGATGCTGACGATGAAGACGACGACATGGAGCTTGAAATAACCCGACTACGTGGGGAGGTCGATGATGATGAAGACATGGTCATGGGCAATGCGGATGACGCTTTTGACATTGCTCAGACCATCCTTGGTCTTGCTGGAGGGCCTGCGTCTCCCGGCACTCGCGCTCAGCAACCACGGGAACAAGAATCACTAGCAACATCCGAAAACCAGGATGAGGATCAGAGTATGCAACAACCAGAAAACGAGTCCAACTCCGTCGAAACCTGTGAGCTTCCGCCCATGTCGTATGTGGCTATTCCTAAAACCCCCTCGGGCGTGGTCAAACCCTCGCCTGCGAAGACCCCGAGTCACTGGCAGGTCCGGCCTTCCCTCCCGGCCATCGGGGAGCACATCCCTCCCTACGAGGATTTGTGGCAGCGGACACGCCTGGACTGGATGATCCTATTTGACCTTCGTCTATGGAAGAAGACCCGGACCGACCTTCGCGATTTGTACATTGGCACCGTCGTCAATGTTCCTCAATTCAAGAGAATCATGGGTTTACGTCTGTCGGCCCTGTACACGGCGCTCGCGCAGCTGTACCTGATCGCAGACCGGGAGCCAGATCACTCCATCGTCAACCTCTCCCTCCAACTTCTCACGACCCCCTCGATCACGGAGGAGATCGTGCTTCGCGGGAACTTCCTCACCAAGGTTATGGCCATCCTGTATACCTTCCTAACGACGCGGCAGGTTGGTGAACCGTACGAAGTAAATCCGAACGCAACCCTGGCTTTTGATGCCGGTTCTGTGACCAATAGACGCTTGTACCATTTCTTCCTGGATCTACGATATCTCCTGCAGTCCGAATACGTACAGAACCGTGTGCGGACGGAGGAACCCTATCTTTCCCAGTTCTTGGACCTTGTCAAGCTGTCGCAGGGTATTTGCCCTAACGTGCGTGCGGTTGGGGAGCATGTTGAGTACGAGACGGACGCCTGGATCAGTGCCTCAATTCTTATGCGAGAGATCAACCGTTTATGCCGTCAGTTCTGCGAGGCCTTCCGCAACCCGGAGGTCGATGGCGGCCAAAAGCTGTTGCGGGCACTTCGAACGGCAACCATTGCGGCAGTGGTTCATTCAACGGGAGTTGAGCGCAAGCGGTTTGACCAGGCTGAGATTAAAGAATACGTACGGTTCAAGACCCTACCCCCGCTGGACTTCGAAGTCGACCAGCAGCGAGTCCCCGGTACCGTGTAGTCGACTTTGTAGTGGAACGCGGCTCGATGAGTTTCCACCACGCCCTCCACTACACACTGTCGTGGCTGCTGGAATGTGGCCGCAATGTGAGCAACACTCTGATGCGGGATGTGCTTCTGAGTGCTGCGCATGCTGGAAATGAAAAGTTTATCCACGATGGTCAGCTGGCTCCTGAAGACCTGCTGCTGTCCATGTTTGATTATCCTCTCCGGGTTTGCGCCTGGCTCGCGCAGATGAAAGCCGGCATGTGGGTGCGCAACGGTCTCAGTCTGAGGCACCAGATGTCCCAGTACCGCGGCGTGTCGTCCCGCGACTTTGCCTACTATCGTGACATCTTCCTTCTTCAGACCGCCCTAGTGACTTGTGACCCGAGCCGGGTCCTGGCGTCAATCGCGGACCGGTTTGGCATGATCGACTGGATGACCAGAGACTATATGCCACGGGCAGGCTATGAAGACAGCCAGATCATCGACGTCGCTGAGGAGTTTGTGCATCTGCTGGTCATCCTGCTGACGGACCGGACCTCGCTCAGCGCCGTGGACGATAGCGACAGCGCGACGCGCGAAAACATGAGCCGCGATATTGCCCATGTCCTGTGCTTCAAGCCTCTTTCTTTTTCGGACCTGTCTACTCGCCTTAGTGATAAACTACTTGACTCGGATATGTTCCAGACTGTACTCGACGACGTTGCGGGATTCCGTCCGCCGGAAGGCCTGAACGACACGGGAACGTTTGAGCTGAAGCCGGAATACATCGACCTTATTGATCCTTATAGCGCCCACTACAGCAAGAACCAGCGAGACGAAGCAGAGAACATCTACCGGGAGTGGGTGGCTAAGAAAACTGGGAAGAAGGCATCTGACATCGTCTTCGAGCCGAAGCTACGGCAGATCACATCCGGCGCGTTTTCGGACCTTCCTCGGTTTACCAGGACGCTGGTCTTTGCCCAAATCGTGCACCACTGCTTGGACTATGTCGTGTCGTCCAAGGAGCGTACCCCGTCCATCCCATCCACCCGTGTGGAGACCTTCCTGCAGGTTGTCCTCCACCTGATCCTGGCGGCATCACTCGAGGACAGCAGCGAAGGAGAGGGAACGTCAGATGGGTCCTCCCCGTCATTTGTGTCGCACGCCTTGACCAAGGCCAAGGACACTACTCAGGCCGGTCCATTGACGATCGTTGGGCTTCTGGAGAAGATTTCGGTCATGACTGAATTCTCCGCCTGTGGGCCAAAGATCCGTCATATCCTAAAGAGGCTCTGGCAGAAGCGCCCTCAGGCGTACGCCTCTGCTACCGCTTCTCTCAAGTTCCCGTTCGATCGAGTCGACACCAGCTCGCCAGCCATCGATACGGACAATGAGAAGGAGATGAAAAAGAAACAAGCCCTGGAAAGGCAAGCAAGGGTCATGGCCCAATTTCAACAGCAACAACAAAATTTCCTCAACAGCCAAGGTGCAATTGATTGGGGCGAGGAGGACTTTAGCGACCTGGAGTCCGAACCTGAAACGGCTCCGGAATCCAAGCTGTGGAAGTACCCTAGCGGGACCTGCATTCTTTGCCAGGAAGAGACCAATGACTCGCGCCTCTACGGAACATTCGCCTTGATCCAAGACAGCAGCATCATGCGGTTAACCGACATCCGCGATCCTGACTGGATTCGGGAGGTAATTAGGACCCCAGCCAGCCTGGACAAGTCCGCGGAGCACATCCGTCCATTCGGCGTGGCGGGAGAGAACCGCACCACAGTTCGCCGACTGGACTCGACCGGTGGCGAAGTGATCAGCGAGAAGGTCGGGTTGAGTAAAGGCTTCAACGCGAAGAACACGCTTCGCGGGCCGGTTACCACGGGCTGTGGACACATCATGCACTACTCGTGCTTTGAAGTCTACTTCACTGCCACCCATCGCCGTCACACGCAGCAGATCGCGCGCAATCACCCGGAGCGTCTGCTCAACAAAGAATTCGTTTGCCCTCTCTGCAAGGCCCTGGGCAACTCCTTCCTTCCCATCATCTGGAAGGGCAAGGAGGAATCATACCCGGGGGCGCTGACTCCGTCTGTATCCTTTGAAGATTTCATCAACACAGAGCTCAAGTCATCCCTCTCGCAACCTCGCCACTACGCACTGCTCACGGAGAACAACGACTTGCAGGTCCAGTCGTCGTACCAGGAACTATTCACCAGTTATCTATCCAAAACATTGGTTCCTCCGCTGGCGACTAAAGTTGAACTGCTCATCTCGCCGTCTCTTCCATCAACTGCACATTATCTGCCACAGGCGAGAATGCCGATGCCCGGAATCTTCCCATTGCAAGAAGACAACACAACTACCAGCCCGATGCAACAAGCTCCAGCCCTCAGCGGTAGCCCCATGTCCGAGCTTGTGCAGATTTACAAGCGATTGAAGCAAACCATCCGGATGAATCACATTCCATCCACATTCAATCATCATCCGGATACCACCGAGACGAATGACCTGTTACACACCGATTCATTGTTCCAGAGCTTCGGCTTCAGTATCGCCGCTGCCGAGATATCCCAGCGCGGAGTTGAATCGGAGCCAGGATCGACACTGCTAGACAAAATTCCTCAGTTGACATTGACGCATCTCCGGGTTTTAGCCGAGAGTGCGCTGTCCTATGCTGCGGTTGGCTGTGTATACAATGCCAACGGGCCTCATACTCACAGCGGAGATGAATTCCAAGAGCTGCACCGTCAGAAGATTTGTCAGCTTTTCATCGGCCATCCCTGCCTGAATGGCACCGCCCTGCTGAATGACGTGCGTGAAATTGAGCCGTTGCTAGCTAAGGACACATTTGTGTTCTTGGCCGAGTGCTCCCTTTCTCTCTTGCCAGTGTTGCCGATTGATATACGTCACCTGATCCAGATGTGCTACGTGGCGGAAATGGTCAAGGTCGCGGTCACCTTCATTCTCTGTCCCCAGGGCCTGAAGGAGGAGCTAGCCCAGCATGGTGACGACCAGTACTTGTCGGCATTTGACCAATCGGACCCTCGATTTGACGCTAGTCGCCACTTCTTCAACTCCATAGTTGCCGAGCTCAAAGCCAACTCGGTGGGCCGCGCCGGAGGGTCGTCTTTCCCTGCCGAAACTGGCTATGTTAGGGATGGTGAAGATGCTGTCACTCCTGAGGTCCTGATCTCGCTGAGACGTCTTGTGTCGAGCTATGCCTTGACGTTCCTCCGGAAGGTGGTGATTCTGCTCCATGTTCAGCACGGCGTTGAGTTCCCGAACACCGGCTTCCACGACGTATATGCCTCGGAGCTGGACCGCCTCACCAAGATCCTGAATCTGCCATCGGTCGACCAGATCTTCGCCTCCATTAGCTCGGCAAGGGAGAGTGGCAAACCGTTCGATGCCGTGGTCTCTGGGTGGATATTCCACTGGAATGCATCCCGCTCGGGCATTCGGTTGGCCGATCACAAGCTGTGGCCCAGCCTTCCCCACCCTGCCATTTTCGAATTAGTCGGACTTCCCAAGTACTACGACAGTTTGATTGAAGAGGCCAACCGGCGGCGGTGCCCGAACTCGAAGAAGGAATTGAGCGACCCCAGTATTTGCCTCTTCTGCGGTGACATCTTCTGCTCGCAGGCTGTGTGCTGCATGGAGAACAAGCTGGGCGGTTGTAACCAGCACGTTCAGAAGTAAGCTTTCCTCCCGGATCTCATGGCGAATGACACTGCTAACTGTGAGTAGATGTGGCAAGAATATTGGACTGTTCATCAACATCCGCAAGTGCACCGTGCTCTATCTACACAACCAGAATGGATCATGGCACTATGCACCCTACCTGGACCGTCATGGCGAGGTTGACCCGGGCCTCCGACGGAACCGCCAACTGATCCTGAACCAAAGACGTTACGACCGGCTGCTTCGAGACGTGTGGTTGTCGCATGGCATCCCGGCGACGATCAGCCGCAAGCTGGAGGCGGACATCAACAATGGAGGATGGGAGACGATCTAGACAGATTGCCGGGGGACTTGAAATGGATGAGCTGAACTTTACATAGTATATTGACTGGCCTGATGTGTCAAAAGCTTATGACGTATGCATTGTCGGTTACCGAACTCTTATATAGTTATTTGACTACAGTAATGCCATTGATTCGTACATAGTTCAACACAATACTCAACCATGTGCTTGCAACAACCCCCTAGCCCATTATGATCTTCGCAACATAACATCCGAATAGTGGCAGCCAAACACTCGCCATACAAGTGCAAGATTTAGGGTTAGCAGTAGCCAAGTATCACAAAAGCCAAGGTATAGAGATGGACCCCACCCCAAGTCCTTAGAAAAGAAATAAGGTATAGTGTAACCTGGGCATCCATGCCCACCAATCGGGCCCCCCGCCATCCAGGCCCGACAGCCCGTCTGCTTCGGATGCGCGGCCACCCGCGAAGGATCATCTCGGCTTCTGACGAACCAGATCCGATATACTTTTACTCTTTGTTCTAGTAGATAGTGATACCTCTAGGTACCGTATACACATCAAAGATTGTATGCATCTCCAGCGTATATAAACCCCGTAGACCACATTCTACCTATAACCATCATTCAATCTCAATTCAGTTCAATTCGATCTACAATGACTACAGCAACAGCAACAGCAACAGCAACCACCCTTCCCCCCATCTCCACCCTCCTCGGCCCCCCCGCACCCCCTGCCCTCCCTCAACTCCCCTACCAACGCTGGGCCTACAAGAACCCCCCCAAGGACCCTTCCCACCCCTTCACACACAAGACCGTCCTCGTGACGGGCTCCAACACAGGTCTTGGCTTCGAAGCCGCACTCAAGTTCGCTCGTCTGGACGCAGCGCATCTCATTCTTGGTGTTCGCACGCCCTCGAAAGGCGAAGACGCAAAGCAGCGTATCATCGCAGCGACAAACTACCCAGAGCATCGAATCACAATCCTAAAGCTAGACCAGAATAGCTTTGCATCCGTACGGGAATTCCTATCCAACCTGGGAAATCTTCTCGGCGAGGAAAGAGGGTTGGACGTTGCGGTCTTGAACGCAGGAATCGCAGCACCGAAGTATAAACTCGTCCACGAGACGGGGTGGGAAGAAGCCTTACAGGTGAATGTCCTCAGTACAGCGATGGTCGGGATGGGGGTGATGAGGTTTTTGAAACGAGAAAGCCCAGCAAGAGGCAAAGGGGAACTAGGACAATTGACTCTAACGGGCAGTGTGGGACATGTGTATGCCAAACGGGAAGATTTGATAGGATTACTAGATGTGAACGAAGGGGGGATATTGGAGGTGGTGAGTTCGAGGGAGTTTTTTGGGGTGGAGAGATCATATTGTGTGATTAAGGTGTTGACGATGTATGTGATGAAGGGGTTGATGGAGTGTGCGAGGGATGAAGTGTGGGTGAATGTGGTTTGTCCCGGGTTTTCGGTGACGGAGTTGGGGAGGGAGTTTCCTTGGTATTTTGTTTGGATGACCAGGATGATGTATTGGTATTGTGGAAGGACGGCGGAACAAGGGGGGAGGTCGTTGGTTAGTGCGACTTTGTTGGGGGAGGAGGGGAATGGGGGGTTTTGGGTTAATGATGGGTTGGCTAGGTGAGTTGGTTTGTTGGTTTGTTGGTTTTGTGTTGAATTGAATTGGTGGTGAAAGTGGTGCTAATGTTGTGTTGTGTTGTTTACGCAGGGGGAGATGGTGACGAGTGAGGAGGGGATGAGGCTGCAGGAGAGGTTGTGGAGGGAGATACGTGGGATTTGCGAGAGGGAGTTGTCTAAGATGTAAGAAGATGGGGGAAGGGTTCTGGAATGGCTAAGTTGATCGTCTAGATCAGGGTCTGTGGGTCATCGGATAGATAATTACTACTTAACCTTACAGTATGTACCTACGAGGTATTTTGATATTCTATACGAGATTGGTTCATTTCCAAGGCTGCCTGCTTGCCTGGGGCAAGGAGATCCCGAAGACTTCTGGACTTCCTCCCCTCTCTCTTCCCACAGAGCCATTGCCGACTGAATCTCTTCATCTCTTCGCTCATCATACATCTTTGACCGGTATATTTACCAACGTTCAAGCAGCATTGCAAACTGCAGACTGCAGACGGCATGACTCATTATAAACAGACAGATCGTCGATGCAGGTGTTCTCGGCACTTCAATGCTTGATCTGACTCAATCTCACTCAGTCAGGGGCCCAGCCTCGTATTCTCGTGCTTATCAGACTCGACTCCGACGGGTTCCCGACCATCACCGCTGCCAGTCCCCACTTGGTGCACCGCACGGTCGACCTCTCACCGTGACTCAAGAACCTCTACGAATGTCAAAGAGCTAGCCAGGCATTGGCCCGGTACGTCTTATATAAGACCAGCCGGACGCGACAGCCCAGACCGCAGTAAAATGTCTAGCCATCGACCACACCGACCCTGTCAATCATGGCATGGGATTTGACATCTCCGTCGTCCCCATCTTGGGTGCTGGGTCCCTCCACCCTCTTCATCGTCTCTGCTGTATGGAGATGCATCCGGTTGCGTCGGGAGCCTGTCAAAGTGATCCCCAATTATAGGGGGCTCTGGAAATTGGTAGGTTGCTTCCCATACCTTTTGTTCCTGGGTCCCAATTCTCACCATGTTCGCGATCTACTAGCTGCTTGCTCTTGTGCTTGCTGGACTCAACCTTGTCGCCCTGATCTCGCTCATTGCCGCGCACAATCCGATAGTCATCGCCGCCTCCGCAGTCGCGTTTACGGCCTCGCTTCTCGTTCCGCTCCTGTCATTCCTTGAGCATGGCCGTTCCGTCAGCCCATCCGCAACTCTGAACATCTATCTCTTGGTGGTCCTGGTTGTAGATATTGTCCGCCTCGCTTGGGTCCATATCATCATCAATGAAGTCTCTCCTCCGTGGAACTTTGCCATGCCGGTGGTGTCATTTCTATTTCTGATTCTAGAGGCCCACGACAAACGGGCTATTCTGCGCGAACCGTGGCAGGATGTGTCTCTGGAGGAGACCACCAGTGTCTTGAGCAAGGCATTCCTCTGGTGGATCGTTCCCTTGCTCCGGAAGGGCAATAAACAGATCCTTGTCCTCGATGATCTCTTTTCTATGCACAGTGAATTGTCTGCTCAGTCGCTGCGCGATCGGATTTCGGAATACTGGGGCACGCGATGTAAGTCAATTGACCCAGTCGTTGACCTCTGTGTTGACCATCTCAGCAAACCCCAAGGGCAAATATAGCCTCCTCCTTGCAACTATCAAATCCACCTTTTGGCATAATGCAAAGGTCCTCCCAAGTCTGTCTCTAGAGCTCATCTTCCTATACACCCAACCTCTATTCATCAGTCGCATGATCACCTTTGTAACGGCCCCCTTGTCAAATGAGCAACAACGTTTAGAGGCCTTGAAACTTATCATTTCGGTGATTGGTATCTTTGTTGGCCAAGCTGTACAGTGCCCCGTTCCATTACATTCAGTTCCATAGTAACCATGGTGCAGATCTGCAATGCTTTCAGGGAGATAGCCAAGACTAAAGCCTCCCTGGCGGTCAAAGGGTCTGTGATAGGCATCATCCATGACAAAGCGTTGACAGTGGGCAACAACTTCCAGGGCTCTGCGGTGACACTCATTGGCAATGATGTTCTGGACATTGTGCAGTCTGTCCACTGTTTTTATCAAGTGTTGCTGGCTATTCTTCAGCTGGTTGTGGGAATGTATCTTTTGGCGTCCAAACTAGGTTGGGCGTGTCTTGTTCCTATCGCGCTAGTTCTTGGTATGTCATTGTCACTTCCAAACGAATGTAACTGACAGAGATAGTGTCGTCGAAGGGCAGTAATCATGTCGCAGCCAACTTGGGCCCCAGACAGATTTTATGGAGCCAGGCAACAGAGGCACGGGTCTCATTAACGACATCTCTTCTCGAAAACATCAAAATCATCAAGATGATGGGGCTGTCAGGGCATATGGCCACTAAGATCAACACCGCTCGTGGGAGTGAGTTGAAATCAAATATCGTGTTCAATCAAATGTTCGCTCTTTTAAACTTTATCAGTACGTTTGCTTATTCCCATTTTTTTCCCAGCTAACCTGAAATAGCCGGGATGGTCAAGAATATGGCCCCCGTCCTGACTCTCGTTATATATGCTATACAAGCTAAGCTCCGTGGCCAAGACGGACTGGATACTAACACGGCCTTTACTTCGATTGCCATTATTACATATGTGACGCAGCCAGTCAATGTCGTAATCTCCCAGATTCCTGCCCTTTTATCGTCACTTTCAGGCTTCGAACGAATCCAGGAATATCTGTTGAACCCATCTCACCAGGACAGACGTGTCCTGATTGGTGCCGGAGCCCAGGCCTCGAAGTATGAAGATCGTGAGGACAGCCTGGTCCAAAATAAGTCTCTTGCTATAGAGATTCAAAAAGCAACCATCCGTCCTGCACCTGATGCTGAGCCAGTTCTGGAGGACATCAGTGTGTCAATCAACCAAGGATCACTCGTCTTCTGCGCGGGCGCTGTGGGCACTGGCAAAACTACACTCGCCAAGGCCATCCTCGGGGAGATCTCTCCGGGCCGCGGTGCTATTTTGGTCTCGTCTGCAACTATCGCATATTGTGCGCAGTCAGCTTGGCTCATGAACGGTACAGTTCAGCAGCTAATTTGCGGCCCTCCTGGCTCAGGAGAGATCGATCAACTGTGGTATCAGAAGGTCGTGTATGCCTGTGACTTGAAGGAAGATATCCAGAGAATGCCACAGGGCGATAAGACGGTGATTGGCAGCGGTGGAATTGTACTCTCTGGTGGCCAGCGCCAACGGGTTGTAAGTACTGCTCAGCATGCTGCTACGCTTCCAGCTAATCTAGCTAGGCTCTTGCGCGTGCGGTCTATTCGAAACTTAGCATCATGGTCCTCGACGATGTCCTCAGTGCATTGGATGCTCAGACAGAGTCCCGTATCGTTGACCGATTGCTCGGAGAAAACGGCCTCCTTCGCAGAATCGGAGTAACAGTATTTCTGATTACCCATACTAGTGAGTTTTCAAAATGACCGCAGTGAGACTGACGCTAACACCGACAGCACAACACTTCCCACTGGCTGATTATATTGTGGTTCTGGGAGATGATGGGCGGGTCTCTGAACAGGGAACTTGGGAGCAACTTCGAGCTCAAAGCGGATATATCAGCAAGCTGATTCTTCATGAGCCTGACAGGAAAGACCAGGAAAATGCCGACGAAAGTGAGAACAGCGAAATCAAAACGCCCTCTTCAGATGAGCCGGAACGGTCAATGGATCTAGTGCGACAGAAAGGAGACCCTTCGCTTTATTCATACTACTTCAACTCCATGGGCAAGCTAAATGCTGCGATCGTCATGTTTGCGATGGCCGCGATGTCTGTGTTCAGTGTGGTGACCCAATACTGGCTCAAGTGGTGGACGGATGCAGATGGCTACTGGCCGCAGTGGTTCTATATGACGATCTACATTTTGCTGGCGCTGGCCACTTGGGTCACGAACGTCAGTTGGGTCTACATGCTCCTTGTTCATCTCGCTCCCAAATCTAGCATGGAGATTCATCAGCGCCTGCTGCGTACTGTCATCCGTGCGCCGTTGTCCTTTTTCACATCCGCGGATAACGGCACAACTTTGACACGGTTCAGTCAAGATCTCAAGCAAATCGATCGAATGCTTCCTGGGGCATGTGCAGCCACGGGTCTCAATGTATTCAGACTTATTGGACAGCTGTTTCTGCTAATCGCAACCCAGAGATACATGGGCCTCACCTTTCCCTTTTTATTGCTGGCTCTTTACGGGATTCAGACTTTCTATCTCCACACGACTCGACAACTCCAATGGCTAGACATGGAGTCGGCATCTCTGGTCAGCAACAGCTTCTTGGATACTATTGAAGGATTGACGACCATCCGTGCGTTTGGCTGGGAGCATGCATTTGCTACAGACAACAGCAGGCGCGTCGACACTTCCCAAAAGCCCGAGTACAACCTTGAGTATCTTCAAGCGTGGTTGCACCTCGCCATGGATCTCATCATCGCTGCATTGGCCCTTTCATTTGTTTTGTTTACCATACCCTACAGGGAATCCTTAAGTGGTGGCGAAGTTGGAATTGCCTTGAACGTGCTTATAACCGCAAGTATGACATTGTTGATTACATTGGATCAATGGACACGGCTGGAAGCGTCACTGGGCGTGATATCACGCGTTAGAAACTTCGAAAAGGATGTGGCGCCTGAAAGCAAGCCAGGCGAGAGCCAAGAGCCCCCCACAAACTGGCCTGACAAAGGTACAGTTCAGTTCACAGAGATTGTAGCAGGTTACAGGTGAGTTAGGTCCGATCTAGCGTGTTTCACCCCTAATGCTCAACAGTTCTGAATCCACTGCTATCAACCATATCTCCCTACATATTTCGCCCGGTGAAAAGATTGGTATTTGTGGTCGGACTGGAAGGTTTGTCTACTGCCCGAATTTCCAATGTTCATACCTAACTCTCCTCAGTGGCAAATCCTCTTTGCTCCTCAGTGTTCTCCGTCTCATTGAACTTTCTTCTGGAACCATCATGATCGATGATCTAGACCTTCAAAATCTTCCACGCGAGACGATCCGATCCCGCATTATCACCATCCCGCAAGACCCTTTGCTCATGAAGTCCGACACACTCCGTGAGAATTTAGATCCAACGGGCACGATAACCGACGAGAAGATCATTGCCACGCTGGAGAAGGTCAAGCTATGGAGTATCTTTACCTCCCGAGGGTCTGGCGGTGAATCGGATGCGCCGCTTGCTGCTGAAAGCTGCCTCGATGCCCCATTGAAGGACTACCCTCTTTCAGCTGGACAGCAACAGCTGTTTTCTCTTGCGCGTGCTATGCTGATGCGATTCACTCGGGGCAAGCTCGTGATTCTCGACGAAGCGACGAGTAACATTGACAAGGAAACCGATGGTCTGATTCAGGAACTTCTACGGGTGGAGTTCCAGGGGTACAGCATTCTGACAGTGGCGCATCGGCTGGATACTATTCTGGATTCTGATAAGATTGTTGTGTTGGAGCAGGGAGAGATTGTGGAAGTAGGTCCGCCGCAGGCATTGCTAGGGAGGGAGCAGGGTGCATTTAAAAGTCTGCTTGGGAAGTAGTGCTAGCAGTTGGTTAAGATCTCTATCATGTTGACTCGTTCCGATTCGGATGTTTATAGCTTCTATGACGACTGCTACTAAGTATATTGTCTACCAAGATAGCAAGACATTAACAGGGTTTGCAGCCCAATCATGCTGTCACTGTCTTGACCGAGTCTAACCAAGCCGTATCTACATTCAATGCTGCGACAAGGACAATAATATTCCTGAGCCTTTCACCTTCACCACCATCCATATATTCATCGACATGAATCTGTCACGGTATCAATTCATCACAACAGCCCCTTCAATTCCTTCCTATTGAACTCCTTTAACCCAATTATAAATTGCCAGTTAATCCTTCGGACCTATATCTTCCCACTCTTCCTCTCCATCCCTCTCTTCTCTCTTCCACTTCCATCTACTACACCTGAACTCTTCCCACAGGATCAATATGCTTGGAATATACCAAATCCCCTATAAAAATTATCCCATTTAATCAAAACCATCACCAATAACCATCCCTTGAATTAAGCGACCTCGAACGCAACATACCGCATTTCAATTCCCGTTAGAGGACCCCTTATTTCTTAGCCAAAATGTCATATTTCAAAGGTCTTATCGAAAGACAACCTACAAAGATGATAACCAAGATGGCCCACAAGCCAAATACCGCATATACAGTGAGGCTCTTGTATAGGGTCATTCCCGAAAAGACAGGCAAAAGGTTTACTTTAGCCTGTGGCTTAGCAGACTGGTACCACCACCAGCTAGCTCAGACGACTTTCCTAAGATGATCATCATGACTGTCCCATATCCAGAGACTGGGCAGAAAATCCTATGGATTTATGTCACAAAACAACCAAGGAACCATCAGGAGTGACTTGCAAGATATGATTATGACGCGGGCTCAGATGGAATTAATGTTGAGCTGACGGTCTAGCTGCAAGATCGGGACGATCACCCGAGAGGAAACCAGAGGGATATGGTCGATACCCTCGTGTTTAGGGTATTGATCACCTCTACAATAGAGGGAAGTTATTGGTGCTCCATGTTTCGTGGGTACGATGGATATATTCGATACGGTACAGAAATAAGCAGCCTACAATGTTTATTACAGATGCATTGATTGGGATCATACCAAGCAGCAAAGAACCAAATTCGACACTGACCAGGTTGAACTCTCGAGCTGACAATATTTGGACATTTGTCAATCAATTACAGACTCAAGAAGACAAATGATCATGGAAGTCAATGAATGACGTTGACTTTTGCGCTTTGGTCTGGGGAGCACAAATGTGATCATCTGCCACCTTCAACCGTCCAACCGAGCGACGCGTGGGTCTATGGTGTCGGACACACTGTCTGGCAGACACAAGGGGTTATAGATGGCCGGCAGATTTGACTAATCTATGCATGGTTTGTTTGGAAAACCGCAAATGCCCCGATTATTGACAATTTTGGACAAATGGCTAGATATATGATGGTCTTGGGGCCAGGATAGGGTTGTTTGCCTCTACATCGACAGAAAGCTGTCACAACTATCACGTATTATGGATGAACAGCATGATTATTGAAGAGACACCTACAATTCCTCTTCATTAAAGGTTCTCTGGATATCGAACCAGATCCTGGCCTGCATAATTGAAGCTTCATTTTGACCATTTAGGCCAAGATACGAAGTATCAACGATTGTTCTCGTTGAAAAGGTGATGAGAAGTGGACACCAATGATTTCCTGCTTTGTACTGAATCAAAATCAAGGAAAATGGTCAGGACTCTGGAAGGTAGTCTGCTTTCTCCGCAGGTGCTCCTGGCGATGTCTGGTTCCTGCGGTGCCCTCTCCTCGCACCCCTCTGATATTAACCACAATGGGGATGTTGTTGCTCTTGCGAATATTTTAGCCACCTTGGCTACTAAGGGTCCGTGTGTCCGCGGGACGCCCCCTCCTCCTGAGAGTATATCCAGGGCTCAATGGGATATCTTTGTCCCGCAGCAAGTCGGGGTCGCGAACTGTGCTTCGGCTCAATTCGTGGATCTGCCCATGGTGGGTTGATTTACCAGCCTTTCCATGAGTGCTCCGGCTGTTCTGCCATGACTTTTAACCTGGACAGGGTAGCAGTCCCTGTCGGGTCGCGAGCGCTGCTGGATAGCGGAATCGCCTTCATTGGGTACGGTTCAGCTAGCCAGTTGGGAATGCGTGTTCAGCTCCGCGAGGCTATCCTCACTCCGGTCCTGCGTTATATGCTTCGGAGACCCTCAATAGGGTTGTGCAGATACAGATATCAAACCTAGCATATAGGACAGAGCAAACCACCTGAGTCTGCATACATACTAGGGTTCTAGAACCACATGTGACATCTGTCTGGGTTCAACCTCTGTTTGGTTCCTCCCCCAGATTGCGTGCCAGCAAGAAATGTGTCTGTCCCTATTGACTACCCAATAGTCTCGACTATCAATAGATCTATGGGTGTATTTACAATATACGCCTAGATATACAGTGGTTAGAACTTGTTTCAATCGACCTCCCACTAAATGAATTCCATGGCAATCCGGCTGATAGCTGATCCCACAACGACATAACCAAAGAAGAAAATGTCGCTTCTTTTCGACAAGGCAGGGTCTGCTGTCAAATTATCAGTCAAGACTATCAAATATCATGGCTTTGAAGAAGACAATGCGATGGTCAACCAAATTGCAACTGATCCTACTATTGGTTTATCTCTGTCTTGGTTATTACCAAAGCTCCGCCGGGATGTTTTTTAGCATCGTCATTCTTACTGGAACACTACTTTCTACATTGTTTGTATGATGATTGTTGAATAAGGACGAGCTCGTCTATACCTTCAAGTCCAACTTTGATCTCAAGGGCGATGCGGATAATGTGGACATAACGGTCAACAACACGGTCATCAACGAGGAGGTTAAGGAAGAGAACCAGTGTCTCAAGTCAAGGCAGTCGAAGTTGCGGACCGGATTCTCTTGGGAATTTGGCCTCAGGAATGGCCTCCAAAATTACGCGGATGACGCCTTCGAAGCAGTTCGCCGCTTGGTCCTCAGCCATGGTCATACTCTCTGCCAGATGGTATTCTATGACTACTCTACTGGATCCAGTTACAATGTCTACAATTTACCGGGTAAGCGAGATCATGGAAATCTAGCGGGGCCGAAAGAAAGAAACTCTCCCATCTTGCCAATCGTCTCGTACAGATAGATCATCGGGATATTGTGAAGAGGAAGGAAACTGTACATACTCGTAAAGAGACAATGGACCAATACTATGACTCACTTACGATTTGTTTCATCGTTTCGGGACTCGGCATCCCAGCGTAGCTCCTGGCGAATCAAATCTTCGATGCCGTATAAGCAGTAGACGAATCGGCGTGAAGCCATTTCCACCACGAAACCAAACAGACGATCTTCCTTGGAATGACTTCACCTGGTTACTTGTTCGGTTCACCGGTTTAAAGTTACACGGGCAGAGTCGGGCAGGCCAGGCGGAGGACAGAGCTCCACCCCGCTGTCATGCCCATTACGTACCGTCGTACCGACCCCTCGTCCCCCGCCTTATTTAAAGTGCCCCTCTTCTCTCCCCCACCTACTTTTCTCTTCTCTTTATCCCATCCATCCAATTCAACTAACTCAGTCGAGTTATCATCACAAGTCATCCTCTCCCGCTTGCTGCAAGCATGCACCCTACTAACCTCTTCCTAGAACCACCCCTGCAATGTAATCTCCAGTCTACTTCACTTCCGATGGAAGTCATGCTATCTTCGGCTGGACCCTCATGGATCAGGTACCTCAGGTAATTCTGGGCATGGACCGGTGTTCGTTCTCCTCCGTGGATTGGGGTTCGCCTCAGTCCCGTTGGGTTCGTTCTGAGATTATACGGTTAAACTTGATCTGGATAATACCAGCGAAAGGATCATGCCTTCCCTCGTCCCTTGCTTGTTGGAATGGCTAACAGTTGATAGTCACCATGTCTCCCCCAGCTGCCATCTTCGAGCCCACTGTGGTCCCTACCGGCATCAAGGCCAACGTCGGGGTCCCTCAGACCGCTCCTGTTACTGGATCCTCTCAGACCCAGCTGCTCGACCGCTTTGCGGGCAAGTGGGATGATTTCAAGTTTGCTCCCATTCGCGAGAGCCAGGTCTCGCGTGCCATGACTAGACGGTACTTTCAGGACCTGGACAAGTATGCCGAGAGTGACGTTGTCATTGTCGGTGCCGGTTCCTGCGGTCTGAGCACGGCCTATGTCCTGGCCAAGGCCCGTCCGGACCTGAAGATTGCCATTGTCGAGGCTAACGTCTCCCCTGGTTGGTCTGCCAGTTCCTTCGTACAATTGAACATCGCACTGACTCTTGTAGGTGGTGGTGCCTGGCTGGGTGGTCAGCTCTTCTCCGCCATGATCATGCGTCGGCCCGCGGAGGTGTTTCTGAACGAATTGGGCGTGCCCTACGAGGAAGACGCCAACCCCAACTATGTTGTGGTCAAGCACGCCTCCCTCTTCACCTCGACCTTGTTGTCCAAGGTTCTCTCCTTCCCCAACGTCAAACTCTTCAACGCCACCAGCGTGGAGGACCTGATCACTCGTCCGACTGCCGACGGCAAAACTCAGATTGCCGGTGTGGTCGTGAACTGGACCCTAGTTACTCTCCACCACGACGACCAGTCGTGCATGGACCCCAACACCATCAACGCCCCGGTCATTATCAGTACTACCGGCCACGACGGCCCATTCGGTGCCTTCTCGGCCAAGCGACTGGTGTCGATGGCCACTGTCGACAAGTTGGGTGGCATGCGCGGTTTGGACATGAACTCGGCCGAGGATGCCATTGTCAAGAACACCCGTGAGGTCACCAAGGGACTGATCATCGGCGGTATGGAGCTGTCTGAAATTGACGGCTTCAACCGCATGGGACCTACCTTTGGTGCCATGGTGCTCAGCGGTGTCAAGGCGGCTGAAGAGGCGCTGCAGATCTTTGACGAGCGCCAGCGCGAGTGTGCCAAGTAATCCTGATTCAGGACGTGACAGATGCGTTAGCATTACTCTTTCATATGACACCTTTGATCTAGAAGATTGGACGTACAGATTGCCAGGGGGGAGAATGACGTCGTCTTCTAGTTATGACACTCTTTATGAAATCAAATTGACCATTGCAAACCTGCCAAGCAATTGTAGAATGGACATGCCGCTTAGTTCCGACATGACTAGGTGTAGGAAGATGCAGATACCATAAAGTCGGACTACCTCCTTAAAATGCCCGACGTTGCACAGGATCTCACCCAACACAGCCGGTGATTGCCTGCCGTGAAGAGGCAGACTCCCTGTTCTTGGATAATCCATGGCGCACCCGCGGCCATAAAAGGCCCCTCTTCCTCTGCTGCTCTCTGCAGCTCCTCTGCAGCAATCGGGGCACCTCCAGGGAGGGCTCAGGCCCAGGCCTAGGCCTATCAAGAGGCCAATGTCTAATAATCATATAACATGGCGACAGACATTTCAAACACAAGTTTCTCACCCTCTACCCATCGACACCCGCGAGCAGTCCTTTTGAGACCAAGACACAAGTTGTCTCCCTTCCACCAAACCGAAGTCATCCCCGTCATTCCCATGATCGAGATAGAGCCAGAAATATTCCTTTCTACCCTACTTGTCGCCTCGCATGGTCTGCAACTGGGAATGTTTCCAGTGAAGTCATCGCTGTTCTATGGAAAAACTGCCTCCATGGCCACGAAGAATTCATGGCGCGTGGAGGCATACACATGCGATACCACTGTGTGTCTGTCTTCTTGGACCCAGAACCTAACGCTCAGCCTTATCATATGCTCGCTGGTCCGGGGTCGCCCATGGGGGCGTTGGCAATGCTGACATGAACCACCAAGACAACACATCGCTGCCAGGACTCGGGGACGATTTCACGAACCTTGGATATCACTTTGGATTCGGAATCTAGGAGTCAGCTTTTATCATCTCCATGGTGGCTCTGGCAACTACTCAGGTACATCGTTGCTGGGGACGACCTAGCGAACCTCGAATATCACCTGATGCCTTGATCTCACCATCTTCTCGTTCCTAGTTCCGAGTAGCAAAGGCCCGATGTGGGAGGAGGCTTCACACGACAAACCAAGGTTCGAGTCAGGAAGGGATTACGAACCGAATTAGGGCTTGGCTTGGCTTGGCTTTGGATGCTGGACTAAAACCAGCATTTTAACGGGGGGTTTACCTTTGACAACTCATGTTTTCCTATAATGGCCTGTTGGCAACGATAAAAGCAAGAAATTGTTTCGGGGTGGTTCAAGGATCCTGGACTTGTCTCGTTCCCCTCCTCATTCGCTCTGGGGCTGTTGATATCTCGAATACTCGTCTCGCCACAGCAGGGGAGATAATATCTGTGTTGTCATCTATCTTCTGAGCACGTCCGTCATTCGATCTGACCAGTATGAAAGAAACCTGTATGACATTGACCGAATTCTACGCAGCTGAAACCAACATGCCATCCAAAAGTTTCAAAGGGAACCTGGCCTTACAGAAGCTCGTGATGCTATCCAGGCCAGCGTTTCTCCCAGCAGCTTGTTCATTATTATACAGCATTTACAGAGGAAGGAACAGATTATGTGCCCCCTTTCTTTTGATTTTGAACCAACGCAGTATCCACGCCATATACTTGAATTCGGCGGGTTTTATACACAGCAAAAACACAAAGAAGCCATCTCTCATATCGTTACCGTCAATAATCATGATGCTATGCTCGGCGAGGAGACACGAGACAGGCAGTGTGCAGAGCGGGGATGCAAGTAACCCATCCAAGGGTGCTTCGCCGAATACGTTTGGCGAAGGCATTGTTCATCTGGGATCCAGGTCAGTCTTTGCCTACATTTTAAATAACAAGCCTGGGTCCGATCAGCTTCAATCGCTCCTAGAAGGTGGGATCTTGCCGAAGCCGTGAAGGAAAATAACCAGCATATCCCGGTAAGCGATGCAGGTGGAGCGACGAGTTCCCCTCTACATTCCATATTATGGAAGCAGACTACAGACGGAACCTGAGACAGAATATGCGTGGTGGTGTGCGACCTCACAATGGAAAGTCCCAATGTCTGGGCTTGTTTTGCTCCACGCGGTCTTGTATCTGCTTCAACTTATTTCCTAGGGGAAGACTAGCAAGGATTCACATCTTATCCACATCACCGAAATACCCATGATAAAGGGACCTTCTGACTACTCTACTTCCCTATATCCTTCTCCATCACCCTGAAGTTAGACCTAAGGTCCAGCTCGGAACTAGCGCAGTCGGGAACCATTCGACTTGAGTCTGTGTATACTCTAAGGATTGGCTTAAGATCTGTCAGTGCCCTCATGACATGGAACACACCTGGCTCTTCTACCTCGTTCAATCCGGGGTCTCAATTTGCTTCTCTGGATCCTGTATCCCTCAACGTAGAGATGAACCGACATGGGATGAGAATAGGGATCGCGGCATTCCCTATGATTTGATTTCATCCTGAATATAACCCGCCGAACTACAGGATGTGTCTGACATACAGAGTTCCTGAACAAGGAGTTGCGAATGGCCATTATCAGAGCAATCACTGGAAAGATCAGCTAAAGCATCGACAGGGAGTATCGAGACATACGACATTGTTGTCCTTACTACAATGAATACAAGTCTCCGTCCAAGAATGACCCTCTCAATGGAGAGGTAGATCTGTTAGGATTCCTCTACCCTGAAAACCGTGCCACTGTCCCTTGCAGTCCATTTACGACTCCGAGAGATTCCTACACTGTCCTGCCGCACTTCACATATCCCAATCCCGTCCTACAAACAGGAAAGGGCAGACCATGTCCATGTATAGCTTCTCCTGCTACCTAATCTGATCTACAGACCTCTTTCAATAGATCCTATCCAAGGAACTAAATGACCACCGTATTCATGTTCCTGCTCTCCTTCTGGAACGGCCTCTTGACTTCGTTCAACATACTCACCAATCCAATTCCAGCCTCCCCGAAGACATACATATCAGATTTTGATCCTGCACTCAAACCCACTACATTCCTTCTTCATCTCCAGCCGGCGACTACAAAGCAGACCATTGGTTGGTGATAGGACAGAAAACAGATTCTGGGAAGCAACCCGGCCTCGTCACATGATAAATACATCTAATGAGCGGATGTTGGATTTGATCTGGTTTCTGTCAACAGGGAAACGAACAAGACCAAATCTCATTTCAATCTAATAGTTCGACACGGTGCTCTCGCTACGTGGTTCCGGCCTGGTCAAACATCCCAGGCCCCAGGTCGGTCGTGCCTGGGCAGGTGCACAAACTCCTCTCTTCTCGCAGAGCTGGAACATGAACATCTCAAAAATGGGTCTCACGGTACTGTGCTATCCAGAGAGGTCAGATGTCCTTGCAGGGTGGAACGAAACCTCACTGATCGGCATGTTCTCGTTGAACTGATCGCTTCAGCCCGAGGTATTGTTCTGCAAGGACTCCGATCAATATATGGCTTGGACAACAGTCTGAAGCTAATTGCCTTCGGCATAACACTCTCAACCGTATCCTAACCCTTGGTTGGGGTTCTGTGTGGGAGGCAAGAAATCATGGGGCGGTCTCAGATCATGCAAGTGATCTGATGTGTGTCCTTGACCGACAGAGAGCCACATATACTAGCATACCCATCACAAGCAGCCCAATAACTCATTCGCTCTACACACTGATGCAACAAACGGCCAAGGATAAGCGCTATGCGTCAAATTTGCTATTCAAAGTCACACAGCGGGTCTGGGAAGAAGCTGAACGTGATTACCACGAATACAAGCCCTCGAACGATGCATCTCGTGATACCGAGGAAGAAGTCATACCATACCTCACGGAAGAGATATGACAGTGCTTGAAGATTGAAGCAATCAGGGCGTTAATATGATCCGATACTTCAATCCCAATTTTCCATCAGCAAGATGTCTTCACTCGACATGAGCTGGACATGTACCGATACCCAATCCCTCTAGAAAAGCTCAGAGTTAATTCATTGGGAGTGTTGAGCCAACTGTGGGGCTCGAACCTCTTTGAAAAGAACGACCTCACTTCGATTGATTTCATGTCAGTACACCTTCCAATCTCACACGATTCCCACTTATGAGCATGACCCCAACTACAGATTGGAGGAAATTGTGACCAAGAACCCAGTTTCGTTCGAACCAAGCCATCTGATGACCAGGCTGCTGTCCACTGAACCTGGGACCTTCTCTGGGCTTCTCACACCATCACCATTCCAGTTGCCAGCTCCGATAACACCGATTCTACACATATCGAAGGAAGTCTTCCCACAGGTGTTGATACAGAACCATGGGAGTGGACGACCTATACGAAGGGACAGGAAGCCAATACCAGAAGGGGATATATCATATCCCTAGAAAGTTCACAGGCGAGCTGGGCGGGTTTATCAACCTGCTGGAATCCACGAACACCGACGAAGATCCCCCCAACGACGACACGCTAGAGTGGAAACACAGAGGGCAAACACGAAAATGCAAGAAATCCGATACCATCACAAAGAAATCTCATGCGCAGATGCGCCGGGGCTGTTTATCAATCCGTTGGGATCCAAAAGACCGACCATGTCTGCTTCCCAGAGAACACACGCTATAATGCCACTGGAGAACAAGCAAGACGAGAAGGTCCAATACCAACAGCGGATATTATGACCGCCATGGAAGGCAAAGAGGCGAGCTGGGTGGGTTTATCAATTCGTTGAAATCCATGGACAGGAACCATGTTTTCTCACGGATCATGGTCCAGACTATATGATAGGACTGAAGGAGAGATGTAACACTCCAAACATCTGGGAAACCCATCCAGGAGAAATACATCCAGAAAGCGGATTTCAATCCCCCGGTCTCAATCCTTCCAACCCTTCTTATCTATCCCACATGCTTTTTCCAAGAAGAAAAAGAAGGGAATAAAATAGAGAGAAACACACAGCAGATGAAGATCCACTTCATACCAAACAATATCTTTCCTACCCGAGCAAACTCCAACAAGACGAAAGAAGCAAAGACATGAACCAAACCCGATTCTCTTCCCACGCATTCCATATAACCCATGTCGATCAACCCAACCCAGAACGGGATCTTTCGATACCGCAATACCACCCACCATCTCTCTGATCGAAGACTATGACACCTTCATCGCTCGCTGACATCCGGGCTGGAATCTTCCTCTTCATATCCCAGCACCGATCCTTAAGCGAAACTGTCCACTAGATACTGCACTACACCCATCTTCCTTCGAACCGTCCGCTTAGCAAATATCCTTCAAGACCTTTCTTTCTCCGACTCGATCTCTCTCGCTGCAAGACACCAAATACGCACTCCCTCTCCCTCGGTACGAAAATGAGCAGAAACTGAAGGAAAGAATCATCCTATTATATCAGATTATATTACATCGAGAGAAGAGAGTCTGAATAGAAAGAAGACATACATACGAGAAGCTCTATACGATCGATCTGATCAGATCAGATAAGATTAGATGAGGAAGAGAGCAATATGTATCCATTCCTTCTATTCTCTTTCTTCTTCTCTTGCTCTGGGGCTTCGAATTCGCATTCCCTTCTTTTTTTCAATAGGTTGGGTTAGGTTGGGTTAAATGGAATTCATCTTCATTCATTCCTCATCTTGTGTTGGGTTAGGCTACACTGTCCATTCCCTCCCCATCACCTTCAATACTTCCATGGGAAGGAAGGGTAATTTATAGAAAGGGAACAAAATCCCTCCCATTACCCACTACCCAACGATTAATCCCGATTACTATCTCACCCTCAATTTATCTTCCTGGGTGAGAAGAGGAAAGCATATCATATCATACCGAAATCTACGAACGAAGGAAAGAAGCAAAAGAAGCTAGTACTAGTTATTGAAGAGGAAGAAGTTCAAGGGATGGTGGTTGGCTTCTCTCTTCTCTTCTCTTCTCTTCTCTTCTCTTCTCTTCTCTTCTCTTCTCTTCTCTTCTCTTCTCTTGGATCATATACATAATTCTGTGTTCTGGGTGTCAAAATGGAGGAGGTATGGTGGTTTAGTGTGATAAATATTAGGGATTGGAATACTGCTGGGTTTGTGGCTTGGTTTGGGTCCGTTTCTATGTTGGGGTGTTGGGGGTTTGGTGTTGGGGGGGGAAGGGGGTTTAGGTATCTGAGTGGGAATTATAGGTTCAGCTGAGATGGATGGATGAGAGGTTGACATACTATTTGGGGAGGGGGAGAGGGAGGGGGATGGATGAGGTTGAAAGGGAAGACGGAGGCATGGTTGTGGATATCGATATCGATATGGGCATGGATGAATATGGACATAAATAATGAATATGTATGGATATGATGAAAATATAAACATTATCTGATATATTTACATATGTATATGCTAGTAAATTAATTAGAATTACCTGCAATCTGCTTCGCATTCTGTACCTCCCACTCAAATTCCTTGAGCGCGCGCAGCTCGCTCGACATAAACAGTCCCCCGATTAGTCCGTCCAAGATGCCCGCACCAAAGTTCAGCGTGCTCACCAGCACCAAGATGAATGCCACGTAGGGTAGATGGTCGCCGGTCCACCAGACCCCAATGAAACAACCAATTGACACAATCACGGACGCCACAAAATGTGCCAGTCGCCAGCGCAGCTGCGACTGCTCTCGTTGCACATACTTGTGGATCATCTCGAGGATCATATCGTATGTATCCGACGTCAGGGAGGTATTAGGAGCCACGGATTTCTCCTTAGTATCTCCCTCCACCTGAACCCCAACCCGAGTAATCACCGCCTCGACAGCAAAATGATCACTCAACGAGCACCGCAGCGTAGGATGTCTCTCCGTCATCGACAGCCGGGTCGACTCAACCGACCACCGCGGTGCCGGATACAACGGAGCATACCCGCCGTCTCCAACGAAGATATAATCCAACCGCTTGCCCTTCGGACACGGAGCGTCCTTATCGACCACCACCTCCTCACCCTTTTCTAACCGCTTTTGATCCTCCTTCTCCCAGCGCCACGTATTAAACTTTCCATCACAGGTAGCCCCATTCTCAAGGATATTAAACTCCGCCGACGGCACAGGCTTCCCCCGTTTCTGCTCCACAGGATCAATGGCCGCTCCAACAGATGAATCTGGATGCAGGACCTGCCACACATCCCGGACCGGGCTATGCGCCTGGACCAATTGATGCGCAAACGACGACGGCAACATATTAAAGTCTCCCAGACCAATAACCAGATGACCCCGCTCCGCAGCACCCCGCATCAGTTTCGCGATTTCCCATGCCTGCGCCGTCCGATGACAAATATATGAATCGTTGGGTTCCCGTTCGTAGGGCGCGTGTAGATGCGTGCAAAAGACCTCGGCGACATCCTGGACTCCAGGTCCGAAGCGGATGCGCGCACAGGCAACTCCCTTCCCGACGTACCAGTCGCCGCGGAAGAAGGCCGTCGGACGTCCGTTAAGTGGATAGCCATACATGCTGCTTTCTTCAATGGGCCATTTGGAGAGAATGGCGAGGCCGGCGCCCCAGATACCGCCGTAGTAGAACTTGCCGTAGGGGAGGATGTGGCGGGTTTGCTGGCGGATAGAGTCGTAGTCTTGTTGGGTCCAGCATTCTTGGAGGCCAACAATCTCCGGGGCAGGATCCGCAATGGCTAACCGGCGACCGATTTCAGCGAGACGAGCATTGCGATGTTTGGCGATGTATTTGAGGCCCCAGCAGTTCAGGGTGAAGATGCGGATGTGGGTGGGGGTGGAGATGGAGGAGGGGTTGGAAGAGGGGGGAGGGGAAGCGAGGGATTCGGAGGTGGTCATGGTGGCGTATTGACTGTGTTAGTGTCTCATATCGAGGAGAATCAAAGGAAAAGAATTGTGAGGAGCAAGATGAATCAGTGATGCTGATGGAGGAATGACTGGTGGCTGAATGAGGAGAAAGGAGATGAAATCATGGCTCACCGCCTTGGAGTGGACGGCAGGAATCCTCACCGCCTGCTCGAAAGCGGCGGATTGTCACGAGGGATGGTCGCGGCGATGAAAGAAATCATCGCGATCGCGGTGCTTCTCCTTCTTCCTCTTCTCCCTGCCATTTCCCGGTCGCGCCCCTTTGTCGCTCCTCATGGATGGCTCCACCCATCGCCCGAAGCGCCGTCGCCTTGACATCACTCCCAAGGCCCAGAATGGCTTCATCCATTCACCCGTAGAATCGTCGTCCGACGAGTTGGCCGCGGGCTCCGATCACGACGAGGCCGAACGCCGCCGCGCCAGCTGGTCCATCCAAAAGGCCTATCCCCCGCAACGCCCCTTTCGCCGCTCGCGCAGCTTCAGCGGCTCCGAGAGCCCCGATGAACTGGCCGTCGACGCGAAGGAATATTGGTCGGCGCGAAACCGCGCTCGCAGATCGCCCTCCGAGCCGAGCGCGGAGCCCTCGTCGGAGCGAGATGATGACGACGAGGATGAGGTAGAGGAAGAAGACGACAATGACGACGACGACGAACCCGACCCCGAAGAACCTGTTCCTGAAATCGAAGTCACACCTGAACCCGACCCCAAAGAAAATGCTGAACCTGAACCCGAACATGACCAAAAAGAGAACACCGATGCCGATGTCGAAGAGACTGAAACCCCCGCTGATGTAGAGATTGATGCATCGTATGGGGAACGGTCTCCCACTCCGGTCCCCCAGCCACCACCACCGCCGCCGAAACCGGACAAAGTGAATTACTACCAGAAGTATCTACTACGGGGTCATCTGCGGGGAGTCTCGGCGGTGCGATTCTCGCCAGACTCCTCCATGATTGCGAGCGGAGGTGGGTGTCCCTTTCTCTATGTTGCTGGTGTCGCTGATTATTCTAGGGGCGGACGGGGCTGTCAAGGTATGGGATACGGGCACAGGACGGCTGATCCACACCTTCGAGGGCCATCTGGCGGGCATTTCCACCATCTCGTGGAGTCCGGACGGAGCGACCATTGCATCTGGGTCGGACGATAAGACGATCCGATTGTGGAATGTCTTGACGGTTGGTATTCCAATCCCTATGGACTTCCCCAGCTAACAGGGTATAGGGCAAAGCTCATCCGATCCCCTTCGTCGGCCATCACAATTACGTCTACCAGATTGCGTTTTCCCCCAAAGGCAACATGCTCGTGAGCGGGTCCTACGATGAGGCGGTGTTCCTATGGGATGTGCGGTCCGCGCGGGTGATGCGATCACTACCAGCCCATTCTGATCCGGTGGGCGGCATCGACGTGGTCTGGGATGGGACGCTGATCGCGTCGTGCGCGACGGACGGACTGATCCGCATCTGGGACACGGCGACAGGCCAATGTCTGCGGACGATCGTACACGAAGATAACCCGCCGGTGACGGCGGTCAAGTTCTCCCCGAACGGCAAATACGTGTTGGCGTGGACGCTGGACGACTGCGTACGACTTTGGGACTACGTCGAGGGGCGGTGCATCAAGACCTACCAAGGCCACACCAACCGGAAATACAGTCTGCAGGGCGCGTTCGGGGTATACGGGGTACGAGGGGGAGCGAGGCACGCGTTTGCAGTCAGCGGCAGCGAGGACGGGGCGGTGCTATGCTGGGACGTGGTGAGCAAGCAGACGCTGCAGCGCATCGAAGGACATACCGGGGTGGTATTGGGTGTAGACACATGCACGCTGGGACAAGCGCGACTGATAGTGAGCTGCAGTGTGGACGGCACAGTCCGAGTATGGGAGGAAACTCCAGAAACAGACCCATCAACAACCGCACAAGCAGACCTAATCACTGAATCCTCACCACAAACCAACCAACAACAACCCGAAGACCCTGTCAAAGCAACCCCAACCTCAACGCAAACCAACCTCCCCATCCCAGCCCCAGAGGAACCAGAAGACACAGAAATGGGCGAAGCCCCAGGCCCCGAGATTTAAGCAAGGTGTACATTATTTCCAGGACAGGAAAAAAAGGGACGGATGGCGTTACGGGAATGTATAATAGACACGAGGGATGATGATTGATATACTACTTTCACTGACATTAATATCGAGAGCAGCAGCTGCCACCACGGAGTGGAGTGGAGTGGAGTGGGCTATATTCGCCATTGCCACCACCACCAGCCTTATTATCATGACATGCCATACCATCTGTGACATTACATTAAGTACTATGTATCTTCCATTCATCATTGTCATAATTATATTCTTGTTAATCACTACCACCACCAACAAACACTACAGTAGATATCATTGATGAAGGTGTCAGTCAATTGATGTGATGAATCAATCAATCAATCATAGAAAACACTAGACAAGACCCGCCAAGATAGCCATCCCACCACACCACAAAAAGAAAAGAACAAAGAGGAAAAAAAAATAGTAAGATAAAACAAACACATTACCACAAGAAAATCCCCCAAAATAACTCCCCCCATCCATCCACCCAGCAGCGGTACCCAATCTACATCTCTCCCAGTACCCTCAACCACGGAACGAAGAAAGTCATCTCCAACGCACCAATCGTAATACATTAGGATGAAAGATCCATGGATCCAGAACCAATAGTGCTATAGGGGGCTTTCTATGTGGGGAGATTCTCTGTTTGGGGAGTTTCAGGTTTTGGATTTCTGATTTCAGGGTTACATTTTACATTTTACATTTGGATCAATGAGAATTGTAATGGAATTGAATTGAGTTGGAATGTAATTGGATTTGTTGGTATCGACATTTCACCAAGCGACTCGGTCCCCGTAATATGTATGGTCATGGAGAAGAAGAAAACAAGAAAAGCTCAGAAGGTATCATAAACAGGAAAAGCAAATCACACTGGTCACACTCTAGTGGTTTAAGCAATGTAGGACTTTCCACTCGCGCTCAACTCCTCTCCGCTGAGCATATACCCATCCGCACACATGAAATACGCATACCGTCCCACGCCACTCTGGCTGTCCAACCATGGCAGAACCTCGTCCAGGAAATCCGCCCCCGAAGTCGTGTCTCCTCCGGCGGTCGAGTCGCTCGTAAGCGCAAACTCCGTCACCCAGGTCTCTTCTAGACCGTAGTCATCCGCCACTTGCATGGCCTCCTGAACGAATGTCTTGAATTCGTCGGCTGTGTTGCCGTACCAGTGCACGGCCAGCACGGACATGTCGCACTCGCTGCAGTCTGACAGGAATGACTTCATCCAGCTGAGACCCTCGCCTTCGGTGGTACTGCTGGTCACAGCCGGGGTGACCAGCTTGGCCTTGCCCGAGTAGGGTGTGATGTATTTCTTGTAGGAGCTGGCGGCATCGGAGGCAGTCATGGCGGCTTGGGAAGAGGCGTCGGGCTCGTTGAAGCCGAGGATGTAGTTGCTGCCGCTAGCAAGGGCAACTTCAATAGCCGCCAGCCAGCCAGTGAACATCTTAGTGCCCCAAAGCATGGGCACGTATTCGACGTTGCTGGGAAGGCTGCCGTCGGCGTACATGTTCCAATCATACGCCCACGAGACGGTGCCGTTGCCTGAGGCGGCAGAGGATAGCGTGTGCACGCTGGAGGCGGTGTTGTAGGCAGCGCCACGCTTGGAGCCCGAGGAGGACCGCTTGGAGGCGACGTGGGTGGAGCGGTGCTTGTGGCTGTGGCCATTGTGAGGGATGGCCAGGACGGCGCTGGCCAAAGTGGCGGCGGTCAAGAAAGATTTGAAGGACACCATGATGTTGGTTCTTTGTGTTGGTTCGAAAGGTGATGGATATGTATAACTTTTTGAGGAGAATACCGGTTCTCTTGCAAAGAGTGGATGCTTGACTTCTAAGAGTCAGGCAATATGTTCAGAGAATGAATGAATGACTCAACCGTGCACGGCACAGGAAGAAATAAGGAGAGGCTGGGAGGGAAAAGGTGAGGGAGAAGTTTCAGAGGAAAAGAGGAGAAAGAGGGCGGTTATATAGACGCCGGAGACAACGGGCATCAGTTGCAGGGTGACTTAGGGCTGGCCGCTTTTTCTAGGCGCCCATTCTGCTCCGACCAATCAGACTCCACCAGGGAGGGGAAATTGTCGCTTTCTGCTCATGCAGAGTTGAACTAGTGCTAGTCTTTGCTTTTTTCCATTGTCCGGCGGCGCCTCTGATTGACTGAATCGGGCGTTCCTGACCCCCTGCGTCTTCACCGCGACCGATCCATGGAACGTCATCGGGCGGGATCCGTGTATCGCTCAGGGACAATGGGACACAGGAAGGTGACGCCCATTATTCAGCCAGGGCGCCTTGCGATTGGCACTGACCGACAGCTCCTGGGATATTCCTGTGGTTGTTGTTCCTGCAGTGGTGCGGACACCTGCAGCTGATCCGTCCAGTGGATGTATCTGATTATCCCCTACCTATGATGTGCGTGCGTGCCTACCCAACTATCCCGTACTTTTTTTCTGCTCTATCGCCAGAATCACCTCGACGACTCGATTGATGCCGTCCTGGCCTGTCGGTCAAGCGTCTGGCAGCGGCCAGACCACGCCTTAGGGCAGCACTAAATTAGTGTCGGCTTAGTTCACCATCTGGCCGGGAGAAGCGCCCACTGCAACCCCCCACTTCAGTCCAGACTCGCCTGCATTCTCGTGATGCCTTGTTCTCTTCATGTAATGCTGGGATTTCGGGGCCCTAAGAACCACTCAACCAGAGTTGACTCGGACCTCGTCACGGTCAAGCATACCAGTTGTGCAGCAGGTTGCTGACCGTACTTGGGTTACCTTGGCGAGCAGCTCTACAGCTTGGCGATCCCCCTTTCGGAGTCTTCCATCATGGCCTCCTTGGTGGCTGGATATTTTTATCCCGTCCAAGTTGCGTGGCGTTGAGCCAGGCCCTTGAGCCGGGCGGAAGGCCGCGTCCGGTAGGCAGCGGTCTCCGATGCGTGCAGGGTCATTATTCGCTCGATGGGATGATTGTTTGTTTCATCTGGCGGATGGCGTCAGGTACGGAAGAAGCCAGACTGGGATGCCGAATTCCCGGATTTTGTGTGGACTGGAACTGCAGCTGGTCGTTGATGGATTGCTTCATTGGTGGTGAGCCCAGATGGAGACTGGAGACTAGAGACTAGCGAGTGATGCGTCACGGCGGACGAAGAGTGTCTCAGCATGGCACTAATGAATGTGGCGTAAGTGTAACGGCCAGAGACCCCACCGATCCCATCAGTTCTGATGACTGGAATGTTGAGCGCACTAAGAATCAGATGTCAAAGTCTTGTGGTGAAACTTGACAGGAAACGTGAAAGCAAAGTGAAAGGGGAATAATCGGAGGTCGCAAGAATGGGAAGTCACCTGAAACGGTGTATGGAAAGATCGGAAACATTGAAAGAGGGAAACCAATACCAGTGCCTCGAAATCGAGGCAGTCATCTTACACTTTACAGAGTATTAGTCTGGTGGCTCCACCGATCAAGCAAGAATTGTTCTGATAGTCCCACTACACCTCGATCCATGCGCTGGCACTGGCACTGGCAGCCTGGCTGGCACTTCTCACCCCCTCCGCGATGCACAGATCAACTCTCCGAATTATTGTCCGGACAGAGCACAGCATTGACACAAACCATGCACAGTCATCAGCTGATTATCGCCCTGCCTACCCGCTGTCCAACTCCTCGTTGCCATACCCGAGGCAATGCATTCCCAGGAACCATTCCTCCGCTGTCAATCCCGATCGTCCATCCCCTCACCAAGCATTTAGCAAACACATGGCACTGGCCGTCAAGTTCCAACTCACGAACCACCCCCATAATTCAAACCTAATCCCATCCCCATCTACCACTCATACTCAATAACTCTCTCCCTCCACCACACATCTCAAACGAACTGCCCCGTCATCGCCGATCCACCGCGTTTCAGATTCGTTGCTGCGCCAATGACAGCCTCCACAGTGTGGCCGGCTCACCGACTGCCAGGTACACCACACCACGGCCGGCGGTGATCCAGGCACACCACGTACCTTGCAGGTGGACCTTCCAGCACCGCTCGCTCATACGTCGGAAATCTCTGCCTACACATGCCACCACACCGCTGCAACGCAACGTGGATGTGGATATAGATGCCGATGTGGATTTTCGGCAGACCGGGAACTGGCCCCGCACCTATGAGATCGTCTGGTCCGGAGAACAACGGAAATGCGATGATCGTGCAGTTTATGTATCCCATTCGTAATCCCTGTCGTTGGGACGTGAAAAGACCAAGGTTTGGTGTCTGTTGCTTCCGTAAGGGATGCCCGGGGATGACTCGGATCTTGGGTATAAGGCATTAACGAACCTGGAAAGCTGCCGTATCTTTATGATACAGTGGTAGGAGACCCATGAGACACTGCTCAACTTACCGATGAACAGGCACTTTCCCAACCGCAACTCATTCTTCTATCTACTCTACCAGCATCATTGAGCCCGAGATACTGCTGCTGCACCCGGTAGTTCTTATCCCTGTATCCCTGCCAACTCAGGGCTCTGCCTTGCGGAACCGCTCTATACATCGCACGGATATCCTCGCCTCATCCCTTTCTAGCCCATCGCTGTAAAGCCACCAATCATCTGACAGAAGCTCATAACTAGACAAAATGATGTCTCCTGGCTAGGAGAACAACTGCAAAGGTGGATAGATCCCAACATCATCTATTGGCATGCAACGTATCCAGCCCAAGGTATTTCGCATACCCATAGGCGTCTTTGGTTAAATTAAAGCAAGCCACAAGATACTTGCAGAAATATAGCATCCACGCGTCCTCCATGGGAGGCGCAGGCAGCAATCACGCCCCCGGCTTTGATTGCTCCGCGAGCGAGGCGACACGACAAAGAATTCATTACCTACCAGGTAACAAATAGCTCCTCGGTTATCTCCGTATTCGACTATTTCCGGCGATGCTTGCAAATTAGGAAATGTAGAAAAGCCTTAGGCGCCATCAATATCAGGATGCATACATAGAATGACTTAACGGGCATCGGAGACAGGAATTACAAGGTACCTATACTTAAGTGCCATGGCCGCAGAATCTAAGTGATGCCGGAAGACAAAGACCGATCTGTTCATATCCGGCATGGTGACATGCTTAGAGGCATATTGCTCTTGCCTCAGGGGTAGGAATGCTTAGGTGAGTCTGTATTTGAAATATCAGGAGATGTATATAGTCTGCGGTTATAGGGGGTTGTTATTCTGGGAGTACACAACGGAGAAAGTATAGTCATGGTATCTCAAAATAGAAGATTACTCTTTCTTCCTCCCCTCCAACACGCTCATCACATCTGCCGCGCTGTCCTTGTCACCCTTCTTCTTCTTCGGGCCTCGTTTCCTCTTCTTTCCGCCACGGTTCTCCGTCTCCAGCACCACCTCTTCGTCGTCCTCTTCGTCCTCGTTGCGGCTTCCTCCAAAACCCATGTCCATGTCCATCGCATCCAATGCCTCTCGGCGACGTGCCTCCTCCAGGAATTTCTTCCGTCGAAGCGCTGTCTCCGAGTCGACATCTTCGGCGTCGGCAGCGGCCTCTTCAGATTGTCGCAACGCGGCAGCCCGTTTCAGAGCCGCCAGCAGAGTCGGATCCTTGGCCAGGGGGTTCGATCGGTCCACCTCGGGGACCTCATCGGTTGTAGACGTAGAAAAGTAGTTCCGAGGACGGCTTGTTGTCTCAGCGGGCTTCTTCGTATCATTGGCAGAAGCTGGTTCTGCCGTTCGCGCTGGCTTCTCGACCACCTCGCCATCCTCACTCTCATCTGATGAATCGTCATCATCCCCAATATCACCAAGCGGATTGTAATCATCCCCAACGCCCGCAAAGATGTCATCATCCTCTTCCTCCGGCGGCGGAGCAGCCTTTGATGCGAATTCAGCCGGAACCTCCATACCGAGCGGCTTCGCATCCTTATCCGGCACCAGCAACCCAGCAGGCGTACCACCGGCCTCACCAGGCTTATCCAACCATCTCACCTTCCTCTTTGTCTTGCCCTCCGCGTCCGTTATTTGTAGAATCTCCTTCCGTCTCCCATTCTCATCCTGCTCCACCCATCGCTTTTTCTCAACCTTGGACTCGCTCCCAATCCTCTTGAACTTGGTTCCCAATGCCAGCTCTGCCGCCTTCGCCTCCGCAGCCGCAGCCGCAGCAGCGGCACGACTCGCCTTTAGCTCTTTCAGAATCTCATCTCTGGATTTCTTCTGTGGCGGCGGAGCCATAGACCCTTTCTTCTTCTCCTTCTCCTTTGGCGCATCCGGCAACGCATCCACACCCTCCCCCTTCTCCCCTAACACCTTATCCAACTCATCATCCAGGTCGTCCACCTCCTCCTTCTCTTCCACCTTCTCCTTCACTTCTGAAACATCCTCGCCCTCCTTAACCCTCTTCAACAAAGCCCAATCCAACCCCTTAACCATATGCGTACTCCCCAAATCACCACCAACGCCCATATCCCCGCGCAACTTCTCAAACGTCGCTTGATCGATCTGTCCCAACTTCACCATCTCCTCTAGCGCCTTCACGCGCTTCTCCAGATCGTTTCCCTCCGCTGCCTCATCTTCCTGTTGGCGGAGCAGCGCAGCGCGATCTTGGTATCCGGTTGGTAGCTTCGTGCCTTTAGGGGCGGCGGAGGATTTGAATCGTTTCGGAGCGGGTTGGGCTTCGCGTCGGTATTCGGCTAATTGGCGAGCAAAGTCGACATTTGTGAGGGAGCGACTAAAGCAGTAAGAGAGGGGTTTAGTATGTTTGCGCGTGGGTATAGGTAGTGGGCGGTGTAGCTCACGGTGTCATGGGGATGTTGGATCGAAGGCGTGACCCTAATGCGCCGGCGGGAGTGGCTCCGCCGATGCTATTGCGCTGCTCATGACTTGTAGAGGATCCATCTGGGCTGGTTTTGGTGGGTTTGGAAGTTGGGTTGTCGAGGACCAGGCGGCGGAATTGGTCGTTGTTCATGATGGGAGGAGAGGGGAGAAGAGAAAGGGTTGGTGTGTTTAGGGTCTTCTGTGGTTGCTAAGGGTGAAAGGTATTGGTATCAGTGTAGATCCATGGGTAATATATTGGAATCCAGTCGTAGAACAGGCTCGTGGTGGTTGAAACAGAGAAAGTTGTCGCGGGAAAGAGTCCAGACCGAAAAGTTGCGGTTCGACGTCAGACTCTTGGCATTCTGTACCTATCTACTACCACCCCTTTGCTTCCTTCAACACAGTTCAATCACGAGCTACCACTGATCCTTCCAGCACTCCAAAACTCTTCCATGCCGCCTAGCAGGATAAAATGTGACACCTCGGCGCTTCGAAAGCAATTGGAGGGTTTCGCTATGAATCTCAGGTCCGCTGTTTGGAGCTCCATCTCCTGATTCGAAAAATCGGATATCCTGTCCAGTAAAGACAATTCCCTTCTCCCCTTTTTGCTTACTATCACGTTCTCGCGATCGTAAATTCTCGTGCGAGCAAGAGAACACCACGGTTGCTATGATCTGTTCGCCTAGAAGTAACTGTCAGCCCCCTTCTATTGGCGCAGCCGTGATTCTGCTCCAAAAATAATGACAGAATGATTAGAGCTGGCTCTCCAGCACTGCGGAAGTGACTGCGGCGCTAAGCTTCAGTATCCTTCCATGCCAGTATAGTTTAAGAAGCCTCACCTGCGACAGGAACTATGGCCACCTGCTTGGAACTGAAAAATTACAACCAATCGGTGGAGGAAAGGTTACAGCGGTTCAGCTGCCAATATCTAGGCTACCCTGTCACCTCGAGCACAATTTCATCTTGCCACCAAAAGCAACACAATACTATTCTCTAACTGAGCTCATAAGCGCTGCACTAAAGAGCAGTGGTGGGGAAATAAAGGGGCTCGGGCTCCGTACTTACTCCGTCGCAAAACAATCACAAAGGGATACCCGAGACAAAATATCCCAAATCCTTGTTTAGCTTCCCAGCAGAGCACGTCCGACCGATGGAGGATTGCTCTATAAAAGTCCGTTGCTATGCGAGCTAATCAGATTCAGCAAGAACATCATACATATACTTACATCATCACATGTGAATGGCGCTTAGGCCGAGTCAGCCTATGGATTGATAGGTGAGCTGGCCCCCACCTATGAAGGCCATTGGAGCCTATCTAGGTAACCATATGCAGCTCCAGGCTCTTACTTTCGCGCTGAACATGTCCAGAATCCTACTTTCGAAGATCACAGTGCTGATCCCAAGTGCGCAGCCGCACATGGCGAGACGTCTGTCGTTCGACCCGCATGGATAGCAGGGCAACATGCCCACGGGAAAGCAAAAGATTGTTTGGTTGGCCTGCCACCCTGGTACTTGTGAGGTTTAGAGCAAGGCTCTAAGCCTCGCGCCCCGACAACTCAAGGCTGGCGCATATTCGTCCTCCGTTGAGACTGTCAAAGCGTCTATTATGGCCATAGCGCAGACCCTTTGGGATGAGGCATTTTCGTGTTGTGGCACGAAATGGCCTAAACGAATAAACCCCATGAAAAATGTGCATATGAGAATTGCCTGGCTGTATTGGTGAGACAAAGGGGGCGTAACGCCATGAACAAGTGCCTGATCTGTCGAGATGCTCTTCCAATAACAGATGACTCGTCTTCCCACACGATACATTGGCCTTCACAACTGTGAGCCTCATGGCGCAACTCGGTTCATCCTTGCAAACGTTATATATAAAAGCCTCGTCCTTTCCATTCAGAATCGCCATCAACCCAAGTTTCTCTTGTATCAATATTTCCATTAATAGCTCACGTCCCGTTCTTTGCTACTCCGGTTCTGCGGGCCAGATACGGCGCAATAACGAAATTTATCTGCATCATGTCTTCCAACCCCAGGGAAGCTCCCAGCCCCCGCACTGCCCCTCCCCCTCCACCACCCCCGCTAGGCAGCGACAGGGAGTCCACTCTTTTGGCAGCACCTCGGCCTCCAATTGTGGCCGGAACTGGCCCTGCGGGGGCCTTTATGGTCCAACTGTTGATTTATAATGGTCATCCGTTCAAAGACCATTGGGCGTACTGGGTGTGCTCGCATGCCAGCCCTGACTACGGTGTCATGATTCATGCAACTGGAGATGTGCGAAACGGTTTCAAATTCGAGGTGAAGCGTGGCCACGACTTCCGGGCTACCCAGAATCCTCCCAGCAAGAGGATTCCGCTGCAATGGGTCAGTGGGGAATACTTCGATGAAGGGACCATTCTCAACAATGGACAATACAAGATTGACAATGATCCTGTCTGTGGTTTTGAGGCTAGTGCCCACAAAGTCAAGGCTCCTGGAAAGTCTCTGAATACGACTGATAGCAAGGTAATCCATTAGCCCTCTTTCTGTGATCATCCGTTGATTTGGAATACCTGACATCCTTCGGGAGAAACGTTCTCATGTCTTCGCTATTGCTTTGTGTTACAATAGCTAACATTGGGATTATAATCCTCGGGTGCCACTGTTGCTAAGAAGGTCACTCAGAGGAACTGTCAAACATGGATTGTTGAGTCTGCCGATCAACTTGTCAGAGATAATATATTCGACAAGGATGTTGCCGATTACCTTCACGCAATCCAGCAGTGATTGTCTGTTACGAGACTCCTTCCAGTGGAAGCTATGGAGTTTCAAGTACTTTGGCAGAGTTCTGGGACTGTGTGATTTTATCTGTTTCTTTTTCTTTACTCTATATATATGGCCATCGCATGAGCTTGAAGATAGCAGTTATATACCTCTCGACAATACAAAATAAAGCCAAGGATGGTAGATTGTCTCGTCATCCACTGAGTCCAGGATCATTGGAAGATATTTATTGCGCCAATCTTCCTGGGAAGCATCGCTATAGTATCTCGGATTTACTCTTATCCACCGAGCCTTACAGTATTCCCAGTATGCAGGGTACCAACCAGCCTGGGCCCAGTCGACAATTGCAGCCACTTTCGGGTTCGGTCCTGGGGTGATGATAATGTTAGGTGGAAGAAGATCATTATGCGTGAAGACAATAGGTGTGTCAACATCGATATAAATCCCACAAGCATTCTGAAACTGCTCGACAGCGTCTGCACCTAGAAATGGACCCACAAGGTCCGGGTGATGCATAACAAAAATGTCGTTCAGTGGCCGCTTGCCTAGACTGCCTATATAATTGCAACAGTTAGGTAGGGTGTTTGCGTCAGTATTCATTCGAGGCAAACCTACCGATGTAAGTGTCACGTGGGTCTTGTTGTAGAGCCCGAAAATCCCTCACTATATCATTAAGTTCTTCACAGATAGCTCGTCTCTCATCCTCGCTCAAGTCATTCCACCTATCCAATAAAGTGTCCCCTTCCATCAGTGACATGTAAATAAACGTCTGACCGTCGTCCTCCGCCCAGCCAAAGACTTCAGGGACGGGCACGCGGCCATGTAGTTGATCCCGCAGCATCCTTTGGGTCTGCGCCTCAACAATGCTCACATTGGCACCGTACTTAACAACTAGTCCTAGCGATGGGATCATGACAGGCGGAGGGCAGTTGAAGTTCCAGGCAGAAGCATTTCCTGACTTTAAGTTCAGGGCTCGTACATCGGCTGGTGATGGAAGCGCGGTGGCCCGTCGCTCCGTGAAGAAGCTGCTCTTAGGGAATATCTTCATTATGTCACAAACGGAGCAAGATTTAGTGGACGAATTATATATTGGACAGAACTGAGAGTGAGGTTTAAATGGGGGGGAAAGGCCACGATGAGGATTAACACCTTAGTCCAGGCCCATAGAACAATGAAAGCACATGCTCTTGTGAGAGAGACAGGGTGCAAGGCTGGCGGTTATGGTTGAGCTTCGTTGATGCTCATTGGATGATGACAGGACATCATTGCCATTCCTGCCGGCCAGGCGGGTTATGCTCGGCTGACTCATCCCACCCAGCACAACCACCTTATGTAACCAACTAACCGAAGGAGGCAGCGGCGGCAGAGCCCGGTGGGGCGCCACCGCACAAACGCGTGACCTCGAGTCGAAACAGCGAAAATTCCACACCATCGACTCGCTCGCTCGCAACCCCCGACAAACGCCAACGACAGAATCCCTCCTTGTTGTATCTGAAGGTCAGATTTTATCGCCAAGATGGGTAAGGTATGTTAAAACGGAGTGAATCCTTGTCTCTATATACGATGATTTTGATGATAAAAAAGCTAACTTGATGATGATTCCAGGTTCACGGATCTGTAAGCCTCGCCTTCGACAACCCTTGAAGCAGAAAAGTCAACCCCCTCTAACCTCGCAAAAAAACAGCTCGCTCGTGCCGGTAAGGTCAAGAGCGCAACCCCCAAGGTTGAGAAGCAGGAGAAGCAGAAGTCCCCCAAGGGCCGTGCCCGCAAGCGTCTCATCTACACTCGCCGTTTCGTCAACGTTACCCTGACCGGTGGCAAGCGCAAGGTATGAACGGCACACCTTTTCTTCAGAGAGTACCTCTACGATACAACCATGAGAGAAGTCGGCTCACACATCTGTCTACTTTCTAGATGAACGCCAACCCCACCCAGTAAACGGCGAAACCTTCGATGACTACATAACAACGAACGATTCCCCGGGTTATGATGGCGTGATGGGAAAGAGGGGCTGAGCATTTGTGAAGCGTATTTCACGCTGGGGGGAAGGCCGCACCACCATGCCATCAAATGTGCATGTGGCCTAGGCTCTTCGGGCCCGTTTTCGTGTTTTCTCGACTCGACTTGTGTGGAAACGGGTATCAAATGGGATGGATTGCTTCTGCTACGAAGGCGAATAATTCATGTTCATGTTTATCGGACTTTTTATTGGGGTGAATACGATCGCTGTTCAGTCTCTCAACTGATTTCCTCTTATACTGGTGCTCTACGGGTGCGCTGTGCGTGGGTTTGGCTGTAGAGGGGGGAAATACTGGGGTTGTGGAATTCGGAGTGGTGGGTGAGTCACAGGTGGCGAGGCTGGGTTCTCGAAAGAGGAGTCGGTGGAAGGCTAGCATTCCGGGATGGCCAGGATGACGTGAGATTGGGGACTACGAAACTGTCATTCGTACTGCCTGGGATGTAGTTGTAGGACTGGCAGTCGGCAGAGAGCCAAACTCGTAGATTTGACGACATGGTATTTGTCACTCGCTGTACAGCTCCAATATACCTCGAATATCGACATCAGCTCAGCTAAATATCCAGTAGCAAGCTTATTTACCCCTCCCAACATCGACAACCCCTCAGCAAATACTCACTCCAACCCGCACACCATACTCATGCACCCAGTTTTTCCGTTTCCCAGCCTTCTCAACCTTCTCCGCCCTTTCCTGCAAAATATCTCGTAGCACCGACGTCGCACCCGCAACCTCATTCCGCCTCACCTTCAACCGCAGCAAATCGCAGGTTTCTTTCTTCTTCACGATAGACTCCCACCCCGTTTCGAAACAGATCCGCCAGTGTGTTTCCGACACCCGACCGGCAGGATACACATCCCCAACGATGACAGCCACCCGGCCCAGATACTGACACCACCATATCTCCTTCGCGGACAGACACCGGGACAGTTGCCGATGATACGCCTGGTCCATGGGTGCGAGGTCCCCAGTCCAACGCTCACAGAGCACAAGTCCAATCAGAGCTCGTTCAACATGCGAGAGACAGTTCGTCGAGGCCAGAATGCCTGTGGTTGTGCTGTGCAACGCCGCCGCTGAGCGCGATTCCCGCGGGACTTGCGAATGGGCATAGAGCAGGTTCGCAATCGCCGCAATCAAGTTCGAGGTGAAAGAAGGCGGAGGGTGAAACGACCCGATGGGCGAAGATGCCGTCGGCAGCGTCGACTGGAGCAATTCCCTGATCGCGTCCACAGAAGGAGGCGCATACGGCAACGTCGCAGCCAACAGGGGATCCTGTGCCCGAACCTCACTCGGCAGTCGATCAAAGAGATAGCCTTCACGGACACCCCCCTGACAGAACTGAATATGGGTAATCGCCGGTAACGCATCCATAATCACATTCACGAGAACCGCCACAGCCGGAATCTGCGATGCGCGTCTCTTCGACACGCCAAAGATCTTCTCATCCGGGTCCGAAACCACATCCAACACTCCCACCGTATCGTGAAAATCCTCCCTCTTGACCCTAAACCCATTGATAATGGGAATCGGATACGGATCAACCTTGGACTGCTTCATCAGCACATACCCCCAACCCCTGAACCCCCCACCACAGAGATACAAATCAAACCGGCCTCGACTCCTCGTCATCTCCAACAACTCCTCCGGAAGCTCCAGCCGTCGATATGCATCCCGAAATCCCCTCGTCATCTCCTCCTTCAACTCATTCCCAGCCTTCTTCCCCTTCTCCAACCTCTTCATCAACGCCGCCGCCCCATACGGAAAACTAAACGACCCCTTCGGACTCGTCGTCACCTTCCCATCCCGTTCCATCACCCACGTAATCTGGGTACTCCCCCCTCCCAAATCCATCGCAATCCCCGCCACCGAAGCAGAACTACTCGCTATCCCCAGAGCCCCAATCCTCCCCTCATCCTCCTTCGATAACAACGTAACATCCCACCCCGTAACCTCTTTAATCCGCGTCCGAAGCTCCTTCGAATTCGGCGCCGTCCGGGTCGCCTCCGTCGCCAGAACGTAGATATTCTCCCTCGGGACTTGGAAATCAGCACAGGTGATATGAAATTGCGCTAGGCGCTCCACAACTTGGTCTATGATGTGCGGGGGGATCGGACCCCGGGTGCCTTCTGAGTTGGTGAATTGGGCATCGTAGAGGGATATTCCTGCTCGGTCTTGAAATACTATCGGCATAATTCGAGCGGAGGAAGGAGAAAGGTTTGTTATAGAGAAACGGATGCCGTTGCTGTTGGGATTCAGTTAGTTTCTGTATGGCTTGGGGGCAAGGAGGTTGTGTCTAGGTACCTGCCCATATCCACGATTCCGTAGAGATCGGGACTGTTTATTTTGGATGTGCTTGCCATTTTGGTGGTGATGTAGTAGTATCGTGGGATTATGCTATATGGTGGGAGGGGGTACAAATATGTAAGTGAGTATGACGGCTTGGTCAATGCGTCATTATCCTGCTCGATGGAATGGTAAGCATAGGTGTGTGTGCATTAGAGGTGGCTGTAGAATAGGTAGCATAATTGATAGATTTGACTCACTGTTCTGAGTGAAGGACTGTGCAGAGGCTGTGTCTATAACATGCTGTAGGGAATGATGGTATGGTTCATGTGGCGTTGATATATTTTGGCGGAGGGGCTAGGACTATTAGTAGTAAGTAGTAGATCAACTTACCCCTCCATGCTAGTCGATTTCAAGAGCGCGTCAGCACCACGAACTAATGACTACGGACTATGAAGACAATGATATCGTTCCCCAGATATTCTGACCAGATTATAGTTTTACCTTAGTGTTACGAACTTAGTCGGGAGCAATCATCAAGTCATATTCAAGTCATGGTATCATAAACGCTCGCTTCGCAGAGGAACATTAAACAGTTACAGTACGTATCGATATTCTGCGCCATAATTTTCCTCTCCAAAAGCAAAGCTTTCCTTTGAAGTCGCTCTCTCAGCCCTTTCGGCCGCAGTACCATACTGCTTGTCCAGACGGCGGTTCTCCCAGACCAGCAATGTTCGCAAAGACAGTGCAAGTATCACAGTGAAGAACATAAAGGCCGCGCAGATCGACTGCCCCCGAATATAGCGGGGCGCGTCGCTCGATGGGAAGACATTGGTTCCCAAGAAGGGACCACATTGGCCGATGATGTTGAGAATGACAATACCCATTCCGCGTCGGCTGTCCGAGCCTTGATTATCTGAAATCCAATTGTTAGTCGCGCTACCATGATTTCACTGGGATGTACATACTCAGGACCCAAGGAAGTATATTTGCGATCGAAGGAAAAACTCCGGCAGCAGCCAGGAACACGCCAAAGTAGCGCACACCAACAGAGGTACAGGTCGCAAGCAGCACATATCCGATCGCACCGATTAGCGAGAATAGAGCGATAACCAAGCCTCGCTGCTGAATCCGATCGGCCAGCCAGGTAGTGGCAATTGTAACGAGAAACGAGGCAAAAAATGGTGGAGCAGTGAGGCCTTGAGCGTTGATCGAGGTGAACCCCATGTCTTCAAGGATCGTGGGAAGGAAGACAGGCAGCGATGAGAAGCTCACATTGCAGCTGAAGTACATCAACTATAAGCCAATACTGTTAGTAGATCATAGAATGAAGTAGAATGATAACATACTGCAGTGAGCCATGCCTTGGCATCCCACAAGGTCTGCCACAGTTCCTTCCAGTTAATGCCGGTAACCCGCTCGCTTTCACCACTACGTCGCAACGATCGGGCGCGTGCCACTGCCTTCTCCTCCTCGGTCAAGAATCGAGCAGATGCGGGGTGATCGGGCAAGTAGAACCATGCCAGGAAGGCTGCCAAGAGCGACGGGCTCCCCTCGACAATGAACAATAACCGCCAATTGGCGATCTTGGCATGTCCAGAGGTGATCCCATAGGCGAGAGCCCCGGCAAAGCAATTTGCCAGAGGAGCAGCTGACAAGAACATACCACAACGGAGGCCGAGTTCCTGGCGACGATAGAAGAACGATAGCAGGTAGGGAGAGCCGGGCCCGAAGGCTGCCTCGGACATTCCAAGCAGAAAGCGCAAGGCCATCATCCCACCCCAACTCTGCGTCGCAGCCTGGCAGGTTGCAACAATGCCCCTGTAGAAGTATCATAAGCTGAGCAGACAAAGGAAAGCTCAGTCGGTACATACCAGGTCATGACTGTGATGGCTGCCCATCTGTGGGGTGGCATGACTTTCCACATCAAAGCCAAGAACTCAAACAATGTGTAGGATATGTAAAAGATGGTCAAGAGCCATGTATAGCGACTGCCAGTAAGATGCAAGTCTTCTTCCATTCCTGCGATTTTGGCATTTCTGGCTCCATGTTAGGCGAGCGTCCCAGCTGGTATGTGAGGATCTAGAGACCCACCCGATGTTGCTCCTATCCAGGAGGGAAAGAAGATCTATACGAATACGTCTGGTTAGATTCAATCGGAAAGTTAAAGAGACTGATTGGGAGGGAGGGGGGAAAGAAGGTCGGATAAGCGGTGAGATGCGAGTGGCGGAATAGAAAGATAGACGCTTACATAGGAACCCTAAAAGAGTCGGAACTCTCAAGTCCAACTTTCTCACCAAACGGGCTTCAACAGCGGGGTCAATGGCGACCGTCCGGAGGACTTGCGGAAGTGCCGTGTGAGATTCCTCATCGTGTGCGACATGTTGCTTCTCAGGGTCGGACCCTGGAGCCTCGACAATGGCATCGACGTTACCCGCCGTGTCGCCAGAAGCGTCCCTCTTCCCAAAGAAACCCATAGCTCACGGCGAGACGGAGGACGAACAGATGCAAGAATGAACGACCGACAAGAGCAGATTCGCGCAGGCCGGAGCTTGGATTTATAGTGCCAGCGCAATGAGGGGCCTCGCGTACTCGGCAACCAATGGATTTGTTTGATCCGGAGCTGTGAGTATTATGCGAAGCTGCTCTTTAGCCTCCGCGCCCCGAGGGATGACGTCCAGCAGGGATGGGAGGGGACGGAAGAGAATTAGTGGATCGATTGGACGAGTCATTTGCCCTCTGAGGGAACACGCCGTCTCTCCATAGGAGCCGACACGGTAGTCATCGCTTCCGGTACATGCAACAGCCGAAGCGGACGCATGGGGTCAGATGGATGACACGCTCTGAAGACCCAATCATGACGAGTGCGGAGAAAAACCAGCACTGTGTAGTGGGTGGCGGGTCAAAGCTTGAGTCCAATCCAGCCGAGCTTGCGGAAAGGCTTGGTTGGGAAAGTCGCAAAGACATTGGGCGATAAAGAAGGCGACGAGGCTGGACGTTTCAGTTTGACTCGTTCGATTCCCTTGCTGGCCTTACTGCATGATTCCCTCGCATGGGAAGACGGCTGGCTGATGAGGTCTAGACACTGGATGTAATATACTGGATCTGTTAGCAAGGCAAAGAAAGGTCCGTCGAAGAGGGGTACAGCTGGGTCAACTCTGGAACTCACTCATAAGTCATAGTAGATAGGACTAGTTCTGGGGGCGGCTGGAACTAAAGACCCCCAACATTGCGGGGAATGAGATCAGATGCACGAATTGCACGACTCGGGATTGTGGGCTTCGACGATCCTCTCCAGCTCGAGCCCTCCCGCGCCTTGCCCAAAACAGGAGCATGTGTAGCCTGGCAACTCAGGTGTTAAACAGGCCGACAGACAAACACCTCAAACTTGCGCTCCCGGTCTCTGTAGTCCCCCGCATCTGCGTTGGAGGTTCCGGCCAGGAACCTCAAATTTCCGCGTCGCGTTGGCCTTCGCTGCAACTGGCTCCCACCGACAACGCCTATTTATTGCCTGTTGGCCTTCTCCATCGCGGATGCATCCCAGTCTCTCGATCGGATAGAGATACTGCGTGCTAAGCGACAACCTTGATACCCCCTTTCTACGATATCCACGGCCTCTGCTCATCATGGACGACCCAGCAAGCCGTGTTCCCGCGCAGTTGGTAGGTCATCCAACGGAGAGGAGCTGCATTGCTATCAGGCCCTATTGCTAATCGAATCTACTCTGAATTATTCAGTTGCCGCATATGCATCTGGTATCGCGGCATCGCTATCCCCTCATGCATATGATGCCCACCGACACCGTCGTCGAATACCTTCTCTCCGCATCCAAGATCGTTCGGGAGACGCAACCGATGCATTGGACGTTTCTCGATGGTCCGCAGGACGGTACCGTGATGCTGACCTGGCAGCCATTGAACCAGTTGGGAACCAATTTTGCCAGCGACGGCTATGTCTGGGCTGACGTCGAACAAGCGTTTACCTTTGAAGCTCGCGGTTACGTATGCGCGCCCCGTCTTTCTCTACCTCCTACGCAGATACTGATGGCTGACACGGTATGCGCTAGATGGTGGAAATGTGGCTCCATCGCAGCGGCTATCACCCGCCTAATGAGCCCGTGGCTATGCATTGTCGCAGACGTTACCGACTCCTCCCTTCAAAGGTCCCCAACCCGAATGTGCCTCCACCCGACCCTTCATTGTGGATTGTTCACTACTCGAGATCCCCCCCCTCGGAACATGTCCCCGCGAATCGGATCCCCGTATTACCCCAAGTCCAAAACATGCTAGCCCAACGTCGGTTCCTGCAGAGCCAAGGCCAACTCGCGCGCAAGGACTTTATGCTACACGATCGCAACAACTGGCCCGCAATTAATTTCCCGCCGCAAATGGCCCCGCAAGGCTTTCCTCAGATTCCGGGCGCATATCCAAGTGCCATGGTCGGACGCCAGCCGTACTATCCCCCGCCTGGTCCGGGTGTCCCCCCCCTACCGCGGCCGCACCGGTCAAGGCCGCGCGCGGGCATCGCGCTTCGTCCGCCGCAATCAATGCTGCCACAGCCGATTTCGCCCTTGAAGATGAAGATATCTCGACTGGGGATACCATGGACCTTCTTACGCCTCGGGAGATCAGCAAGATGAGATACCAACAACATCACGAGTGGATGGAGGAAATCTTCGCTTCACCCTATGCCATCAATCAGATCACCCCGGTTTCCCTGGGTCTGGGCCGGAAAGGCGAACTGGAGTCATTGACGGCGGGATTCTTCGATGCACCCATTGGACCCGCCAATGGTGAGACGAAGGATGCTAGCGCCTCCGCTCAGGCAGAGAAGATGGAGCCTGCTAAGGCGGAGGAATTTGCCGACCGTGTTGCTAAGAAGGTCGCCGATATGACTGCAGAGATTGAGAAGTTGAAGAAGCGCCATGCGCGTCGGATGGAGAAGTTCAACCGCACATCGTTGTTGAAGGATGCGGAGCTCCGGCTGCGAGAAGCTGCAGCAGATCCGGCCGATACGGGCGCAGAAACATGGAGATTGGAAGGTCGTGTTGTGATGCCCACAGAAGACGATGACTCGCAGGCTCCTCAAGTTGAGAATCCTGCTAAGTTCAAGGTTGACGATATTGTGCGGGAGGTCGAGAAGTCATGGCAGCGGCCGATCGTGCCGGAGCCCAAGATCTCTTGCGTGCAGAAAGGTGGCTTGCTGGAGAAGATCGAGCCAGAGCACAAGCCTGAAGTTCAGGTGGAAGGTGATATTGACATGGGGAATGCCAACAGTCATTTCCTTGACCAACTGGGCTCGCCGCCTGCTTCGGGTGCTGTTCAGATTCCATCTACAGCCCAGGCACCACCAGTCGCACCTACGGTTCCTCCCACCACTGGTGTCCCGACTGGGGGTGTATCCATGCCACCGCAGCCGCAGCCCACGATGAATACTACGCAACAGGGTGCGTCTCTGGATATCGACATGGACATGGGTGATGGACAGCCTTCGAACACGGCCGCTGGCGAGACGGGCGACTGGGTGATGGTCAACGATGAGAAGAAGGACCAGCCTGTTGCAGGCGACAGCTCTCTAGCCGGAATTGGCACCCCGGGTAGTGGAATGCAAGGCCTGACTCCCGGTAACGGAGGAAGTGCAGGAGACTCTGCGCTGGATGGGGCCAACTTCGACTTCACCAATATGGACAGCGCAGGCGATGCACTTGCGGCGTACAGTGAGCAGAACGACGGGCTGGATCTACCAGACTTGGAGAACTCGGCCTTTGGGGATGCATTCCACGCATCGGATAATGAAAACACGCATCACCACGATGCGGATGATATGGCTTAGGACGGCTGATCCGCTGGGGTTTCGGGCTTGCTTGGGGTGGGAATGACATGGTGTTGTGGTGCTCTTGTAACCAATATCTGGCGCTGGATCTGTTTTGTGTAGGGGTGTAAAATGAAACTCGGCACCTACTTAATACACGTCTCAACTATCAGTGCAGCTGGCAGATATTCAGTCTCAATAAGCGTGGGTTTGTGTTTTGTATAGATCGTAGCCCCGGGTTTGTACGGCATATGCTTGGCGATAGGCAGTCAGTCACCCCCGTCTACCCTCTGCCACCACTATTCCATCTACAAAACCAAACTCACCCACCACAATTCACGAGGACTCAAAACACCATCATGAAAACAACTACACCACACGATATCCCATCATCCCCAACCTCAACTCAGTCATCAAAGTCATCACAGCTACCTGGCTGACGCTATCACCGGGTCCGATCATCCACATGACACGCCGGTCAAGTGATTTATATCCGGATGGCCATCAATATAGGCTGGAAAGATTATCCTCTGTCTTCTCTCCTCTCCTCTCCTTTCTTCCTCTTACCTGTACGGTTACTTATTCGATCTTCCCCAGGAATGATAGTGGATATCAGCATCGGCTCAGCATCAACCATCGTGTTATACTCACCCAACAAGAACAGCCAAAGCAACTCGAATCGAACCCCGAACAAAGACCTTGATTAATTGATCTTTAGTCGGGGGTAGAATTAGTTACTATCTATCTCTGTCCTCGTCCCCTAGCCAGCCAGCCATCTTATCCGAACCACTCGCTATACAATACAAGTACCTCACAAACATCTACACCCATAGTTCAACTATCTATCTCCCACCCCCTCCCTCAACTCAAATCCAAACTCAAAAGCAAAAACAATGTGCTTCACAAACCTCTCCGACTCCATAACCCTCACAAAAACCAAACCCGGAACCAGCTCCCACCCCCCCTCTCCCCGATGCCATTCACACTCCCGCTCCCGCTCCCCAAACCCCACCATCTCCATCCCTGAGAAATCCCTCCGTCGTCGAAGACGCAGCAGCAGCAGCAGTTGCAATTGCAGTTGCAGGAGCAGCTCCAGAGAAACAATCATCCGTCCTCCGCCACGAAGCTACCCGCCTCCTCCGCGACGATCATATACCACTGTCACGAGGACAAGGTATAGGACTATCGAGGAGACGTTCATTCCGCTGCCCGGGAGGGTGGTTAGGCCGCCGCCGGTGGTTATTGATTTGAGGGAGGTAAGAGGGAGGCAGAGGGTGAGGCCTGGGGTGGAGGTGGAGGAGATGGAGGGGGTGGAGGTTGAGTGTGTGAGGGTTTTGGAGCCTGAGCCGGAGGTTGATGTGGAGTGGGTTGTTAGGAGGGGACGGGGGAGGGAGAGGGAGAGAGAAAGGAAGAGGATATGGGGGAGGGAGAGGGAGAGGGAGAGGGGAAGGGGGTGTTGGGAAGAAGAGGTGGAAGAGGAAGAGGTAGAGGAAGAGGTGGATAGGAGGGTGAAGGTTGAGTATATTCGGGCTAGGTAGAGGATAGAGGTATCTAGGTAGGGCTGGGGTTGGGGTGGTGTTGTGAGGGCGTTGTTTATGCGTGCTTTGTGATTCATGCTTTGCTTCTTTCGTTGCTTGGACATTCTGTTGCTGTTGATGATATCCATGTCTGCATCATCTATCCGTATCTACAGATAAACTTCCTCCATCCACGGATCCTCCCCATAGCAGCATGCATAGAATGAGCCTGCAACCGGAACATGACCTCAACATCCGTCCTTCCGGCATGACGTCACTCTCTTTGTCCAGTCTGTTTAATTGAACATCGGGGACTCAATGTCATATCTCCATTACCCCACTGACGTTGATCATATATGACCCTATCGTGACTGGTCTGCTATAGCCGCTACTAGTTGATCATCAGATGGGCATTGACCATCCTTCCTGACTGGCTCTCATCAGAGGAAGGCGCAATCCTGTCCAAACTCATTAGCTCTTTGTATTGTACCTGCTCATCTTTGTCTCTTGTAAATTTGTTCTTCGGATATACTAGTTAGTTCACAATGATGTATGACACTCTGGTTTCTCATGAGACGCACTGCGCATAGCTGACCACGATAGGAACCGAAACATGTCAGTCCGAAGGAGAAACTCCATGCCCACTCGCACCCGGTTCAGCTTTTCCACACTGCGCGGCTTTCAGCAGCCCGAGCTGAGCAAGAAGCTCAATCAAGTCATCAAGAACGAGAATGCCGCCATCGGCGCCCACGAGAAGGCCAGCAAGGAGCGCCTGTCCATTGCTACACAGCTGTCGGACTGGGGCGAATGGACGGAAGACGATGCCGTCGCGGACATCACAGACAAGGTTGGCGTTTTGATGGCCGAAATAGGCGAGCAGGAAGACACATTCGCCCAGTACCTCGAGGAGTATCGCGTTGTTTTGAAGCAGATCCGCGACACCGAGAACTCCGTCCAGCCCTCACGGGACCATCGAGCCAAGATCGCGGACGAAATCCAAAAACTCAAATGGAAAGAACCGCACAGTCACAAGATCGACACCCTGGAACAGGAGCTGGTCAGGGCCGAAGCTCAGAGTCTAGTAGCCGAGGCCCAGTTAACCAACGTGGTATGTATTGTTTGTCTGCTGCCAGGGTGTTGCGCTACAAATGCTAAAGCTCTGAATCCAGACCAGGTCGAAGCTCAAGGAAGCCTTGGACATTCACACCGCCGCGGTCATTGAACGAAGTGAGAAACAGATCTTGCTTGCTCGCCATGCTCGCCGATTGTTGAATCATCTGGACGATACCCCCGTTGTCCCTGGTGACTCCCCTCGCGAGTACGATCACACGCCTGCCACGAGACAGATCCTCGAGGATGCCGAGAACGACCTCCGTTCTTGGGAGAGCACCACTGTGCCCATCCAGAGTTCTGCAGGAGAGCTTCCGAGCAGCGGACTTCTGCCAGCTGCCGCACGTAGAGCTACAAATGGTCGGAGGTCATATGCAGTCGAGACGTCTGCCTCGGACTCTGTGCGGGATGTCAACGGTTCTGCCGATGCGTCGTACATCAATGGAGCAGGCCGAGAGCGATACGCCAATGGCGCCGCGACGGAGCAATATGTCAATGGACATGGTGGAGAGCACTATGCTAACGGCACCACCGAAGAGCCGTACGTTAACGGTAGCGCTGCCGAGAAATACGTCGATGGATCCACCCAGGACGAGTATGGAAATGGCGCGGCACCAGAGCAATATAGCGAGCGTTCTCAGGAGCCGGTCGTCAGCAATGCCGCAGAGGAGCGATATGCCTATGGTGGCACGCAAGGGCCATCGGTACCCGGCATCTCTGAGGAACAAACCACTAGTGTTACTGCACAGGACCTATATTCTAGTGGGACGCCTCGAGAGCAACTTGCGGATGGTTCCGTCCCGGAAGAAGCTTTGGAAAAGGACGAGGAGGAAGTGCCACGAGCACCAGACCCCCGAAGCTCATATGCTGCTCGAGGCCCCGAAGCCCCGCAGGTGATCAGCCCGGTGCCGGTGCAGGCCCAGCCGATTGCGATTCCCATCTGAGCTGAGGTGCTCATTTCTGCCTTTTCTCGTTAGTTGTATCTGTAGTCCTAGTATGTACTGGATTGGTCTAGGCAAGTAGCCGTTCAGAGACTGAGAGAATCTGCACAAATCATGTTGGGATGAGTATTTTCATGCCATTCATTAGTTGGGTAGGAACGGTAGTGTAGTTGGTGTCGGTAGTGCAGGAGGTTATAGCAGCGATGCCCGGGTGGGATACACGTGACCCAGGCGGCCAGCGTGACGCGGACGCCGCTTGGAGCTCCAGCATCATCTCCAAGCTCCGAGCTGCACCCGCCATCCTCATCCTCCTCTCCCATCCTCGCTCGTCCGCTGCATCGCATCTTCCAGTCGACTCTGTTCCATACTCTCTCGATTTCACCGTTCACTCTTGCACATCATGGATAAATTGGTCGCCCAATACGCCCGCCCGCCGCATCAGAATGAGTTCTACTCGGAGCAAGAGCAGCGTGACCTTACAGAGAGCCTTCCCCCGATCTCTCTGAAGTTCAACCTGCCTCCTGTTGACAATGTGAGCCACATACCGACCGGAGCCGCATGTGTGGATATCAAGTCCTGTGAAGATTGCAGCTGCCGATGTTTGGAGCTGGACCGGACGGACCTCCTACATGCCTTTACACCAATCGCAAAATTAGTGGCTGACATCCTGCTTATCCGATAGTCCAGAGCCTTTCTCCGTGCTATGACTGATGACCACTCAAACCCCAGCTGTCCCATCAAACTTGCCCACGGAACGACGACACTGGCCTTCCGATTCCAGGGCGGAATTGTATGCCGTCATCACTACCTCCGCTCCGTCTCGCGCTAACATCCATCGCCTAGATCGTCGCTACAGATTCGAGAGCTACTGCTGGAAACTGGATTGCTAGTCAGACAGTCAAGAAGGTCATCCCCGTCTCACGGTTGAGCCGTGGGGATGACACGAAGTCTAATGAGCCGACACCCGGTCTCTTGGGCACCATGGCAGGAGGTGCAGCGGTACGTGCTACGTGTGGGAGCCGCACAGTATCAGATAACGTGGTTTGGACATCATAATTGACGACCTGTCGTAGGATTGCCAATACTGGTTGAGATATCTGAGCCAGCAATGCACACTTCACGGCAAGTCCAGTCGTCTCCAGCATTCCCAGGCCCCTCATTAACACCCCGACAGAGATCCGTCACAAGCGCCGTATCACCGTCGCCGCTGCCTCGAAGATCCTCGCCAACCTGACATACGCTTACAAGGGAATGGGTCTGAGCATGGGAACGATGTTAGCAGGAGTGCGTGAACCGCCCAGCAACCCATTGTATGGACTCTAACTGACTTCCAATGATAGATGACCCCTCAGGAAGGCCCCGCTCTCTACTACATCGACTCCGACGGTACCCGACTCCCCGGAAACCTGTTCTGTGTTGGATCCGGTCAGACATTCGCATACGGTGTCCTTGACGCCAACTACCGCTACGATTTGACCGAGCAGGAGGCCCTCGAGCTGGGTCGGAGGAGTATCCTTGCTGCCATGCACCGTGACGCCTACTCCGGTGGTTTCATCAACCTGTACCATGTCAAGGAAGAGGGATGGGTCCACCACGGCTTCGACGACATGAACCCGATATTCTGGAAGACGAAGCTGGAGAAGGGCGAGTTCTCGAACGTCACGTCGGAGCTGTAAGCGCCGCAGGGTGGCTTGTATGGTGGAAATGATACTCTTACTTTAGGTTCTTAAGATATTACATCTAGTATATGTTTCTCATGCTTTTGCCTAGTAGAGATCCATAACACAGAATAATGATAACCTGCTGGAAAGACAGTACGAGCCACACGCACAACATCCTGTAATGAACCTTTTAAATAATGAAAGTGAAAATAAATACATAATGCATACATACATACAAACACATACAAAAACATCATCTCCAAAAGAGCCAAAGCAGTGCTGAAATGCGCCCCGTTCTGGTATAACAAAAAGTTGCTTTTTATATCGTATCTTGATCACTCCGGATTCAATCAAACCACCAAATCCCTAGATAAGTGAGATGGCTCAAAAAGGGGAAGAGAAGATATGGGGGCTATCTATTCTAATTATCAACCCAGAATTTCATGCGAATACCCATAGCAGCCAGCTCGACGTCCAGGTAGCGAAGCACACCGGGGACAGCGACGATGGTGACGTTGTCACCGCCGACGTAGCGGTGACCGTCACCGTCTTCCCAGACGTCGGCGCGGGAGTCCTCGAAGATGGCTTCGCGGGCACAGCGACGACAGCGGACGATGCCGGGGGAGCCGCTGAGGGCGTTGGCGCCGGAGTGCTGGTTGGAGGCGGCTTTGGCGGCGGCGATGCGGGCCTTGCTGGAGCCGGAGGAGGGGACGGCGACCTGGGTGGAGAGGAAGGAGCCACAGTCGCGGCAGATCCAGGAACGGGTGGAGTCGGAGCAGTTCATCAGACGGTCCTGCAGGATGAAGGCGGCACCGTGGGCGATGAGGGAATCGCGCTCCATCTCTCCGACACGGATACCTCCTCCCTTGGCACGACCCTTGACGGGTTGGCCGGTCAGGGAGTTGACGGGACCGGTGGTACGGACTTGGAACTTGTCGTTGACCATGTGACGCAGACGTTGGTAGTGGACGACACCGATGAAGATGTCGGCGGCGAATTCCTTGCCGGTGATACCGCTGTAGAGGGGCTCGTTGCCGAAGTAGTTGTATCCGGCCTTGCGGAGTTGGTGGCCGAAGTAGTCGGCGGCCGTGTTTTCTTCGGAGAATTGGAAGGGGGTGCAGTCTTGCGGATGGCCGTGGAGAGCACCGGCCTTACCGGCCATGGACTCGATCATCTGGGCGATTGTCATACCTGGGTTGGGTTAGGTTAGTTGGGTGGGATGGTTAGGTTTAGAGGGGTTGGGGTTGTGGGGAGCTTACGAGAGGGGAAAGCGTGAGGGTTGATGATCAGATCAGGCTGGATACCACTCTCGGAGAATGGCATGTCGACTGCGGGCCAGAGCTGAGAGCAGACACCCTTCTGACCGTGACGAGACGAGAACTTGTCACCGATGATGGGCTTTCTGGGAATGCGGTACTTGACACTGAGGGTCTGGCAGGGTTCGACACCGGATTCGGCTCCCATGATGCGGATACTGTCGATGTATCCTTCTTCGGCGTCCTTGTACTTGACGAAGTGGGTGATGCCGTCAACGTTGACGTACGAGTCGGAAGCAGCGTCGTAGCGCACAGTGTGCCATGCGGCGACAAGACTGCCCTCCTTCACGCGAGCACCCAGGTGCGGAAGACCGTCTTCGTCCAGAGTAGCACGCCATTCAGCCCTAATCTCGCCTCCGGGAGCGAAACCGAAGAGCTTGGTGATCTCGCGTCTGGATTTGCCGCGGCGGGACTCATTGTCGTCGAGGGCGTGGATCTTGGTCTTGTAGATAGTACCGTAACCGAAGCCACGCTCGTGGGAGGATTTGTTGATAATCATAGCGTCGTCCATGTCGTAACCGGTGTACGACAGGATAGCCACGACGGCATTCGTACCGTTGGGGAAGTTGTCCAGACCATAGGCGTTGTAGAGAGGCGACCGCACAATGGGCGTTTGACCCGTCTGCAGTCGGTAAAGCTTGTTATCCGTACGGTATTGGATGGATGTACCGGGCGTACCCATGGTTTGCTTGCTCATCTGGCATTGGTACATGTTACGAGGAGACTGGTTCTGGTCGGAGAAAGGAGTCATGTTGGCGACGATAGAGAGGATGTTGGTAGGGGAGTACTCGATGTGGGTCGAAACCCCGGAGATGAGATCCTGCGGTAAGCATGCAATCTCCATGAAAGGCTGTTCGAAGGGGCCAACGTAGTCCAGCTTGTCGAGAGCCAGGTGCTTGACGGGTCGGTACATTCTCGCAGCCTGGGAGAACATGTAGATACCGGGGTATTGGCCACCGTTGGTGTTGGGGATGTACCCAATCTCCAGCTCGCGCGGGATCTTGTCAGAGCCCGCCACCTTCCAGCGTCGCAGGGTGTTGGCCACAGCAGCGGCCTGCTTGGGTGAGCAGTAGCCGATGATTCTACCATCGAGTTGGACAGTAACACTCTCTGCCACGGACACGGACGACTCAGAACGCACACCAAGCTGAATCAACGCCTTGGGGACGTGAGTCGTGTCCACGTCACTCGTCGCAATCAAACACTTGTGCGCAAGATGGTTAAGCAGACCACATGGCGCACCATCAGGAGTGTGCACGGGACAGAAGAAACCCCAACTCTCGGGTAGCAGCTTACGGACAGTCGTCGTCTTCAGCTGCGCGAAGAAACTACCTCTGTGAATCATGCGGAAGTGACTGATGAAACGGTAGAAGTTGATCTTTTCCGCCATGACAGTGTAACCGGACGGCTGCTGCAAATCGAGACCAGTAGGACTGACGAGGTTACCCGTGGACAGGAAATACTCCAGGGCACCTCCGAGGTTCTCGTTCGACCGTTTCACGACCTTGCTCAGGAAATCTCTCTCGAAAGCCGGATCGGTGAACTTGGCACCGCCGTTGCGGTTTGACCAATCCCTCAGAATCGGCTGGAAGGACCGGACCCATTCCTCGAGTCTTTCCTTCAGAATCATTCCGTAGAGGAATCCACCGAGCAAGATCTCTTGGTTGGAGACAGCATCCGGGTTGTCAGGGGCGCAGTCTCCAGCAACCAGAGCGTAGAGTTTCCGGATCATGAACAAGAGCATCTTGAACTTATCATAATCCTGGTTCTCAGTGACATTCTGGTTTCCAAGGTGGGGAAGGACGACCTTGCGGAGGAACTCCGTACCAGCGTCCTCGTTTGACATGTCCGCCGGAACACCGAGGACGGGCTTGAACTTCTCTCCAAGGTAGGCCCGGCAGGCTGCGCGACTGTGTGTGTTGTATGCCTTGTATACGCGCAACAGCAGCTCGACGCGGTCGGTCACGAATGTGTTCTTGATGCCCTCGGAAGAAGCGCTGCCAACAATTCCCTCGAAGATTTCGCGATCGTTTGTCTCCACCAGAGCCTTGAGGATCATCATCACCGGGACGAGATACTCGGCCTTGCGCCAAGAGAAACGGAAAGTCAAGTTGCCATCAGTGAGGTAGTGAAGAACGTTCGTCTGCGACGTTTGATCCGGCCGCACCGATCGTATCTGGACACCATATTTGGTGTAGGTGTGTCCACGGCGAACAAAGGAACCACGAACAATCGACATGGGGAAGTTTCTCTTTCCAACGACCAACATTCGAATGAGCTTTTCGTTTCCGTTGACAATGAAATAACCACCCAATTCCTCCGACTCTTCCTTGTGGTCGACGAGTTCGCTGGGCGTGGCCTTCTCCAGGTGGCATCGGTTGGTCTGGGAAGTCATGCGATGTTAGATGGTGTCCTGAACAGAATTTTGGATAGGACTTTATGCGCTATCGCACTCACCCTCAACATGATGGGGACCTGACCCAACTCTCTGACTGACTCCACCCAGTCTCCATTGTTGACCCGCCACTCGATCCTAGCACGGAGCTTTCCACGGTACGTCGCATGTCTCTCTCTGCATTCCGAAGGGTAGATATTGCGGTTCCGCGTGGTGAACTTGTTGGATGCAGGCAGGGCTGGCTTCTCGAGGAAAACTTCACTGACGCGGACATGGAGCTTATTCCGCCGGGGAGCCTTGCGGCCCTCCGCCTGTCGCGCCTTCTTCTGTTCAGGGGTCTCGGCTTCACCGTCGATAAATGTCTTGGTGCCGATATCCTTCAGTGCGGCCTCCAGCGTCTTGGGGCCGTCGAAGAGCGCATTGAAAGAATCAACGTGCGGCCGGATGGCAGCTGCCAAGGCCGGGTATGCGGTGTGGTCCTTGGGAGGGTTGCGGAAGAGCTTCTCACGTCTCAGGACGTCGTAGTCGACAGACCAATTCGTGTCGGTTGCCGCGGGGGCCATGATGAATTATGTGTGGTCTTCTTGTCCGGGAGGTCGAAAAAGAGGAGGAAAAAGTTCGATTGGACTTCCGAGGGCGTACAATCCGAAGCACCGGTGAGGAAGATGGGTGCTAGTGATCGGGACCGATGCTCATTCCCTGTTGACTGCAGGAATGCACGAGCGACGAGAGAAGATGGGGAGGGGATGCGACTCGCACAGAGACCCCGAGTGGTGCTGGCTGGAGAGCAACGAACCTCGTCGTCGCTCGACGGGGAAATTTTTCGAGGTGGACCCGGCGGACAGATATCATCACGTGCTGATAGTGTGTATCTTATGCCTGAGGCATGAGGCACGAAGATATGGCGACACGGACCACCATTACCTAATGGACCAATACGTCACGGGGTGAACGCACGGGACCGGAAAAAACCGCCTTAGGCAACAAGGCAAACCCGGCCAGGTGTCAGTAGTTCCCCGATCCAGTCATACAAATGAATATGATTCATTATTGATCCAGCCCGGTCGATAAAGCCGTCTCTTGGTACCATTGACATCAGGATTACTATTCTTAAACCATTTGTGGACTGCGCATTTACTTTTCCAGGGAGGAGGAGGATAGGATTTCCGCCAGATAAGGCGGGTCGACAGCGGACTCGTATCAATCCTCTGGCAGACGATTACCTGAGCTAAGCGGCGACTATTGGTCGCGATTGGCAAGCGCAGCACTTAATATCATCATTACAGGACTATCGGGAATTGCCTCCATTCCCGGTTTGTCGAAATTTGATGACTTCCTCGTGCAACTGAGCCACCGGTTCCCACCCAGCGAGCAGCTAACCGTGACTAGTTCGCGCTTTTAACCTTTAGTTAGGGACAAGACGTCGGTAGGTACGAGCGATTGACACGGCCGGGGCCATGGACATTGGACACCTACTAGGCTCGAGCCAGCCTTGAGTCCTGACACTGACACTAACACTGACACAGACTGACAGGGACCGGCAGGACTAGGCGCTGTCCCCTCCAGCGCGCGCGGCGCAGAGCGAACGGTCATGCGTGCCCATAGATCGGGGCAGCTTAGTTTCACCGCAAAGCAGAGGCATCAGAAGAAGAAATATTCGGGTTCCCATCGCTAGGGACCAGCCAACCCTGGGAAATTGCCGCCTTCTTCGCGCCCCTTCGACAACATCACCTCTCAGCCCGGCTGCCGGCGTGGAAACTTGCCTACGACGCCCGCCTCTTTTTCGACTCCCAGACCCCGACTGCCTACCTATATTTTCCCACCTCGCCTTTTCTTCGACTCTACACACCCACACGCATACACCCACATACACACACACCAGTCTCTGCATTTTCCTGCCCGGAAAGGAAAAGACTTTGCTCCCTTTCAGCAGCCCACCCACCCCCACTTAACCTTGCAAAATTCTTGTGCCAGGAAGTCGATATATTCGCCCACCCGTCGTCGATCGCCCACCAGCCGAGACAAGCAGCGCCCTTTCGACCTGCTTCCACCAAGTCGGCCCCCTACTTAAAGTGTCCCATCGCCCTCGTTGCTTTCGTCGTGCGGACGACACGGTGCCGACCTTCTGACCACCATGGCGGGTATCTTTCGAACGATCTATGACTGGCTCCTGAGGATGTTCTGGTAAGTGGGCCGGCGTCCCAATAAGTAATCGCTTTTTCTCCGGAAATGGTCCCCTCTTCGGGCCGTCCCCGCAGATAAGGAAAACATTCCATTTGCTAAGTGTCATTATATATTTCGCATCCGCAGGGCGACGGAGATGGATGTCACCATGATTGGCCTCCAAAATGCTGGAAAGTCCTCGCTGCTGCGCGTGCTGGCGGTATGTCACTTTCCATCTCCCCCGAGTGCGCCACAACCCTATCGACCATGATCGCTAATTTCATCACATAGGGGGGCGAGTTCACTGTAGAGTAAGTCCTCAAGGTGTAGAGCCTAGCTTGACTGCGTGGCGTTTTGTTCGTCTGGCTAAACCCCATCTCAGCTCAATTCCCACGATCGGCTTTAACACGAAACGGGTCCAAAAGGGCCATGTGACGCTCAAGTGGTGGGTGCCCCCGAGTTGGGCTTCGAGCCCTCTGTGTGCGACGTTACTAATCTCTATCCAGCTGGGACCTCGGTGGCCAGCCACGGTTTCGACCTATGTGGGAGCGATACTGTCGGGGAGTGAATGCGATCGTGTAAATATTCCTGGCCCTCTGACACGAGACTCGGTACACCGGCAGCGCTAACCACCAGGCCAGGTACATCGTGGATGCAGCGGATCGAGCCGCCTTACCAGTTGCCAAAGAGGAGTTGCACGATCTCATGAATAAAGAGACGCTCAACGGAATTCCGCTGCTGGTCCTCGGAAACAAGTCCGACCTCCAAGATAAGCTGTCGGTCGATGATCTAATCCACGCGATGGACCTGAAGACCATCACCCATCGCGAAGTGAGCTGCTATGGTATCAGCGCCAAAGAGGAAACCAACCTTGATGCTGTTCTGCATTGGTTAATTGCTCGGGCCAGCCGATGAAACGTTGGCGGCGGAAATCGCCCCAGGTGTGTGACGGGATGGACCATTGTCTCATCCTCGATGGATCAACTGTAGACTGCAAACAATGCGGCTTGCCGCCCAGATGTAATGATGTGAACGACGTGAACCAGGCACATTGAGCTTCAGCGTAACATTTTGTCCGATCTTCAGCAACTCGCCCCAATCATGGAGTCATTTGGTTGGTTATGTCAATGATGTCAGTTTGTCTTTGTGTAATTTATGTTTCCCAGGCGCTTTTTCATCATGGGAAATATGGCGCCTGAAGTGCGACTGCAATGAATGAAACCGCGAGTGCGGGATGCTGTGAATATTATCCAAGGAACTGCATGGTTAGTTCAGTGGCGGAAAATTGGTACGTGAATTTGAGAGTAATCCAGGCCCAGTAGACACATGATCAAGGGCCCGTCCAGTGTAGCATCAGACGGAGGACCAAGACCGGTAGCTGGAAGGAAAGAAGAGGGTACGGGCAATCTTATTTAAGAGCATCCCCATGGGAAAGCAGGATGGCCAACAGGGCCACACACAGACCAACTGATGCGTTGGCATTGCAGATGCGCAGACGGGAACTAATCAAGCCTTCCATGCCAATCCAGCAAATCCCACCCCGCCAACAACACCGGCGAAGATTTACGGCTTCTGGGATTAGTATCACCTTCTGGGCGATTATAGGTAGGTGACTGGCTGGCTAGTTGTCCTCGCTGCGAGTCGGTTGCATGTCCATTGGCGCTGGCCATCTTGGATACCGGGTGTGCTCCCATACTCGGTGTCGACTGAGGGACAACCGAGTGGCTTGGCCGAGGAAGTACACCGCGATCGACTCCCTGTTGGACGAGGTACTTTCAACTTGGCGCACGCGAAGAGCATAGCCCAAGTACCTATTCTTATCCGGAGTACTTCGTAGGACTAGCATTAACCTGCTTCCCCAGTCCGGCCCTTGTAACTTAACCTACAGTAGCCTCGAATCGGTGATCTGGATGACAGGCGAATCAACAAGTTATACCCCATCATCAACATGAAACATGAGCCATCTAGCCCGAATTAGTGCCGAAGAGTGGATTTATCCGTTCATCATGCTGCGATAAGCACTAAAGGCTGTAGTACTTCGCTTAGGTAGGTTGTTTTTCTTAACCATCAGGCTCGATGCTAGATTTTAGTGAGCATCTTGGCAGATTTATGCGTGAAATGCCAGGTTTTCTTTCATGCGCGTATATTATCCAGGGTACTGGAAGCGAGTACGAAAGTCCATGACACTGTTCCCTGCTCCATTTCTCCTCGTTACGTGATATTTGCAGAAGTAAGCTCCGGAAAAGGCAACCGGATCTACACCGGACTCCTCCGTAGTTCTGAATAGGATTTTTCCGGCCAGCCTGTATCTAGGCGAATCATTCATGGAAGGAATGAATTGAGACGGAGTCCAGGTCATATTGCATTTGCAGGTTGACAACGGGAGCGGTCAAGAGGCTATTTTGCTGTCTGTACGGAGTACCGCTACTCCGAGCCTGCCGTGAGGGTTTTTATCTACTCCGTACACAAGAAATAAACACGGAGGACCGAGGCTCTAGTAATACCTGCCGACCGTTCATAGTAGATAGCGCTGGCGGCGGTCCCAAAAATGGCCTTGCGCAGCGTCTAGGTTCTTGGTTGAGTTTCGGAAAACTTAGGAATTGACTGCCAAGGGTGGTTCCATCTCCAATGTTGAGGGAGGAAGACGAATGGAGTGGTGTTGGGTCCGGAGAAGAGGGACCGTGAATTGGAGGTTCGAACATCGAACAGGCACCCGAATTTTGGAGTGGCCGCGATGGGCAAAAGGATAAAGACTAAGATGGCGGCGAAGGGCGCTAGTGCCGGTCGTTGCAGTCACGGGCCCACCTGATGCGATCCAGTCTGCCGAGCCACCAAGGTTTGACTATAGTGGTTCTAGGTAGATTGCTGCTAGTAGATATCCTCTTAGTCTGTCAATCATGGAGGTCAGGCAGGAACACTATGAACGCTGTGCGTAGATCTATTAATGAATGATTCATGAACCGCCCCTACCGTCGGAACTCGGGTATACACTAGCCCACCCTTTCCCCCCCAGTCTGCTACCCTTGTACACATTGTACACAATCGGGCATGTGTGTCGATGTGTCAAGTGGCTAGGAGCTGTTGGCAGAGAAGACTACGTACGACGCTTGTGGGGGGGGAATACTACGTCAAACACTGCCGAAGTAACTTTAGGATTAGCACCAACTGACGGACGCTCTAAAGATTCTTCATCAAAATGGTTGGTTCATAAAAGTAGTCGGCTTTATGCCTGGTTTGCAGTTGAGTTTTTTTTTTTTAAAGGACCATCATCACTCGCAGTAGAACCGGTCTTCGACCTCATTTTATTAATCTTCCTCAAGTATTTAGGTTACTTCCACCGCCGCCCAGGTTGCCCAGCCACTGAGCCACACTGGCACCGGCTCCCAGCCCTACCTTACCCAATCGCCAACCGTCCCCATAATTACTTACCCGTGCAGTTCCTTTCGCTTTGCTGCTGCCTTCAGACGCCCAGAAGAACTTCACTGCTTCTTCCCTTTCCCCCCCCTACCTTGCTCCTCGTTAGAATCCCTTTCTTACCCTGAGAACTTTCCTGGACTTTTGCGACCCTCCTCCCATAAAATCCGTCCTTCTGACCATCGCATACTTTCCATCCACCTCGCACTAGTTTTTATTGTTCCCTGTACCGCCTGATCGACGTCATCTTCCGCCCCCAGGCCTCGGATAGAGAGGTTCAGCCACCATGGGTATTCTACTTCGTCGAGACTGGTACGTATGGCTTGTCTGCCTAAACATCCCTGGTCTGAGGACCTGCAGGTCTTCTAGAATGGCCATCAACCCCAGTTTGTACCTTAGATCGAGTGGCTGACCAGTCTTAGCTATGACACTGTCAACGGCCGGGTGTGCGATGGCAGCACCTGGTATGACTGGGGTCGTTGGATCGCTTTTGGAGTTATTGTCGCTGTGGCACTAACCATCTTCTTTTTCTTCGCGTATGTACCTTTTCCCTAACCAAGAAGTCTGGCGCTTTGGCTGGAAGCTTACAATATTGGCAGATGCTACAACGCTCGCCGTCGGCGCAGACAAGGCCTTCGCCCTCATCCCGGCACTGGATGGCTTGCTGGTCCTCCTCCCACCTTCCAACAGTCACAGCAACAGGCAGCACAACAAAATCAACGACCATACTATGCAGATCCCTATTACCAACAACAACCGCCGCCTCAATATAGCCCCCACCCACACGCTTACGGTTATTTCGGTGGCCAGCAAACAGGAATCGAATTGCAATCACCACCAAACGCATACCACGGTGGCGAACGTGTATACCAGGCACCTCCGGGTCCCCCTCCTCCAACTTCCAAGGTGTAACGCTTGACATCGCGGCCAGTGAAGTGAAACGACCTTTCTCTCCAGATACCAGATACAAGGGGTTCCTTGATCGACCATTATGTAATTACCCAGGCGTCTTTGTTCATCGGTTATTGGGATATGTCGCTCTCTGCGTCTCATAGCGTCAGGCTAGGAGGGGATACCAGAGGGAATGTGTGACGGTTTATGAGTTTCCTTGTGCCTATTTTCTAAGCTCCTTCCACCCATCCTATAATGAATTATCGAGGTAGTGCTCTCTTCTCTACGTCATGGCATGCAGCATATCCGCTCATTTTTCCTTTCTTGCATTGCGATTATTGTCTTGGTTGTGCTATATGATTTTTCTTTTCTTTCAAGGCGATAATGGCGAACCCGGTTTATACCAACGTTGATATTTTACAATGGAGACGGTGCATTCTCATCCAAGGCACCCATCTGTCAGGGACTAGTTAGTCTGCCAATGTCTGCCTAATACAGGTGAATACATGATCTCTCTTCTAACCCGAACCCGAACCCGAACCAAATCGGACTAGTCTACTGGGAGGGATAAAGCCAGGAAGCGGCCAATGTTAACCCCTTGGGATGTTCGAAAGGGAGTCGGCTGACGTCCCTTGTATGGGTGAGGTGTAGGGCATCCCGTGTTGTTCGGAAGAAATCTAAGTACACTAGGGACTCGATAAAATATATTGCGGGAAGGAATAAGCTTCGATGAAGAGTGTGACTGGATGTAGGGATGGTCGTCTGCCGGTCCAAGAGACGCACCCATGTATGTCACTGAGCTGTGGTGGACACCGCGACTGCCAATAAGATTGGCCATTATGCTGGAGCAGCAGAAGTGCAGAGGAGGCCGTGGGAGGGATCGACAGCAGTGGAGAGGGTCCGGCGATGAAGGAAACGGGCGGTTTCAAGTGCTGTTTAGCACTTTAGCCCTTTAGCTAGCCCTCCTCGCCCGGTACAGGGATGGTAATACACCATCCTTTTGCGTGGGGGAACCGGGTATGGGGGCGTAAATACGAGCTGGCTCGCCTGCTTCAATTGCGATGGGCGAGTGGCTCTCCGCATGCGCGCTGATCTCCTGTTCCTCTTTGTCCTCCCCCAGCCAATTTAAAACTATTCGCTCGCTGTTTGAACCCATCGTTTCTTCCTTCTGCCTTCTTGTAGTGCCCCCTCCTTCGGCCTCAGGGACATCCCCAACCAACGTCCTTCTTTTCTGGTCCTTCGTCCCAGCCGAGGAGAACATTTGTTGTCGCCTTGCAGATTCCCTGGCGATCTGCACATGATCGATAACTCATAATTCCCCTTGGAGGCGCGGCGGTGCACTGCTTCGCTGAGCGCACCACCACCACCACTTCATCATTCATTTCCCTTCCAGTCGGTTTTGATCACACGATTTCAATCTCTCTCCTTTCTTGTCCTGCTTTGGGAAGACACTCCTTTTCCAAGAATAGTTTTTTTCCCCCACCCTTGTGCGCCCCTCCTTGAATTATTTTGAACCGCCCTGTTAAGCACTTGCGCTCTCTCAATCTGTGCAACAGTCGCGCAACGTCGCGAATCGAACCATTTATTACGCGAGACCGACTAGCGATACGAACCAAAGCCAGATGAGTCTCTGGTAACCATTCATTAAAATCACCCATCTCGAGTCGAATTGAGTCACGATAAGAACTCTCCCTTCGTGCGAGTCGCTTATCTCACACCGTTGCTTTGCTGCATTACATGATTACGCCAGACGTGTCAGGAACACGCGCAGTACAGGAAGGTTTCCGGACAGGGAACCACCGCTCTTTATTGTCTTGGATCGGCTGTGGGACTCGAGGGATTTCCGGTGGATCTCACACATCTTGTCAGAACCATGAGCCCGGTGGATAAGACACCCGTCCCATTGTGGGCGAGGAGTGTGGTGAGCGATCTCAAATCCGACGCTGAAACGTTTACCAGTTGGGACAAATGCATGTCGAAAGCCTATTGCAAGTATGTCGCGGTGTTTCCGCTGTTGTTTTGCTACATTCTAACTCAACGTGCCTAGGTGGCCTGTCATCGCCGCAATCATCATCGCCGCATTGATTCTCCTCTCGGTCATTGCATGTGTGGTCAATTGCTTGTGTTGTGGTGTGCAATGTTGCAAATGCTGTTGCGGATGTTGTTCGTCATGCTGCCCAGCTCCCAGGAGAAGGAGGGACAAGACGAAGCATTTGGACGATCAGTATGACCAACAGCCTCCAATGCCTGCCATGCCGACTGTACCGCCCATAAATAATGCCTATCAGTCACCTTATCAGCCGCAAGCACCGCCTGTCTACCGCGGAGCAGAGGTAGCACGGTTTGATACACCGACAAGTCCTGCAGGCGCGAAGTTCGACGAGGACGCATTGCCTGCCATGCCCACGTGGGACAACGCCGTAACAAAGCGGGTCGAAGATGGGGAGCCTCACGGAGAAGCAATGGAGATGAAACCTCTCAATAACCCCATCCAGGAGCCTCGCCGTATGCCATCTGCCGCCAGATCAGTCGGGGGTGGTTATATGGGCCCTACGCCGTTGAGAACCGGGACACCTGCTAACCATCACGCTGAGCCTCGAGGATATGATGGATATGATGGATACGGTGGACAAGATGCATATGGCTATCATGCGTCCGGGCCAAGGTCTCCCCCGCCCATTTCGCCTTATGAGCAACAGCCATATAGCGCGTATCCTCCTGAGGACCGCTTCCATTCCATGTCGCCGGCCCCCACGTACACCTCGCAACCAGCTTATGCGCATATGGACTCGGCGCAACCACATCATATGCCTATGGATGGCGCGCAACCGTATCATATGCCCATGGACGACGTGCACCCGCCCTATATGCCAATGGATGCCCCGCAATCCCATTACATGCCGATGGACAACATGCAGCCACATCATATGCCACCGGAATCCACGTACGGGCAGCCGATGCCGATTAACAGAACATACTCCCCAGCCCCCACTCTCCACTCGGCTATGAATGCTCCTCGTCCAGTCCCGTACCGCCAGCCTTCCCCAGGGTTTAACCAAGCACCGCCCTATCGAGGAATGTCTCCCGCTACTCCTGTATCGCCACCTCCCCCATTCACTTCGACCCCTGCGTCTTATGAAACCAATGACCCGGGCAGGCCCCCGAGTCTTTTGCAGAGTGGGCGCAGGCCCACGCCCAACTATTGAGAGATCTTCAGGCTATCCTGCTATTCTAGCCAGTTCCCGATGACTATGATTTTCTCTATAGGAATTGACGCCGTAAATGCGGCCCTGATTCCACTTTTCTTGGTGTGCCCAGCTCTGGCTTGAAAAGTTTTGTGACCTAGAAATGTTGTCTTGGATGCTGTGTGGTTGTGAGATATTGACCTACAGACACATTTCACAACGGACCTCGGATGGAACCTGCGAGTCCTTGGAAACTTCCATGGAAATTGCTCCAACCCACAATTCAAAGGCAATAGAGTCTATTGGATAGTGATGCCTTACCTCAGCATCCGCCCTTTGTCCACCATCGACCCACCACCCCTTTCGCTTCACTGGAAGAACCTGATGACCGATATGCGGATTCTTCAACCCTCTCCCCACCGGCCTTGTAGATACTATTTACCTTTTGTGTTTCTGGCCCGCCATGACCCAAACCCTTTTCGGATGATGTATGCTTGAACCAATGATGGAAATCTAACGAACGCACCTGTACTTTTGGCATGACTGCAGTTTGGGTTTCTGCAACGGGCTTGTTTTGCATAGGAATTTTTGGACCAAAGAATAGAATACCACTGACTCGGTACTCTGTTATCCTGGCTTTGCAGGGGTTACTGGGGAGTGTATGCTGGATTCCCGGAGTAGTATAATGTAGGAAGTGGCATCAATATATATGGGTCGGAGATGTTAGGTTTGTGAAAAGTTGCTAGAGGGAGAACATAGATGCTAGAACAGAATAGCCCACTGTAGTCTGCAAGGTCAACTACGCTAATGCATGTCGGCATATCCGGAGACAATAATTGTTTGCTTTCGAGCGATGCCAAAATGGCCCAAAAGAGATTCAAGGAGCTTGGGCCACCACCATCACACGTGATGCCGAGCCTAGCCGCAGCCGGCTAGCGCAGGCCGTCCGTAAAGCCCGGGCGGTGAACTAATCTCCGCACCGGAACAAGGTTGCCGCGGGCCCGATGAATTTTTTTGTCTATACTACTGAGGAGAGTTGGAGATACTCCACCCACTCGAGATCCCTACGACTCTACAACGACGCTGCTCGTTTTTGTCGCCATCACATCTCACGATGGTTGCAGCGTCGTCGTCTTCGCGGGCCAAGCCCGTGAAGCGCGTGAAGGGTGGGACAGAGACCACCAAGTCGCATCGATTCGAGCCGTTTTCCCAGCGTGTCGCAAAATTGAAGATCGACCCCATTCATCGCGTGCGCCGACCCAGCTTTGGTGAAGAAGCCGATGAGACGTCCTCCTATTTCCGGTCGGCCTTCGAGCACTGGACCGAGTTGAACCTGTCCGACAATTTCGTGCAATTCGCCCGCCGAGTGAACCCGCTGTGCGAGAGCTTGGCTCAGATTCTGTACCATGAGGAGAAGATAATGAACTTTTTGGTGGAGTACATCGAGAAGAGGGATAAGTTGTCGATTGAGCCGCTGCTGGGTCTTCTTGCCCAGTTCGCGCGCGATTTGGGCGTCAGGTTCGAGAAGCATTTCGCGACTGCGGTCACTTTGGTGGCTTCTGTCGCCGCTAGCCATCCTGATGTCGAGGTTGTCGAATGGTCCTTCTCCTGCCTTGCTTGGATCTTCAAGTTCCTTTCCCGACTTTTGGTTCCGGATCTCAGACAGCTGCTAGGTATCATGACGCCTTACCTTGGAAAAGAACGCCAAAAGTCGTTTGTTGCCCGCTTTGCCGCCGAATCGATGTCGTTCCTTATTCGCAAGGCTGGTTTGGTTTATTACAAGAACACGACTCCTCTTCAACGCGCGGTATCTTTCCTGCTCGAGGACTTGCGCCAGACCGCTGGGGAGGATAAGAACGTGGAGATGTACAAGGATGGACTGATGGCAATGTTCGCTGATGCCATCAAAGGCGTCAAATACGGCATCCACTCAAACGGAGGCGATATCCTCAGCTGTATCCTGGACAACATTTGCACCGGCGATGACCTGCAGAGTAGTTTGGGACTGGAGGTCGCAAGCGGAGTGGTTACCAACATCCTCCACAACACTACCGTCGACACTTTCGAGCCGATCCTAGATCTCGTCAGATCATATATCGAAAAGAACTGCACCAAAGGCGAAAAGCAGCACGCTACCGCTTGCTCTCGGCTGATCTTCGTGTGTGTCACTACTCGGAAGGGAACGCGTGTCAAGAACTGGAGGCCCGTACACCAGACACTGCTTCTTCTGCTCCAGAATGCTGCTGGTGCTCCTGGTGCGTATGCTGAAGCTATACCCCAGCTTCTCACCACTGTCGCATACGCGCTCCAGATATCGCCGATGGATGAAATGCTGCCGTTCATGCGCTCGATAATGGATGCCGTGTCGAATGATGAACTCTCGGCGCATTTCCTCGCATTTTGTGCCACATTCTCTGAATGGGGGCCAGAGAGATTCCACAGTGTTGTCCTTCCTTATTTCCAAAAGTAAGATATCGATTCATTGTATCACTCGATGCCAATCTAACGTCTAAACCTAGGTTTGTCAACACATCATGGAAGGAGCACGAGTACGAGCTCTGCTTGTCCTTGCTCCGTTTGAACCATGCTGGTTGCATCACATCCGAAGTCGCCAAACCTGGCTATATCACTTGTCCTGCTTCTTGGAAGTCTCGTGTCAAAGACACGTTCAACAAGCCTAACCACAGCGCCACTGAAGTGTCCCTTCTTAACGCATACTCCAAGCTTCCCAGCGCATTGTCTCTCTCAACAGAACCGTCTTTGATACCTGAGTTGACCAAAACCCTACACGGTCATCTCATCCGCAACCTGAAGAAGAAGAGCACTGATCCCTCGGCTACAACCAAGTTCTTCTTGGGTCAGGGGTTCAAGACTTACGTGGACCTTGCTACCGTTGCTGGTAACATCGACTCTAGTCTTTGGGACCGCGTTAGCAAGGTAGCGGCACAATACTCTCGTCTTCCGACCTTTCTTGAGGCCACTCTGGGATACATTTCCGCCTGCAAAAAGGACATTGACCTTCAACACTCGACTATTGAAGACTTTGCGGAAGACCTGATTTCCAACCTCAGCGGGCCTTCCCACAAGCTCCGATTGTTATCTTTGAGGATTCTGCGGGAACTTGTGCTGGCCTCCGGCGAGGATGCCGACCTTATCTCAACAGCCATTGAAATCGAGGAGAGCCCATTGACTCTGCAAAGTGCTAGGGTTCTGGCAATGCATGTGCGTAAGCTTGCCTTGTCTTATCCACAAGTGGTTTCACGCAGATGGATGGCCAGGTTGCTTCCTCATTTCTGCTTTGGTTTGTTGTCAAAGAAGATGGCGCCATTGTGGGACGATGCTGCCTCTGCCCTTAAGTCGATGAGTGAACTGCCAGAGGGTGAGAAGATTGTCTCGGATCTCGCATTCCAGTGGCTTGATGAGAGAGGATCAGGTGAGGCAGCTGCGGACGCGAGTGATGAAGACAGCACTGAGTCCTACGTTGGTGGTCACTATACCTGCTCCAACACGCTGAAGATTGAGGATATCTCCGCCAAGTATTTCGAAAACCCCGAGCAACCCGTAACAACTTTGTCCGAAGGGTTTGAGAAGGACCACACGTTCTCGGGTGTTATTCCTGCCTCGCCTAGAACCCAAGCTATGCGTGTGCTCAACGCTGTCCCGAACATTGCTGAAAAGAAATCCCGCCAGATCATTCCCCTCTTCCTATCTTGGGCTCTACGCGACGAGGACGACGGCCCTGGCGCAGATTCGAAAGATTCCAATGTGCCCTATATTCCATGGGGTTTCCACGATCGGTTGGCGTTCCTTGGCCTCCTTGGCCAGTTCCTCAATCCCCGTGTATTGTACAAGGCACCGGAGGTCCATGAGGCCCTTCTGGGATTGCTGTGCCACGGTAATTCTGAAATCCAAAAGGCTGCACTCAAGGCCCTTTTCACCTGGAAGTCTGCGAGCATCACACCCTACCAGGAAAACCTCCTCAACATCTTGGATGAGTCGCGATTCAGGGATGAGCTTTCTGTGTTTGTTCGGATTGGCGGTGATGACAGTCTGATCGAAGAAGGGCACCGACCCGAGCTTGTTCCTGTTCTCCTTCGGCTTTTGTATGGTCGTATGATCTCGAAGGCCGGTGCAAGTTCCGGTCAGGCAGGCCAGGCTGGTCGGAGAAAGGCCATTTTGAGAACGTTGTCGCAGTTGCCTGATAAAGAATTTGAGATCTTTATGCAGGTTTCATTTGGAGCACTTGGAGAGCTCGACCTGGTACAAGATGGTAAAATCAACCAGCAGGCTTTCGAACAAGAGCTGGTCACCCCTAGGCGCCAAACAGGTTTGTTGAAGATGATTGAAACCGTCTTCGACACGCTTCAGAGCCGGGTGGCCCCTTATGCCGAGAAGTCCATGCAAGTGGTTCTCTACTGCCTCGTTCGGGCATGCCGAGAGATTGAAAAAGATCAACCAACGCCCGCCGCCGATTCGCAAGAAGGACGCCTGTTGACAGTTCTGCGCAATATTCGACACACCTGTATACGCTGTCTGGAACTTATCTTCTCCACCACGCAGGATCGGGATTGGTCGCCCTATGTTGGTGTCATCTTCCAGGATGTTATCAACCCTAGGATCGAGAACTTTGCAACAGAAACCGCTCAAGGCGTGTCAGGTCTTCTTCGGCTTTTCCACGTCTGGGCTTCTGCTCCCAGATCCACATTCTATTTCGTCCAGCATAATGACGTTGTCCTGAAGAAGGTCGTGGACTGCCTCGGCGTAAATTCCGCTCGTGACGAAGTCAAGGTCTTTGTCATGGACGAGATTCTAGTGCCACTTGTCAACATTTCAACGGGCAAAGAGCTTCAGGAGCAAGAGAAGATGAGCGATATTCCTGCTGACGAAGTTCGATTTCAGATTTTGTCTCCTTACATCGAGCACACCCTGTCTCATCTCAGTAGACTGCTCAAGCGCGGCCCTTCCCGGCCCGTCTTGATTTCTGGCGTGCAGGCCCTTTCTCTTATCGCTCCATGTGTTGAGTCGTCAAAGGAGACATACAGCCTCATCAGTATCACCACCTATCTACTCCGTCAACCTCCGGACCGCGTGTCTCCGAAAACCAAGTCTGGTTTGCTACGGACTTTAGAACATTTCCTGCCCTTATTCGACCCGAAGGAGGATGCTTCTCTATCCCAAGAAGTTTTCGAAGCTGTGTCCTCGATGTTTGATTACTTCAAGGACAATGCAAACAGAGAAATTCTGGCTAGGGTTTTCACGGCATTTGCCACACGGGATGAAGAGCTCGTTCAAGTCGCTTCTCTTTGCGAGGACCTTAACTCCGTGTCCATGAAGAGACTCGAAGTGGATTATGAACGTCGTCTACAAGCTTTCCGGGAGGTCAACGAGAATCTCTGGGACAAGCTCAGCGCCAAGCAGTGGCGTCCTCTTCTCTACAACATGCTGTACCAGGTCAAGGATGAAGAGGAACTTGCGATTCGGGGAAGCGCTTCATTTGGACTGAAGCGTTTCATGGAACGGGCTGTTCTTCCCACCGGTGGCGATGCCGAAGATTTCGAACCTCTCGTCACAGAGGTTCTGTTCCCTGCTCTGCAGGGTGGCATTCGTCAGAAATCAGAGCTCATCAGATCCGAGTTCCTATCCGCTCTTGGATACTTCGTCAAGCTGAACCCAGAGCGCCCGGCTGTGCAGGATTTGCATGTATTGCTTGTTGGTGATGACGAAGAAGCGTCTTTCTTCAACAACGTTCTTCACATTCAGCAGCATCGTCGCCTTAGAGCCTTGCGCCGTCTTGCCAGCGAAGCAGCCAAGGGTAACCTCCAGGCTTCGAACATCAGCACGATCTTCATCCCTCTCAATGAGCACTTTGTGTTTGACGAGGAAGCTGACGAGGCTGCCCACAACCTTATCGCGGAGGCTGTGAACACTATCGGAGCCCTTGCTGAATGGTTAGATTGGAGCCAGTTCAGGGCTATTTTCCGGAGATACCGTGGTTACATGCAGAGCAAGTCTGACATGGAGAAGAACATCCTGAGGCTTTTAGGCAAGATGTCGGATTCTTTGACCAACGCCATGAACCAGCACATCGCCATCAAAGCGGCCGCTAAAGATGGAATGGATGGCTTGGAAACTTCCGCGCCTACTTCTACGCTTGCTCGGTCCATCCCATCAGTCACTAAGGTTGCGAACGAGCTGACGACAAACTTTACCCCCCAGTTGACCGATTTCATCCACCACAAGAATGAGGCACAGATGAGTCTGCGTTTACCTGCTGCCGTCACGACCATCAAGCTTTTAAAGTTGTTGCCAGAGACCGATATGTCAATTCGGTTGCCACCAGTTCTCCTGGATGTCTGCAGTATCCTCAAGAGTCGCACCCAGGAAACGCGAGACACTGCTCGGAAAACCCTGAACGACATTGCTATTTTGCTTGGCCCATCCTACTTTGGTTATATTCTCAAAGAGCTTCGGACTACTCTCACCAAGGGTTACCAGCTTCACGTGCTGTCTTTCACGGTCCACTCGATGCTTGTCTTCACAACGGATGAGTTCAAGCAGGGCGACCTGGATTACTGTCTGACGGACCTGAGCTCCATTGTTATGGATGACACTTTCGGCACTGTAGGTCAGGAGAAGGAAGCCGAGGAGTATGTGAGCAAAATGAAGGAAGTCAAGAGCAGCAAGAGTTTCGACTCCATGGAGCTGCTGGCGAAAAACTCTACCGTCCGGAACTTGGCGGGTCTGGTCCGGCCCCTGCAATCGCTTCTGCGGGAAAAGCTCAACTCCAATATTGTGAGGAAGGTCGACGAGCTTCTGCGGAGAATTGGAGTCGGCCTTTTGAGGAACCCAGGTGTCGAAAGCCGTGATATCCTGATGTTCTGTTACGAAGTCATCAAGGAGACATATAACGCGCCGGTCAAGGTCCAGACACAAGTTGCCAAGACTGCCCAGGAAGAGAACCTGTTGATCAATCTTCACGGATCCAAGCGAGGCGAGAAACGCGGTGCTACCTCGTCTTACATCCACAAATTGACGCGCTTCTCTCTGGACGTCCTGCGTGCCATTCTCAGCAAGCACAGCTCCCTGCTCACCCCGGCTAATCTCACAGGATTTGTTCCGATTATTGGCGATGCGCTGGTCCAGGCCCACGAAGAAGTCAAGATCTCGGCTCTTCGTCTGCTGTCAACCATCATCAAGCTTCCCATCCCGGAGATTGACAGCAACTCGCACGTGTATTTCACTGAAGCAGTGAAGGTGATCAAGGAGGCTCCGAGCACGAACACTGAGGCCGCTCAAGCATCACTGAAGTTGGTCTCCGCCATGCTCCGGGAGAGAAAGAGCACCAAGCTCAGAGATGGACATCTCGCATACCTGCTTCAACGTATTACGTCTGACATCGAAGAGCCCGACCGCCAAGGTGTCACCTTCAACTTCATCCGGGCTGTTATGGCAAGGAAATTTGTGGTTCCTGAAGTGTACGAACTGATGGACCACATCGCTACCATGATGGTTACGAACCAGGCTCGCTCTGCACGGGACCTCGCTCGCGGCACATACATTCATTTCCTGATCGAATACCCGCAAGCCAAGAACCGGTGGACCAAACAGCTCAGTTTCCTGGCTAAGAATCTGGAATACAAGCACCAGGATGGTCGCCAATCGGTCATGGAGGCGATCCATATGCTTTTGGCCAAGACTGGAGACGAGCTCGCCCAGGACATTGTCAGCACCTTCTTCCTGCCTGTGGTCATTGTCATGGCGAATGATGACGCTCCTGAGTGCAGAGAAATGGCCGGCACACTGCTCGGAGAACTCTACACCCGGGCAGATAGGGAGCAAATGAAGACCATGCTCACCCCTCTTCGTTCTTGGGTGGAGCAAACAGACAACTTGCTTCTGACCAGCACCGGATTGCAAGCCATGCGGATCTATTTCGAGGTGGAAGGCACCGAAAAGGACAAGGAGGCTCGGTTCGTCGTGGACATGCTCCCGGCCATCATGCAACCAGTTCTCAAGGCCGAGGAGACCGAGAACTGGCAAGCTCTCTACTTCTCCCTCCAGCTCTTCTCCAAGCTCTGCAAGTCTGTTCCTAACATTGCGCTCGCCAAGGAACGTGCCAAAATTTGGGCCGCGATCCGTGAATGCCTGTTCTACCCCCATGCCTGGGTCAAGACCTGCGCCGCGAATCTTGTCGGCACCTGGCTTGCGGACCTGGCCAAGCACAATGCGGCAGTTGGATACGGTTCTCTCCCGTTGGCTGGTTCCACGGGATTGGGGCTGGACAAGGACGCCATGCTGCAGCTGATCCGTGCCAGTTTGCGCTCCCTTCGCACTCCCGCCGTCAGCGAGGAGCTCGCCATGCAGTCCGTCCGCAACATCATCTTCCTCGGCCGGTGCTGCGCCCAAAACGGCCTTGAGTTTCCCAAGGCCGGCGACAAGGACGCCGAATCGGATGCCAGCGATAGCGAGGACGAGGCGAATGGCGAGGAGACCGAACGTCCAGTGGACGCACCCAAATCCGCCATTCGCTACATCTTCGAGCAGACATCGTCCATTCTGCGTCGGGAGCTGCTTACTACGCGGGCCGAATCTCTGATCCCCAAGACCGCTTCCATCGGCCTCTTCGCCTCGCTCTGCCGGCACCTTGAGGTTGATCAAATCCGGGAATCCCTGTCGGTCATCCTGCTCCCTCTTCTGCATATGACCGACCCCAATATCCCGCCCCCTCGGTCCTCCGACGAAGTCTTCCGGGAATCCTACAAGGGCCTGGTCTCCAACTGCCACGAGGTGCTTGACATTATTCAGAAGAAGCTGGGACCCACCGAATACATCAGTCAGATGGCGAAGGTCCAGGACGCCATCAAAGAGAGACGTGAAGGCCGCCGCGTCAAGAGACGCATCGAAGCCGTCACCGAGCCGGAGCGGTACGAGAAGGACAAGCGGAGACGCAACGACCGCAAGCGCGACAAGAGAAAGGAGAGAGGAGCAGAGCATCGCAGCCGGAGACGCGGCTTCTAGACGAGTGGCACGATTGCATATTCTGGGTATCGAACGGCGTTGGGAGAATAGGAGATCATTTCGATTCGAGTATAGTACAGATTCTTCCTTCCTTCATAAAAGTACAGTGTATGTCCTGGAGCAGAGTGTATATAGTTGTCTTTCCATCATTCCATCATTCTTTCTTCTTTCCTTTCAAAGAGGTATCTCTACCACCAAAATCAACCATAACGCCTCTCCTCATTAGATCGCTCAACTTTTATACAACCACATTATCTACCCCCACCAATCAACCCCCTTACTCCCCCTTCTTACCCTCCTCCGCACTCCCCCCTCCTTAACATTAACACTCCCATCCTCCCAAAACTCCATATCGCCATTCACATACCCCCTCTTCACCTTCCCCCCCTGCTTGGCCAAAATATCCTCAAGGGTACTTTTCTTATCGAAAAAGATATTCAAATGATCACTGATAACATGACGATTCTCGCACGACGGACACCGGATCAACACCGTCCCGCGATGGTATCCGTGCTTGGACATTCGATGCGAAGAACGGTTTCCGCATGGTTTGCACGTGAAGGTGATTTGGTATGCGGGTTCTTGTTCGCGGCGGAGACGGTTCTGTTCGGCGTTTTGGGCGTCGGTTTCGGGGGTGGTGGTTTGGTTGGTTAGGGGATTGGAGGTAGGTTTTGCGGTGGAGGAGGAGTTGTGACGGAGGAGATGTGCGGATAGTCTGGTGTGAATAGGTGAATGTGAAGGATGACGCTGGCGGGTTAACAGGTTGGAGAAGTGCCGTGAAGATATACTGGTAGTGGTAGTGGTAGTTGATGTTATTGTTGTTGTTGTTGTTGCTGCAGCGCGAGGAAGTGAGCCTCTCAGACCCCTAGAAACAAGCGACGTGAATGAATGCATGATGTGATGTGTCCGTATTAAATTGTATTTGTAGGGAGAATCCTGCCCGAGATGAATGATTTGCGGGAATATGAAGCGGACAGGAAGGCAAAAGATGACGATTGATGGTTTGGGGCCGGCCGGAGTTTGCGCCGGACTTAGGTTCTTCCAGGTTGGTTGTTGGTTCTGGACCTCCGCGGGCTTGTCTTTCTTCTGCAACAACTCACCCCGACCAAGCCCCAGGCGATGACTCGAACCAGTGACACGGGGCTTTGGAATCTTTGATTTCGGTGTCTTGTTGTTTTTTTGTTGTTGATTCGGAGTGCAGTGCAGATAGCTGGTCTCGGTTTGATTGTGTCGTGGGTGAAGTTCGTACGTCACTTCTGGCGCCTTTTCCGGAGCTTTGCCCCGCGCGGTATTTCTATCTGGGTGGTATTTTGTGACGGTGAGCGATTATGGCTTTGAGGGCGAGGCAGAGGATTCGCGCCCCGCGCAGGGTGAGTTGGTCTTTTTTTTCTCTTTTGTTCTGTTTGGGGGGGTAGCTTGAGGTGCTGGTGGAGGGGTCTGGTCTCGCTCGGGACAGAGTTCCGTCCGATAACGGCGGCGAGAAATGACGAGGTGGAATGTGCGACGATAAGCTAATGAGATATTGCAGGGTATGATAGTTACTACCAAGGTGGACGATTTCGATGGTAATTGGAGAGACTTGTCGACGTCGTTGAGGAAAATTCACACCAAAGATGCATCAAATCTGTCCTTCGAGCAGCTATACCGCAACTCATATAATATTGTTCTGATGATGCGTGGAGAGGAGCTATACGAGAGTATCAAAGTATTGGAACGAGAATGGTTGGAAGAGGAGGTTTACACGCGTGTGACGGCGTCGATTTCGCCTAGTCTTTTGGTGGCGACACAGCTGGTCGATGTGCAAGATCAGGCAAATGAGAGGAGAGAGGCCGGGGAGAGGTTTCTGGCGGTGCTCAAGGAGGCGTGGGAGGACCATCAGCTTTGCATGGGGATGATCACCGATGTCCTCATGTACATGGTAGGTCTATGTGCTGTGCCTGCTCGGTCTGCTGTGGCTAACGATGCGCATCTAGGATCGAGTCATGTCGACGGATCACCGAAAGCCTTCCATTTATGTTGTCGTCATGGCATTGTTTCGAGACCATGTGCTACGGTCGCCCATTAGACCGGATACCCAGACCACCGTGTACGACGTATTCGAGTCGACTGTCCTATTTATGCTGCAACTGGAGAGGTCGGGGCACATCATCGACCGGCCTCTGATCAGACACTGCATTTATATGCTTGAGGGTCTCTATGAGACCATTACAGAGGAAGAGTCAACGAAGCTGTACCTGACTGTCTTTGAACCCGCATTCCTGGAGGCCAGCAGGAAATTCTACCAGGCTGAAGGACGGCGACTCCTCGAGACTGGAGATGCCGCGACTTTTTGCAAGAGTGCTACGGATCGTCTCTCGGAGGAGACCGAGAGATGTGTGGACACTCTTTCGTCGCTTACGGAGGCGAAGATAAAGGATGTCCTGGATAATGAGCTGATCAAGAACAACATCGCCGAGGTTGTCAAGCTCGAGGGCACTGGTGCCAAAAGCATGCTCGACAATGACCGGCTAGACAACCTACGAAGTCTCTACGTGCTCAGCGCGCGGGTCGATAGTAAAAAGACACCGCTGACTACTGCTGTTCAAAGGCGGATCGTCGAGATGGGTAGAGAAGTCAACGACTCGGCGATTGCGTCCTCAGCGCCCAGCTCGGCGGGCAAGAAACCGTCTGAGGCCGGTGCAAAGAAGCCAAGTGAGAAGCCGGTGAACCAGCAGACGGTGGCTGCGATCAAGTGGGTGGACGACATCCTCAGGCTTAAGCAGAAGTTCGATAATATCTGGCAGAATGCCTTCCAGAGCGATCAGGTCATGCAAAGCGCTATAGCGAGCAGCTTCTCGGAGTTCATCAACTTGTCTCAGGGTGGCGCTGACCCGCGCAGTTCGGAGTACCTTTCTCTCTTCTTCGATGAGAACTTAAAGAAAGGCATCAAGGGCAAGACGGATAGCGAGGTTGACACATTGCTGGACAACGGCATCACTCTCCTGCGGTACATCAAAGATAAGGACATGTTTGAAGCGTACTACAAGAAACATCTCTCGCGTCGTTTGTTGATGAAGCGCTCCGTGAGTATGGATGCGGAACGACAAATGATCTCCAAAATGAAGATGGAAGTTGGCAATCAGTTCACACAGCGCCTGGAGGCCATGTTCAAGGACATGACCATCTCCGAGGATCTGACTTCGAGCTACAAAGAACACGTTCGACAATCAAGTGACCCCGATCAGAAGAAAGTGGAGTTGGATGTCAATGTGCTCACCAGTACGATGTGGCCTATGGAGGTCATGTCTAACGCGAGAAACGAAGACGTCCAGCTTTCCTGCATCTTCCCCAAGGAGGTTGAGAGCGTCAAGCAGAGCTTTGAACAGTTCTACCTTGGCAAGCACAACGGTCGCAAGCTGTCGTGGCAAGCCAGTATGGGCACCGCCGATGTTCGCGCGACGTTCCAACGATCCAATGGCAAGACTCAGCGCCACGAACTGAACGTTTCTACTTACGCTATGATTATCTTACTACTATTCAACGATGTTCCCGCGGACGAGTCTCTCACCTACACCGAGATCCAGGCCCAGACGCGTATTCCGGACCACGATCTGATCCGCAACTTGCAGTCACTTGCCGTGGCGCCCAAGACACGAGTTCTGAAGAAAGATCCCATGAGCAAGGACGTCAAGCCCACGGACAAGTTCTTTTTCAACCATGAATTCCAAAGCCCGTTCATGAAAGTCCGCATTGGCGTGGTCAGCGGCAGCGCCAACAAGGTCGAGAACCAGGACCAGCGTAAGGAAACAGAGAAGAAGATGAGCGAAGAGCGCGGTGCCAGCATCGAGGCAGCCATTGTCCGGATCATGAAGTGAGTCCCTCTCTAGCACCTCCCATTGACCCCTGCTAACAACTCAACAGACAACGAAAAACCCTAGTCCATTCCCAACTGATGACAGAAGTGCTAACTCAACTGTCCGCACGGTTCGTCCCAGACGTTAACATGATCAAAAAGCGTATCGAGAGTTTGATCGATCGCGAGTATCTGGAGCGGGTGGAAGAGGATCCACCCACGTACGGATACGTCGCGTAGTCGTGCCCGACTCTGCTGGCCTGCTTTTCTTTCTTCGCATCATCGGTTTCTTTTGTCTCTTTTATCTGTCTGTTTTAATCTCACACGTGAGAGCATGATCTTGGACTTAGCGGCGACGGCGCACGGTGGATATGAATATCGTTTAGCCCATAGATCTTTCTTGTCATGTCATGACTATTCATTAGCTATTATCTTTTGGCGGAAGTTCTTGCATGGATGGATGCCTTGATGGGTTACGAATTGGGGAGTAGTCTGCATTGACGAGTGAGTGATGGTATTAATATATGATCAAATTGGCAAGATTCAGTATCTCACAATCGTCATACACATAAAATAGACAGACAGACAGTAAATAGGTATCCCACCAACGCCACAAATGCTACCTCCCCTCCCCCATCCCCAAATAAACCCCCGCCCACAATAACACAAACTAAAGAACCTCCACCTCCCCCTCCCCCAAGCCCCCTAACCCCTCCCACCTAACCGCCCAAACATCCCCCATCCTCATCGTCTTCCCAAGCGTCTCCCTCTCAACTCCATCCCCAGGAGGCACCACAACCCTAACCTCCTCCCCCAAACACCTCACAAAAACGACCTCCTTCCCCTCCGGCCCCTGCACCATACTAATACCTCCCGCATTATCATCCAACCGTCTCAACTGCGGCGGAAACGAGCCCAAAAACGACGCCCCGTAATGTCCCGCCAATAATGTCTGATGGGCGTGCAGAAACGACACCTCTTCTTTCGACAACGGCGATGGATCTTCAACGTCCGTGTCTGGGGGAGGAGGAATTGAGTCCTCTGGCTGTTGTTGTTGTTGGGTATCTTGGGATTGGGAGGGCGGGTGAAGTTGAGATTGGCGGGAGATGAGAAGAAGGTAGTGCATGCTGTGGGAGGTGAGTTTTGAGAGACGTTGGCGGAGGAGGGAGCGGATGAGGTATTGGGTTCGGGAGAGGTCGGTTTGCAGGATCGAGAGGGTGAGGTTTGTGGTTGCGGCGTTTAGGGCGGTGGTGGGGTCGGTGGAGGAGGCGGCGAGGTCTTCGATTTGGGTTATCTATTTTTTGTTTTACTCTTTCGTTAGATTTGGGGTAGATGTTGGGGATATGGATTGGATTGGATAAAAATAGGGAAGGGGGGGTACCTGGTTCCTGACGCGGTCCATCATGCGCTCCATTAGAGCAGCCGGCCATGGGAGGAGCTCCGACACGCCGCGCTCGGCGACCCAGAAGCGCGTCAGTAATTGGTGGTCTAGTGTCGCGGACTCTGGGTTGGAAGCGTCCGGGCGATCGACGGAGGCGAGAATGTCGTCGATGTCCATGGTGGTAGAGCCGGTGGTGAGTGGTGAGTGAGAGGTGAGAGAGGCTCTGCGTCGGCGGAGAAGCCGTTGAAGGAGCAAGTGTGGGAGGAAGAAAGCGGAGCGGAGCGAGAGCGGGTCTCGGGATTCGGAGGGTCCGCCGCGGAGACGGCTGCCTCAGGCTGACATCAGCTACGTTCACATAACTACTACTTATAGTACTGCGTACTGCTGAATACAAATTTGACTCATGTTTATTCATTTTTCCAACATAGGAAATTAGTCTTTTAACCTCCACTTTCCCCATACATTAAAGTCGGGTCAGTAACCGACCAAGTTCGTGGTTATGTATGTACACCTGCACGCATCCCTCGTCGCATATTAAGCCTCTTGCTTATCTCAGGGCCAGACGGCCGAAGTAGCGATCGTGCATCAAGATTATCGTCATGCCTGACGAGCCGTACGTCGATATGTACTGTGTAGTACGGCGAATTGGCACTCCCTTGGCATTATACAGGAACCGGGGAGGTCGATTAAAAGACGGTAAAGGAAAAACAAAAAGCGGCAGAAGGAAATGCCAGCTGGCGAGGTATCATAACATCGAGCACGCAATGTGTCGAAAGGTCGTCAAAACAACATAGGAAATCCGAAGGGAGTGGTCGGTCGATGGAAGGAGCGGAATTCGAACTCGGTCGAAAGGTGAAAGGTGAGGTACGGTCTCGTCTTCGGATCAAAGCAAAAACGTCCGCGGAAAATCGAAAACAATCGTCAAAATGGACCGTCTGTCTAATCACCACACCAAAGCTGTAGGTAGCAAGGAAACCGAAAGCAAACGAATGGAACGGGATGGACCCGCGACGCTGGCTGATGCAAAATCCAGCGTCCAGTGCTGGTTGTATCCCAAGATGCAAAACGCTTTGACGCCAATATCCATAAATCCACGCAAGGAGCCAATGGACCCGCAGTGGCCAAATGTATCAGGAATGTTCAAGCCGGACGAAAAGGAAAAGGGCAAAGGAGGACCCGTTGGGTGTGGCGACGCGTCATGATAATCGTAGAATCATTGCGTGGGGCCAGAAGATTCGAATGGACTCAGTAAGACAGCATACGCCGTCCGGAAAATCGTCCAGATCCTGGGCTTTCGGCAAATGGTGAGCCCAGATAACGGTTGCGGTCACCAGGGTTGTTGCGACACCTCCCCGTCGGGCTGTCTTCCATCTGAGGAGAGTGCTGACCAAAGGCAAAGGTTTGGGCGCGATTGAGCTTGGACCGCTGCTTGACCTTCCCGAGGCCACGCTCGCAGGCAAACTCATGTTCCTTGGCGCTCATCTCAACGTAGTTTTGGGGATAGCACAAGGTCCGATGCTCGGCAAAAAACGCGCTGTAGCCACCGTCCAAGATATACATCTCGGGGTAACTGAGTTGCGGGTACTGATCGATGTTGTATGCGCGATCCCGATGGCGAATATATTTCGCCATGATAGGGGCACGATGGGCGGAATATTCGCAATGGAAAACCAATGCGGTCCGCGGTTGGGGGCTGGCGAAGAGTTCGGCGGCCAAATAGTCCTTGTCGTTGTAGTTCACGGCGCCGGTGATGTGGCCGCCCTCATATTCGTACTCGAAGCGGCAATCCACGATCATGACGTGGTCAAACCGATCATTGTATTTGCCATCCATGAGCTCCACGAGAATATTCTTGTCGATACGAGGCAGTGTATCGGCCTGGTCCTCAGAAAAGGTGTGAGGGAGCTGCAGGCTCGGGGTTCCTTCAATGTCGGCGATTGCCGGAAGTGGTGCATTTGTAGTATAATTAGCCTCTTTTTCGACGACAATATCCTCCGGGTGCTCAAACATGCTCAGTGAGCGTCGGCACTGTTTCCGAGGGCGCATCACAGGGTGGGAATTTTTGCGGACCGAGGCCGCGGATGGCGACCCATTCCCGCGGACGTGGCTCCCACTGTTGCTCAATTGCGGTCGCAGTCGTGGATTGGCAAGGATGCCGTTCGAGTGACTCCTCAATGTCGGCCGTTCCCGCTGGGGTGATTCATTGAACATATCCTCCAGCGATGCCGATGCACTCAACGAGGTTTTGCCAGCCTTGCTGTGGAACTTAAAGGGCGGTGCCTGGCTTTCCGGTGCGGGTTTGTTCATGCCGAGCTGGAACGTCTGGGCTTTGCTTCTAGCTAAGCTAGGTCGTAAGAAGGTCGGACGTCTTCTCCTACAGACACAATGCAATTAGAACCACATAGGTCTTTATCACGTCCAAGCACTTCGTTCTTACTCTTGCAGGCTGTCCTTGGGCTGAACGAGAGGTGATTCCTCCAACGGGCTAGGAGCGGCAGACATCATCGGTGTATCCATTGCAGAATCCAGGCAAGGTGACTCGAGTTCGACTTCGTTCAGGAGGCCGAATGCGGGCTTGTGTGGTAACGGGGACATATCCATGATATCCATAGCGGGGGCTGGCGAGGAACAGGGAAGCGGAGGCGTGGTCATTGACTCTGCTCTATATGTTAAGCGATCCACATTCTGAGGACACGTTCGAATGTGAGCTCTTACCACACCGGTTGCTATTCCCGAGCAGACTCGCAGTGAACAAAGACCGCCGGGGCGTAGCCAGCTGCGGACTATGTTTGGTTGTTAGTACATCCCGCCATGGACCACGCACATGGGAACAAAGGGCGGGCAAAACGACCGTACGAACCTTTGATCAATATGAAAATTCTGAGACAGATCCGCAGCGAGGCTAGCCGTGGGAGAGGAGCCCCGAACGGGTTTCACGTTGAAGTAATCTCCATGACCTTTCTTCATCGACAGGTCTTTGAAATTGAAACTGTTGTGGCCCAGTCCACGCATAGGACTGAAAGAATTATAGGACGTCGGTGCATCGGCACGAAAGCAATGCCCGAACATCACCGAGGGAGGCTGCATAGCAGCCAACGGGGATGAGTGCTCCATTCTTGCCGGAGAATGGTGGTTTTCCTTTTCTCGGGTTCACGCCAATATGTCGACGACTAAACGATGGAGTTGCTAGCAGCGAAGAATCGGACGACAGAATCGGTGCGAGCTATCTATCCGGCATACACTACACGGCAGATGTGGTACAATTGGTGTCCTCGTGTCTACCCAGCTTCTTGCAATCCTCTTTTTCCCAATTGTATTGGATCCCGAACCTCGTAAAACGTCAAGACGGCTTCGAAATCCTTCAGCTGACCAGTCCGAAACCGCACTACTCGGGAACGAAGCCGTCGGTTTAGAGCGACATGGCTGGTCTGTCCAGCGGGATCAAAGCGAATTCGAGGACGGTATGGGGTGGAAAAGGAAGTACGCCGGACGGGCAGAGTGGCTATAAGAACCGTAGACCTAGTCAGCAAAAAGCAAATCCTCGGAGCGAGTACCAGGGGAGCTCGTAGCAGGTATATATATATATATATATATGGTACGCTAAGGCATGAGGGAAGAAGTTACCGAAGAGAAGAGGGCTGGACACGGGACTGGGCCTGGGCAGAGCTCGCACGACGGAGCATGGGAATGAGGAGGAAAGAAGCTCTGGATAGGGAGGTGGAGAGGACGTTTAAGAGCTAGGGGAGAGAAGAGGAAAAGGAAGAAAAAAGGTCTGGAGAAAGTGAAGCTGAAGGGATGCCCTTGTTGCAATGGCAACGCAAAAGTGGGGAGGGATCTCCAGATGCTCGAGAAGAGCTTAAGCGACGATGGGTTAGGCTGTGTCAGAAAACCAATGTCGAACCGGTTTGGGCCATGACCGCATAAGGATTTGACCCTGCAAACACCGCCCTACTAACGACTACCAAGATACTACAACTATCTACTATGGAGTCCTCCTGCTACTATTCTGCAAGGCCTGGGCCGGTTCCCATTGGGGAGGGGGAGAGAGGAGAATAGCCGGACGAGGGTTGGTTGATGGAATATGCAGCACCCATCACCTTTTTTTTCCCTCCGGGCGCATATGGAATAATTGACAGCTGTAGGTACTCTGGACTAGTAATGATGAGTAGTCCGTAGGTACCTTGTTCCATACATACGTACATACCAGGGCAGCTCAACCGGTACCATACAGTATCTATGACCGGGCGGAGATACGTACAGTATGTATGTACACTGTATGTCGAGTGACCTTCCGGCCGGGCCAGCAAGACCGACAGCAAGTAGGTACCCGGACGGGACTAGTTGCCCTCCCTTTCAGAGTAGGGCTCTGGGCGCCCCTCGTTGCCGGGACTCCCTTGCCGCCAGCACCAGCGCTAGCCGCTGCTCAGCAACCCCCCGCCTATCAGCTTCCTTACTGCGCCGCCCGCTCCCTATCGCTTTACCCAATCTCGGCGGGCTGGCTGAACCGCTGAAGGCATTGGATCGTGCCTGTCTCACGGAGCAGACGGTCTCCCACTCTTCTCTCGGCCTTCTTTTCTTTCCATTACTAACCTAACCGCGGAGACGCTGGGTCCTCTGTATTTCGTTTTTGACAGGTTTCACCTGTGTAACAAGTCCTCCGAATTGCTGTAGAAACCGTTGCCCTTTTTTTCTGACGACTCGTCAGCGCCCTGCACTCCGTTGCTTGACAGGGTCCGGACTATTGCTCAATGGCCGTTCGTCCCAAGAACTACTACTACCTACCACCTACCTAGCCTACTTATCCTGGCGTAAGCTAGGTTAATCAATCAATCTAGAGCTCGACGACCACGGAGGACACTAACACCCACTTAGGTAGGTAGTAGTATTCGATCAATCCCTGGGCCTATCTGGGAAGAAGGATTTTTCTGGCTTAAAGCGGATCGACCAGTCAGAGCTGAAATTGATGGGGTAAAAATTCGAATTCGATCAATAATATCGTCCCGTGTGTGCCGTTCGATTTTTTTCCCTTTCAATTTTCCACTTTTTATATACATCAGTCCCATGAACCAAAAAGAGAGATCGAATCTAATAAAATCTCCACTCTTGCTCCACTCAGTCGGAAAAAAGTGCTTGTCCGGTATCATTCAGGAACGAGTTCCATGGTATATTTCGAACCTTGAGCAGAGTAGAGCTGTCATACATACGTAAAAGATCAACCCTGCCGTTATACCAGGTTAGACGAATCCGCAGCTAGTCAACTGGCCGCCTCTATTTTCCGCAGTCATGTATTACAGGACCGAACCACATACCTCCAGGCTGCCTTGCTATTGCTACCTAGTAGTTACAGTGACTGATTAGATCATCGTTGCCTTTCCAGGCTCTCTCCCGATCGGAGACAACCACGGCTTAGCCAGATTGAGCCATCCATGCCAGAGGACTGGAACGACTGGAACCTCATCCGAGCATGCCACGCGCTTAACTGCGGTCCAGTAACGAGGGTGGTTTCTGCAGAAGAATCTGCCCTCCCCTCCACCATGGCCATCTCACGAGATGCCTCCTCAGGATCTACATAGGTTGTGCTACTCCAGCATCCTCTTCCCCGCGGGAGACTATGAGTCAGAAACATTCAGGTACCTCCTCAGATACTAGTTAGCTTGATTGCCTCATCTACGGCACACTGATCATGACTGTCTCGGCATCAATAGGTCCGACGGTCCCTCCTCCAGCCTGGATTTTGCACCCCTCTCGCGCACTGTCTTCATTGCGGCCCGTTCTTCAGACACACACCCATGCCCTTACGTTGGCTTCACCCTGCCCACATTCCTGCAGGCCTTGGCTAGGGATGCCCTCCCTTCCAACTTCCCAGAACGACTCAAGGGTGGCGGCTGATAACAGTCCGTGTTGGATCTTATCACTGCCGCCGATAATGAGCTTCATGATGGAAGCGACTGCGCTCGAGAATAGGTCCATGTCTACGGCGTGAGGCACTCTAGCTGACCGGGCTCTAGTCCTCCCGGATGTGGGGTTGGCTGTGATCCCCAGCTGAAGCAGCAGGATTTCCCTTCGCACCCGAGGTGCTGACGACGTCACCGATACTTCTCCGCCACAATGAGGGGCCAAAAGGCATAACCGGGTCATGCAATCTCGAATCGTTTATGGAGAACAATGGAGTATGGATCGTCCTGGTCCTTTCCGCCATTCTGGGTCGACCTCATCGATCGCGCATCATATTGCCTCGATGGAGCTATGGAGGCCCAGAGGCTAGTGCTGCCTCGTGGGCCATGAAAATAGCCCATTCGAACAGGGAATGGCTAGCGTCTTATTTGGCCCCTCGTTGTTACAATTACACCGCCACGAATGGCGAGATCGGTAAGCTCCTCCTACATATCTAGTACGTGCATCGTCGAACCCCATCCTACCTTGTCCCAAGCCGAAGCCCCTCACCTTTGAGACACCGGTCGTTCCCAAGGCTGATCCCTTCCTCCCTCCACAGCATTAGCGCTGGAGGTTTCGAGGGTCCAGATTGAGACATATTCTCCCCTCTACGAACGTAGCCGGAAAATGCGGCTCACCCGCGTTCTCTACGCGCCAGGATGGACACTAGCCCCCAAGAACTATCTGGACAAAGGTCGCTAGAGTGATTACCGATGCCCGTGCTGTTCCGTGTCGATGGGGGGTGAGTGGACAATGGCATCTCGTAAGCCCGAGGCATTGTTCTCAGGGTGGTAATGATTGACCCGAGGGGGTTCATCTGCGGCTGAACGATCTGTTTGTTGACCATAGGCGCCGGGAACTGATCTGGACCGTCGGCCGCGTGATGGCGAGCCGTGCTAGACGGCTAGTGTTCGTACCTCGGATCTCTCGGTGGAGTCGGTGTCGACGGGCTCCTCCGTAGCTCCGTCACCTGAGCGGCCATGACATGCACTGTTATCTGTCGTCCAGGCAGCCCAGACAACTCCGAGGACCGGGCATCAGCGTCGGGCGCTCTGGCAACTGCCAACAGCAGCCTATTAGTGGTCCACGCCGAATGGCCCAGTATCAGCACCAAGCTTGGCGGGCCAGCAGGAAGCGCTGGTGCGGGGTTCAAACTGTGATGGAGCCTTTGATTGGGTAAATCCTGCAGTCTTAGTGCTCGTGCTCCAGAAAGGCTGTCTGCAACTTTATTTAGATACAGCGATATCCTCCCTCCGGACTGGAGTGCTCCCAACCGGTTTCCAGATCTTACTGGCCCGCGTTGATGGGGAGAAGTCGTGATGTCACACTGAGGGGAGCGTCTTGCATGAAACCTTCCCTTCCCGCCCAGTCCGGTATCTGCAGGCCAACATTGTTACTGTATGTACGTATGTATGTGCTGGCACACGCTCGGGGAATACCCTGGTTCGTGAGTGGGATGGAGACTCATTGTTTATCGACTGCCATTCTCGCCTCCAATGTAAACAAAAACAGTCGTTGCGAACCCCTCCACCCTTTCACAGCGACGCGACCGGCGAGCGTTGTCCCGTGACTTGGCTCCGATGCACCGTCCCTTACAAGGCGGTCGGGCCTCATGACATCACCCGCTCCCCTCCCTTGGGAGTCCCTTCATCCTCGCCTTGCTTTGTCCCTTTGCTCCGTCTGGCTTCCTTGCTGCCCCCCGCCCCCAAAGCATCATCCATCTTTCCTTATCCTGGACTGATGGCACTCCTCTCGGCTCGGACTCAGTTTCCTGCCAATTCGGGATCCGTCCGTTCACCCACGATGATGACCCTTTTGGCTCATCCCACCTGCGACGGCACCATCACCCCGTAACTAGTGAGTCTAGACGCGATCGGGGAAGCGATCTGCAGCACTATCGGCTATCTAGCACTCTGGAAAAGGATCCAGATCTTCATCCTCTCACCCTCCTGGCCATGTGGCCAGTTTCAGACAACTTGCCAGTTGTTGCCACTCAGATCCGCTCTGCTTGGAAGGGCGGTTTTAGTCCTTAGCTCTTGCCAATAAATCGATTTCTCATACACGGGTTCGAGCTTAGGAAAGCTTATTCGAACAGGGCTGCGTGATGCACAAACCACTTGCGCTTATCCCTGGGAAATTGCGTTATCTGGGGATGTTATCGAGGGTTACATCTGCCCCTAAGATCTCGCTTCCGTATGCGATATCTCACTAATCAAATGGCCTTATCTCAGATCCTCTCGATATTAAGAAGCGATCGGTTACACCTGGTGGACACCCCTTCTGGCTCGGACCTGATATCGATCGCATATACCTCCCCCTTCTTTAGCACGATCCTTGCCAAAGGCGACTCAACAAACCTAAACACCCTGGTAATAAATCAATAATCCATCTCCTGGCGAGATCATCAAATATATCGCCAACACAGGACAAGGTTATCTAGGAGATTATGTCGGCTCAATAATCAGCACGACATGCAAGTCTATCTAGCATATTGGAACGCCCTGCTCAGCCATTGACCGTTCTGGCGCACCCCATATCGCCACTTTTGGCTCAGCCACATCTCAACCCCAAACCAGGATAGCCCACCAGCCCTACCATCGCTGTTATCCTTGTTTGAGTTCCCTAGTTTCAATATCTGCACGAAATTCCCCGTTGTCGAAGATAATCGCTCTTACACCTGCAGGAACGCCAGGTACCAATTAGACATACATGAACATGGGCCGCCCTTACATTGTTATCTAGCTCCCCCACACATCTAGTCCTGGTTTATCTCATCCCTCTCGGATTGAGTTCAATGCTCCTCCAGCACCAACCCAATGGAACTGGTGTTCTTACATAATATGCCTTGCTGCAGTACGCCAGTGCGGCGCTTCCTTTGTTGGGATGAAGCATATCGCCAGGTTTCTGGATTGGGCTTCAGATTAGGGATAGGGCAATCAACTACTCCATATCGGGACCCTGGTATGTCTCCCACAATAAAACAGGTTGTCCTCAAGTAGTGACTAAGTATATTTAGAGTTGCTCCTACGTATATAATTAGCAGCACATACAATACGCACATTCCTTGTATCCTCGTAAACCATACGATCAGATTACCTACCTATCCATCGCCCAAGTTCAACAGTCGCCACCAAGTTCTCCCCCATCATGAGCCTGACAGGTAAGTTGGTATTCCTCAATGAGCCCCGGGGAATGGGTTCTATACCATGCCGGGTGAAGTCCACATGTTATGGCAGATCATTCCGGCCTGCCTACTTTCTTCGTGAATTTCAGCCTATCAGAACAATGGCATGGCACTACCAGGTACGTACTATCATTCCTGATCGGCTTCTCTCGCCATACCTACTTCCACCTTGGGGGTCTGAAGAATACCTACTGTGGATCTTGGCCTACGCTATGGAAGAGAGACCGTTGGGACCGATAACCTCTCCACCTGTGGACTACCGTGCGCCAATAGAGTATCAAAGAATGCCTCTACCATCCCAGGAACGCACCCACTCACTGAGGCCTTTTTACCAACTCCACTGTCAAAAAATTAGACAGAGAAACTGTCTAACAATCTACTAAACAAAGAAGAAAAGCTTCCCCTACCCCAGAGTCCCCTACATGTTGGCCCTACATCAGCCAGTAATATTCTTCTTTTTCAGACGCAGGGTCCTATCTAACCCCATTCCCAGTAAGGGGCCAATTTCAAGTGGGTTTAGCCTGGACCTGGCAGGGATAAACTGACTGAGATAGGTAGTACCATCTAGTCAGTCCCCATATTGACTTTAGACCTATTGGTATTCACTTCTGTCAGATAATTGCATAGCCCAGTTGATAGTTCCCTCTATTATAGACTCCATAATGAATACCGTGTTACATGGTCAATCTTAACTATGAGACCGAGAATGGCGAAAACTAGAATGAATTCAGCATTCTCCTAACCTAGTACACAGTAAAAGGCCAGCGTGTTGTCTCGGTAGTTTTCCCCATCGATGGATTAAGTGTTAGGGGGTTTGTGGTCGTGATTAACGCTAATTTGCATAATACACACGTTGATTAGTATCCCAAGACCGGTCGGTGGATGATGGGGACGGGGGAATGGGACGGGAGTACAGCAGAGGTTCATCTGATGTGAATTCACTCTTCTTCGTGACTGCATCCTCGCTCTATTGTCCTTTTTTAGTATCGTTACGATGTTGCTGTAGGTGTATATCTCTTTTCTGAAGAGGTGGTTTTATTCGATAGAGCGAAAGGCTATCATTCGCTTAATTTTGTAATAGGATAGAGGCTCAGGAGAGTAGAAGTTATACTGATGATCCTGATGATTTGAACTTATTGAGGAGATTGATGGTGATGATTGAGGCTGGCTGGAGACATAGGAAAGTAAGTAGATGTAGGAATTGCGAACCTAGATCCGACTTCAGGTGTGATCATACTTTGTAGTTGACAGGCTGTCTTCATCGGCTAGAATGGGTGAGATTATAATTTGAGATACTATTTTATTTCGATGTTCTAATGGCTGGGATTGATTGTTGTGTTTGGTGGTGTGGTATATAGTATATATCTTTTGTTGATGAAGCTTGGGCGAGGGGTCGGAATACATTGGGAACTGTATCGTGTGGTGTAAGCCGAATATGGGTAGGAGATACACTTTGGATTATTTTAAAGACTATAATTCATATTGATTAGTTGAAGGTGTAAAGGCTGGTCAGTTAGAGGTCGAAGACTTTGGGAAGTGGTGTGTTCGGTCGAAACGATCCATATCATCATCCATTCCACCACACATCGCGCAAGTGACACCATAAGAAAATAAGAGGAATAGAAAAGCAGCATTGAACTCTTGAACTAATCAATCTTCTCATCTTTCAACTCTCATCATCGAGCTCATCGCTCTCACTAAGACAATGCTCTTGTCCGTACAACTCCCTTTCGTAAGACGTGATGTACTCTGTACAATCCAAGCAACCTTTATGGCGAGCATCACCCCATTCAATAAGGAACTCCGCGATCTCGTTATGGTTGCCTGTCAACGCATAATGAACTGGCGGGCTTCCTGCATCATCCAGGGTAAACTGGTCTGCTCCGGCCTCGACTAGTAGTTCCACAGCGGGGAGGCCTGACGAAGAGGCTGAGGCTAAGTGTAAAGCCGTCCGTCCTTGTATGTCCTGTATATCCAAATTGATATCAGTTACTAATATTTCCTCAATGATAGAGGTATCCTCCTGCTCTATAGCGCAATGAAGGGCCGTCCATCCATCATTGTTGATCGCGAATAGTCTGTCTTGATTCATCTTCTCCAGAAGCAGCTGAACTGTACGCAAATGACCATATCGAACTGCCTCATGTAGGTAGCTATCACCGTGGTTGCTGAGAATGTCTAAATTTCTGCTGGATTTGAGCATCAGATGTATAGCCCTATGATCCTTGTGTTGGGAGGATGCACGCAAAATATTATGAATCGGTGTCCGTCCTTCATTGTCAGGTATGTCCACATTTGCCCCTGCTGCGATGAAATCACGGATGGTATCATAAGTCTCAATGTCAAAACATTTCAGGCTGACTATGGGAGGACAGTGACACACTTCATTCAGAGGTGTGGAATTTGAAGCCGTTCTCATTGATAAATTGATTTCAGTCCTCCCAAACCTGATCAGTTTTAGGATCCGATACATATAATCCAAGTTAGCAGGAATTGCATGTTTTGTTCGGGCTAACTCCCCCGTTTGGTGGTGAAGGTGAGCTTTTAACATGTCAGACGGCCACACAGCGGGCCCACGAGCAAGTACCAGGTTGAAAACATCATCAGGACAGTCAAGCGCTCTTTGTATGGTACTGACACCATCTTCATCCACAGCGGATACATCGGCCCCAGAGTCACAGAGCAGTCGAACAACGGAAACCCGATGACTGTCAATTGCTTCATGCAATGGGGTAAGACCTGATGCGTTTGCTCGGAAAGGATCACCGCCAGCAGCCCGTATCGCCCGTATCAACAGCTTCGCAACTTCCGCATGGCCCTTCGAGCAAGCCATGTGCAAAGCCGTACTTCCATCAGGAGTCACACAAAGAGGGTCAGCACCATTGGCGAGCAGTAGTTGCACAGGAGACTTGTTTCCTTTCAAGGAAGCTGTATGTAGTATTGTATAATTGGAAGCGCCACGCGTGTTGATGTCAAGATCAGCATCCTTGATGGCACGGAGCAGCGGTTCGAAAAGTTCTAAAGTCTGGTGATATAGAACCTCCTCAAGCGCTGTCAAACGACCTTCAAGAACGCCTGGACCGGACTTGAGCAGACATAGAACCACATTCAAATGGCCCACGCGTATTGCTATCTGTAATGGTGTTCTGCCCCAGTTGTCTTTGGCAGTTAAATCTGCTCCTGCTTCAACTAGGGCCTGAACAATATCAGCATTCCCGCAACCCGCCGCAATATGTAAAGGCGTTTTATTCTTGAATCTGATCGTCGCATTGACGTTTGCACCCCTGGAAAGAATGACGTTGATCAAACATAGGTTTCCGGCACGGGTAAATTGATGCAGCAATGTTCCGCAACAAAGAGCCTGGGATACATCAGATGGATATTTCTGAAAGTACCTGACCGCATAGGGAGAGCTCCAATGCCGAATATAGCACCAACAAGGCATAGAAGAGTCACCACATTCGATCTGGAGGCACCGAGCATAGAGCTGGGGAGTCAGGAGCTGAGCATATCGCTTTGCTGAACAGGCAAGTGCGTCCAGTGATCGTAGCTGTAAGAAGTGACCCAGCTCTAAGATCAGCTCTGCAGGAAGGATATCAAGACTGTCAAAGCTCATTTTTTGAAGTAGATGAGGAGTTGATAGCAAAACAGATAGGGGAGGGTGTCTGACTGTCTGTCACAAAGGGTGAATTGCGGTCAAGAGCTTCTGCACGCCTACTCCTAGTGTGACAGGAGAATGCGCACCTGATCTTTGCCAGTGTCAATAAAACACATTTCCACTGTGACGGAAGGTGCTTAGGAATGACACTTAGACATAGGTCGTCTTTTGTGGGCTTGAACCCATGACAAAATTAGAGCGAAGCGAAGTGAAGTGAAGTGAAGTATACACACCTCTCTCAACAAGTAGATCGATCATTAGTGGTACACTGACATGGTGACTCAGGTGGACGAGGAAGGGGCTATTAAATAGACTCACAGATAGTAGTAGTGAGAAGCCAGAATTTAACCCCATGAACACTGCGTGCCTGGGCCCAGAGTGATGCAGGTCGCATGTTATGGCATGGATCTTATGGATCTTCCCAGTGCCAGTGCTCGACGCCTCAGGCCTTGAAGCTTAGTCAGCCCAGTCCCTTTGACTGCTGCTGCTGCTGCTGCTGCTTCAACACCAGACCGTCTCCGATCAAGATCTCACGCCGCAGATGCTTGTGTGGACCTTCTTTAAGCCAAGAGTGCGTCATAGACCGGTGTTCAGTGTCGCCTCAGTGCAAACATCCCATGGCCGAAAGGCTTTCACGGCCTTCCTAGGTTCCCCAGGAGAGACCAGCCCAAGGCCTGAAGCGACTCAGTACCAACTGATTGAAGATGTCGAAGATTTAGACAGGTATCGTCAAGGGGGCTATCATCCACTTCGAATTGGGGACGCGTTAAACCGTGGCCGCTATTGACTGATTGACAAATTGGGGTACGGAGGGTACTCAACTACATGGCTAGCCCAGGATCTACAAAGGCCCAGATATGTGGCATTGAAAGTCATCACTGCTGATGCCAGTGGCAGCACCAACGAGGCTACTATAATCCGCTCTCTTCAAGAATTATCAGACAAGCTGGGAAAGGAGATTGTGCCGCCTCTCCTCGACGAATTCTGGGTCTCCGGTCCCAATGGGAAGCATAGATGCGTAGTCACTCCACCTGCGCGGATGAGCTTGTTCGATGCCAAAGAGTCTTCAAAATTTGGGCTTTTTCAACCCAAGGTTGCGCAATCGATGATTGCTCAGCTTATTCGTGGGGTTACATTTCTTCACAGTCAAGATACAGTACATGGAGGTATGTGATGCTTATGTATGTTGGGCTGTATGGTCTAGCTAACCTTTCCTAGACATTCATCTTGGCAACATCCTAGTACAGTTTCCGAAAGCCATCGATGAACTTTCCACGCCAGAGCTGTACCAGAGATACGGAGAGCCAGAGTCGGAGGCCGTTGTCCGCATTGATAACAAGGCGCTGTCAAGCAGCGTACCTGCTCAAGTGTTTTTTGCTGCGTGGTTTGGCATCCGCAGCGACGACCTTGCTCTTGGTGAGGAGAAGATCATCTTAAGCGATTTTGGAGAGTCATTCAACCCACACAGATCGCCTCGATACTCTTCAAAAACCTTCCCGCTCCTCCAGCCACCAGAAACGAGATTCTCTGATGAGCCGCTCTCATTTGCCTCTGATTAATGGACCCTTGCGTGTACTATCTGGGAGATCTTCGGCCAGCGGCCTTTATTCGAGACATTTTTCCCAACTCGGGACCGTGTGACGATGGAGCAGGTTCAAGTCCTTGGCATCCTACCTTCCGAGTGGTGGGAGAAGTGGGACAGGAGATTGGAATGGTTTGACGAAGAAGGTGAATTAAACATGACGACAGGGGTGCGAAGACGTCACGATGGTGTGCGCAGAACCTGGGAAATGAGGTTCAATCATAGCGTACAGGAGGCTCGAGCTGAGGCAGGCTTGGAGACCGTGACAGATGAGGAAAGGAGGGCATTCGAGGCGATGCTACGGTCAATGTTGAAATTCCAGCCGAAGGAAAGAGCTACAGCACAAGAGGTGATGCAATCAGAGTGGATGAACGGCTGGGGACTGCCGGCTCTGGAACACAGCTGGGGTATTTCTAATTCTACCGTGAGCAAGATACAAGAAATAGAGGATTGAACGCCTCAATTAACATCTAGGATGTGGAAGTCCAAATATTATTGACACTGCGCTCTCCACACATTGGTTGACACACCGCGTTAAGCTTCTCATGGCTTGCATTCCATCTAAGCCAGACGACCAACATTCCCCTGAACAAAAGACGAACGCTATTCAGCATGGTAGTTCGGAGAGACCGAAGATGGGAAGGTGGGGGAAGGAGAAAGGAGCTACCCACCAGATGAAACCCCAAACCCGAGCGTGCTGACATTTGTGTCACCGTGCCAGTTGTACGATGGGTGCGACGTTGGCAAGGAGCCAATTTGGACCATGGCTATTATGCCCAGTCGGATCCCCGCCTCAGGATGTACCAATCGATATAAAGACAGACACGTATGGGGTACCAGGGAATGTTCAATCCCTCGACTCATAGCACAAAATGGCTCACTCAAGTTTTCCTTGGAATCAGCCTTGTCCTGAGGAGAGACAGGCATGTACAGATCAACTTATCACGGAGGCATCCCTCGGTCATCCTCTCCACTCCGCGATCTGCGCCTGGGACGGATCCCTGACCTACGCCGAGCTCGAGGAACTTTCTTCTCAACTGGCATATCGTTTGGTCACTACCGGACGCACGCCGGGCTACGTCCCCATCTGTATCTCACGATCCAAATGGGTTATTGTCGCCATGCTGGCCGTTCTCAAAGCGGGTGGAACGGCCGTGCCTTTGAGTCCATCCATGCCGTCGGGACGGTGTGCGGTCATCCTCGACCAACTTGATGCAGGCATGGCGCTGGTATCGCATGATGTTGCTGAAACCTACCGCAAATATATCGTCAACCTCATCGTTGTAGATCGGGATCATGTTGGGTCGCCCACCGGCTCAAAGCAAGCCATCCTGAAAGGATCCCTTTCCACTCCAACGACCGTGGCCTATCTTTTGTTCACCTCGGGCTCTACAGGAATACCAAAGGGCGTCAAGATTGAGCATCGCCAGCTCAGTACTAGTGCACTCGCCAGTGGCAAAGCAATTGGCTTTGACAACCGATCTCGGACCTTGCACTTTGCTTCATACACTTTCGATGCCGCCATTCTCGAGATAATCTGGACGCTGGTCTGGGGAGGCTGTATCTGCGTGCCCTCCGAGCAGCAGCGTTCCAATGATTTGGCTGAAGCCATAAGCGTTATGCAAGTCACTCACGCCTTCTTCACCCCTCCTATGCTTAAGATGATCCCAGTTGAGGAGGTTCCCACCCTACACACCGTGATCTCGGGGGGTGAAACGCCTGATCCCATAGAGGTGCGCAGGCTCTGTGACCAGGGGATGCGGGTTATACTTGTTTATGGACCCTGCGAATGCTCGGTGGTGGCGTCGCTTCTGGATACAAGCGCAGAGGGGTATCAGGCGGGGGATTTGGGCACGCCAGTTGCATCTCGATTCTGGCTGGTCGATCCGAACAATGTCAATAAGCTGGTAGCCCCCGGAAAAGTAGGGGAAATTATCATTGAAGGACCAATTGTCGGACAAGGATATCTCCATGCTCCAGAGCAGGCTCAAAGTATGGCAGCGTTTCTCACAGATCAACCGGTATGGGCTCCCCAGAATCCCATTGAAGAAGTCGGTCATCCTTTCTTTCGCATGTATCGCACCGGCGACCTGGCCGAAAGCACCGAGGATGGTCGCCTGCGCTTTATGGGAAGAACGGACAATCAAGTCAAGATCCGCGGACAGCGTCTGGAGCTTCACGAGGTTGAGCTCCATCTCGGCAATTGCCTTACGCACGAGGACGGGGTGCGCCAAGCCATTGTCGTCAAAGCCTTGCATGATACATTGGTAGCCTTCTTTCTCATCAAGGAGCATAAGGCGATTGGCCAATTGGTGTGGGATTGCGCCAACAGTGATGTTCCATTGATAGAGACTTCGCCAGTAGAACAACAACGGTTCGCCGCGTTGGTGTCCAAGGCAGAGTCGCAACTCAAGCAGCTAGTGCCCAGCTACGCCATTCCGTCCGCGTATATCCCCATGCACAATATGCCTCTCACGATGAATGGGAAAACCGATCGTAGACGGTTGCAAGAAATGATCTCGGACCTTTCGATTCAGGACCTGCACGGATTCCAGTCTGTCCCCTTGCCGGACCAGCGGCCTTCCACTGCGATGGAGTTGCGCCTCCAGGAGCTCTGGAAAATTCTCCTGGGGGTTGTCACCGTGGGGGTTCAAGATCACTTCTTCCGGCTCGGAGGCGACTCGCTCACTGCCATGAGGCTTGTTGTTGCTGCTCGTCACCAAGGATTGGCGCTCACGACGGACAGCATCATGCAGCACCCTATCTTGGCCGACATGGCATTCGCGACTTCCGTGGTGGGTGATGCTCCTAATCTACACGTCCAGCCCTTCTCGCTTCTTCGTCATGCGAATGTACACGAAGTCCGACACGAGACCGCAGTCCAATGCCGTGTCTCGATTGACGATATCGAGGACATCTACCCGGCCACTCCCCAGCAGATCTTCTTCATTGAGGGTGGCGTCGCTTCACAGGCGTTCCAGCGGCAAAGTGTCCATCTGCTACCCGAATGTGTTGATTTGGACCGGCTTCTTCATGCGTGGACCTTGGTGACGGAGCGTTATGAAATTTTGCGCACACGATTGGTCTATTCACTGACGCGTGGTCATGATGGATACTTGCAGGCTGTCATCAAAGAAGGTCTAGCTTTGCGGAGTGGGAACTCGTTACAGCAAGATATAGCACGCGACCAGCGGCAGACAATGGGTTTAGGCGATGCCTTGTATCGCATCGGGATCATCGATGATGAGATACTTGGAGCGAAATACCTCATTTTGACCGTGCAACATGCGGTGTATGATGCCTATTCGCTGTTCCATTTGTTCACTGACCTCGACTACGCGTATCAAGGAGGTGTTTGGACTGATGATCTGGAGATGAGATTCAATCGGTTCATCAAGTTCGTTGGGGATATAGATCGAGAATCTGCGAAGAAGTTCTGGACCTCCTATCTGGCTGACGTGGAGACTAAGCCCTTTGTTTTAGTCAGGAACGGTGAGCCAGTGATGGCGGACACGTCTCTTAAGCGTCGTATTGCTCTTGAGGGGTCCCTTATTAAAGGAGGACGAGCCACTGTGTCGGTCTGTCTAACCTTAGCCCTGGCCATTACCCTGACGGGCATGCTGAAGTGCAAGGACATTATCCTGGAGGTCTTCGATAGCGGACGAACGGTAAACCTCCCCGGGGTGGAAGATCTCGTCGCACCGACTCTCGCGGCATACCCATTACGAGTAGACGTCAAGCAAACCGATAAGGTTGTAGACTTGATGCGTCGGATCCAACAAGACTTTGCAAGGACCGCTGTGTTCAGTCAATTTCAGATCCAGAATATTGGTCAAATCGATCAGCGACTACACGAACTATGCGCTCATAGTGTCCGCGTCAATATTGTCCCTGCCCTGAAGGGGAGAGAGATGCCTGTGCTGGACCTGCCACTCCTCTGGGGTCAATCCGCCATTACTCGGTCTCTGCGGTTGACATGCAGTCTCACTCCAACTGGGGTGGACCTCGAGGCCGCGTTTGACAGGCGCTTGATTGAGGTGGGAATGGCAGATGAGCTTCTGCGGAAATGTGAGCTGGCGCTGTATCAGATTTGCAGAGCAGATGAGGACCAGGTAGTCGGCGAAATTGACCAGGACGGGTTTCAAGACTTGGCCGGCCCATCAAGCTTGGTGGATTCAATTATTGAGGCATCGAATGCTGCCAAGGCGAGAATGCTAGTACGTCTACGGTTTCCATTTTTCTATGTGTGTGCGTTGTAATTGCTGACATGGTCTGGTGCCTCTGCAGAGTCGGAACCCATATACAGACAAGTCAGTGGTGGAGGGAGGCGGCTTGTTCATTACGCCGTCATGGCATTGAAGGAATGGAAAATGTTAGGACACGAAGCCGAAGAAAACAAGTGATATTGATATGACTAGCTAGGAGGCTTCTGCCTACGCGGGATGGAAAGAATAATAATATAGTGGTTAACATGATAAGACACGTGACACGCTTACTTACTGATTAACTAGCTGTCTAAATACAGCTCTTTAAGCGAGCAGGAGTACTAAAAGTAGTATATATAAAGCTAGACTTTCTATCTAATCAGATAATAAAATACTAATATTAGATAGATTATAGCAGTGCGGAGTATTAAATATATAATAATTTTATTATTAAACAAGATTTTATATTTAACAAGCATTTAAACACAGAGAATATCTTTAAATTAAGTACTTTAGTAAAGTTATCTGTAGGATTCTTCTTTTCTAAAATATAGAATATCTCAATCTCTCTTTATTTAATTAGATCTGTTATAAAAAGATATTAGTTATTAAGTTATTTAATTAACTAATTATAGTAGCTGTAGTTAAGAATAGTAAGTAAGTTAGTAGTGTTACTATAAATCAGGTGTTACAGACCCCTACTAGCCAGGTTACTAGCGGAGCGGACTCGTCGGGCAGAAAGCAATGACAAGGCAGGACTCGGGCAACCAGCAACTCTTATCGAATAGAATCCCGGTTGGAGTAACGTCCGAAGCAGCGCTGTGTCACGTGACCATCTACCATCGGATCTACTATTAAGGGTATACGATATGATATATGGGATTCAGGAACGCGATTAGATCGACCCTTGATCTATCCTGAATGGTATGCGAGATGGTATACGAAGAAAAGGATATAAGGACACTCTTTCATGTACTTAGCTAGTTCTGTTCTTCGTGCTCAATAACACTGTCTTTAAGTAACCATATGTTTTGATAAAGCTTAGCAATAATACTCATCTGCACTTACTTACAGATAGCTACGCGGCACTATCTGGCCTTACTTCTCTTTTCTTGTTCAGGACCAGTTACCTCTTAGATAGTCATCGACCTGACTTATCTTGATTCAGTTCACGGGTACGTATTAGAACGGGAGCTAAGCTAACAGGAACAGGGAGAAGCGATCCTAGGGTTTGACATCAGGATCTTATTATTATTGAAAATTTTAAGACTGAATATTATTACTAATTTTTTAATATATTAAATATCTTTAGCAGCAGTATTGTACATCATACGGATAAAATATCTTATAATTACTCAGCCAGGTTGACCTTATCTCCCATGTGATCACAGCCCTGATGAGATATGGACTCCATATCCATGCTAAGTTAATCCTGTCCAGTCACATATTACTTATATGTTCAATAATCTCTGCGAGCTGAGTACTATTAATACAGATATAAATATATTAGTCTTTAGTAGTAGCTAGATACCATCTCCAGATAATCTTACACGTAATTTGCAGAAGGTACAGGTAAGATTAGATAGATAGAGAGATAATTTACCAGAGTGTCTTATTCTAGAAAATATTACAGTATTGCATGCTCTTACTTTATAGTAAGTAGATCCTCTTTTACTTTTAGAACAGTACCAAGATTTTCTAATTATATAATAAACAACATGGTTTACTATATAAGTATTATAATTCTTTAGAGATTTCTTAAAAAACTAGATAATGCTGCTAAGACTGGCACTGAAAGCATGAAGTTTGCAGTGAGAGAAGTCTATATGGATATGGCAGAATCTGTTGTTCAGCTTCTCTGTATTTATCACGCTAAGTGAGGGATTGACTACATGTGTCTTACCACCGTAAGTTGCCTGAGTATGGCGTTTTTTACTTTGCTAAGCGAGCTCGGTGACCTGGGACATAAGAGCGCCTTCACAGAACTCTGTGTAGTCGCCTGTACTTGTTTCTGCAGGTGGCCTTTAATAAAAGGCCTCATACGCATGTTGCAGCTTTCAGCATGTAAAAACCATGTGAGTCTTCTCCCAGAGACCCACGCGCTGTTTGTTAACTTTGAAGTAACCATATGGGAGAAACATGATGACAAGTGCTTTAAGAGTATTTATCTTAACTTTTGCATGTAATGCAATGTTCTTTTTTTAAAAAGGGCTAAGTCTCCTCGGACTAGCAAGGGCACCGGTGGGTAAACCCAGTAGATGATGACTTCTTGTTTTACCAGCTCATTTAGTCCGGAAGTCAGATGATGATGGCAAGATTTCGTACGGTGACCCGTCGTAAGACGGTGCAAATGCCCATGCTCCTTGTTCTGAAAATCATTTGTCTGAAACATGCTAGGCATAGATCTATGGCGTTGGGACATGTCGTAAGCTGCTGTAGATATTTATAGGTTACTCGGTATTTAGCTGGCTCCCAAGCAATAGCTCCACGAGCCAGCATTCCCTGCCCCGAGTCTGGCCGTGATGACGCCTGACCAGCGGAATCTGAAGAGCCTTCTAAATATTTACTTGAGGTTCTTGTATAAAGCAAGTCTAGGGTCTAATTACCTAGAGGATCGAGTGCACCAGAGCAGAGGGCTGTTATTGGTAGACCTGAGTACTAATAACCTGGGTCATACAAACACGCTCAGATCCTTGGTTTCAACCCAGGCAAATCTCTAGAATGTTCTATGGATCTTGCTGGTCAAGCATCATCAAGCTAGAGATGCAATACTTATGTCATCAGAGCCAGAGGCAGGGCATGGAACACTGGCTCGGGAACTATTGGTCATGTATCATCGACGTTGTTGTTCCATATGCTAGCCCCTCGCCTAATGCTATATCCCTATTAGACTAAACTATAAACCCATATTCACACTTCTTACTACCTCCGGAACCCGCGCTGCTTTGCATATGTCGGCAGCCATGAGTGGCTGGTTCGGAGCTGGGTGAGAAGTAGACTCAATTTCGAGAAAGAAACTCACAAGGCCAGCTGGCCAGCAGGGCTATAACGTAACCAACGGTCGGACGGGCCACACGGTTGGGCGGGCCATCCTGCTATCCCATATAAAAGATGTCTTTTTTGATTCTATTATATATCAATCAATACTACACTTTAGAAGCTCTAACTCTGTAGATAGATTATATATGTAAGAATAAATGTCCCATACTTTTTTCTGATTTTTAAATTTTTATTTTATATAGTCAGATCAAATTCTTATATAATACACATAAAATACAGGAATCGTAATACAATAAGCTATTAAATATAGTCATAGAGATTTTTGAAAAGAATATAAATCTTCTCCATATTATTTATAATCTATATAGAAGAAATCTAATCGTTCTAGACTATAATGGTTGAGATATATTATGTCTAAAAAAGTATCTTTTGTATGGTATTACCAGATGGCCCGCCCAACCGTGTGGCCCGTCCGACCGTTGGTTACGTTAGTTCCTATTTTGGAGACTTTCCAGTTCTGTGCTCTTATCTACTCTTGACTGAGAACAACTTCGGTGAACATCACCTGGATTTCTGTTATACCCCCGTCCGTATGACTCACTAAACACCATAGTTATCACCTGCATGCCACCAATTATTCCCTAGGTTGGACGTTCCGACTAATAGTTAACTAGGTGTGCTAACTATGGGTGGCGATGAGTAACGATTTTCCGGGTCGGAAGATAGTAAAGCCAAAAGTAGCCAATCTCTAATGCCATTACTGAACGTACACTAGCCAAGCACCTTTCGGTCATTATAAGAACTGCTATCTCTCCTCGATGTCTTGGATCAAACACGAATTAAATGCAAACTGCTTCACTCATAAGCCTGAGAATCAAAGGATTCACGACATTCTTAGATTACAATGGCTGTTCCGCATCACCGGCACCGTTCATCGTTGGAAGGGGTGATCGTTCCTGAACCGCAACACTTGACGCCAGAAGAGCATGACAAAGCCACTGAGCTTTTTAACATGATCATCGATTATTTCGAGCCTCTGCAGAAATCTAGCAAGAAGTACAAACCGATAACACTTATACGCCTCACGATGGAAGGGATCTCTGTTGAAGACGAGTTTCTTATTTTCTTTTTCACTTTCATTGAGCACAACCGACTTGGAGTCACAGAAGACACGGAAATTTGCCTAGCTGAGACCTTATCAAGTGTGCAAAGTTTTCAGGGATGGACCGATGAAGAACGACATGCCCTTGATGACAGTTTGGTCAAGTTTGCCATGTATCTGATAGAGAATTTCTTCCTACCACGTATGTCACTGATACATACCTGAAGTGTGGGATACTTACCTTTCCTAGTCAAAGAATTGGCCGCAAAGACTCCTCAACCTACGCCGGCATCTGTTTCTCGTCTCAAATCGTCAGAACCAGCTATTGGCACCCCGCAACGCGTCTCTAATCTGCGGCATCTCTGCCTTACGCGTGATCGACATCGATGTGTTATAACCCGAAAATTCGACGCTCTGGAGGGTGAAACGCGGTACAATACCTATGGAGACAAAGTGACAGATGATGACGGGAATTCTTTACTGCCAGAGAGCGATGACATGACCTATCTAGAAGTGGCGCATATCATTCCTCATTCTCTCATGTCTCTCAGTGACCTTGAAGGAGAGCCGAAACTGGTACGTCACTAACTATATATGTGATCTTTTGCTGACCCATTTGTAAGGCTGAGCGAAAGCATATAGCCCACAAGATTCTCAAAATGTTCAACCCCACAGCTCTCCACTTGATCAGCGGGACTGATATTGACCGACCGATGAATGCGCTCACCTTGACTCATGACCTTCATAGATTGTTCGGTAATTTTGAAGTTGCATTCGAACCAGTCCAGAATCAAGCACACACATACAGAATTGACTATGTGAAGACCAAACGCATCTGGCGAGCCTACAAACTTCCTGTTATCCGCAAGCTCTACATCACCCCCGACAGAAATATCGAGCCGCCTTCTCCTCAACTTTTGGAAATACATCGTGCTATCGGGCACATTCTTCATCTTAGTGCCGCGGGTGAATATATCGATCGAGTCATTCAGGACATGGAAAACTTGAAGGTGGGGCCAGTGTGCTCGGACGGGTCTTCTCGCATTGGTGAATATATCAATTATAAACTTGCGTCTCAATTTGGCTGGACGCATGTTTATTAGGGATTGGCGTGTTGTTGATAGTGACAGAACTGTTTCAGGAGTTTACCAGGAATTATTCATGTTACTCTTTTTAGCTCAGGAAGCTGTCCCCTTCCTGGTCGTTGAAACTGATAGGCGCCGTCGATCCCTGGATTGATAGATCCTCACAATATTAGATGCCCGTCTTTATCAAAACCCTCCGTGCGTTTGCCGGAAGGCATACAGCTGATGATGAGTCGTCACTCTGACCCTTCGCTTTAGGCGATATGGAGGGTACCACTATATCTTATATGTACTTCCATTCACAGTGGACCATTACTTTCCTGACTAACTTGTAGTCCCAACAAGGCCGTCTTATCACTGATTAGGTACTAGCCAACAGGGATTGCCAGTTACATCGCTATCATGTGACAGAATACCACAGAGACTCCCAAGGTGTTTCTTCATGGTCACGCTCTGGGCTTTCATATATATGTAGGGACGATGTGTGGCTACTCGCGAAACAGGTAATCCAGTTCACATCAACGCTGGAGTTCGGGCATCAAGCGGATGGTTGGCTGCACCTCAGTGGCTTAAACTCATCTGGAGGTAGAGCCAACAAGAACCCTAGAACTGACTCTGCAATCTTCGATTCCCTCGTGAATAATAGCATCGCAGTGACGTATCAACTGGATTAAGGTAGTCAGTTAAAGCTATGTTCCGCGTCACATGAGTAGGATGGCCAATGATATTAAGATTGACTAGGACCGTGTACGAGGTAAATCAGAATACGAATCAGAGCGGCCAAAGAACTTGCCAGGGCCAGTATTGCTTTCGAGAGATACCCATACAGGTATCTGCAATTTTAGATACAAATGGTTGGCATACATCCCTCTTTATTATAGCCCTGATACATTGATTGCAGCGCTGCCATAGTATCATCAACTGAACATGGACGTTCTATTTTGTGTATTTAGGTCACGGATGTCTTTATCTACACCGCTTTCAAATACATAGCGAAGGACACCGACCCGAAACCCTCGCGCAAAAGTGTGTTGTGTAAGGGGCAACACATTGCATGGAGCAATGCCTGCCCCAGAAGACGGAGAACAGGCTAGAATCAAGCAAGCTCGGAAATCTCGGCCTCTTCAACAAAAGATTAGAACAAGACGATTGGGAATGGGAAGACGGTATCAAAGTTGCACGTGATGGATTGGTTTATCCAAAAATAAGTCCAGATGGTATGTATTGCCAAGTTTTCTCCGCTTTCTGCTACTCACATGGTGCAAGTTTCAAACGGGGCATTTTTATGCCAAATACTCATTTCATACAAGAGATAAAACGGGGGTCCTTTGATGATTACCTGGATGCAATCGATAATGGCCAAGCTGTAGCTTGTCCTTTTTATTTGACTATCTTAAAATATAAGCAAGCATGCGTCATATAAGAGCTGGATAATAATCCTTTAAAGGCACTGTAATACTAAAGTCCTTGACCTTGTATCAAGAGCGAGATTCACGATTTACCCTTCAGCCCTCACATCCTATGACTTTGCAAGGTATGCCCCCTGTTTAACATGGCCTTTATACAATATTACTAAGTATGCAGCTCTCAACGAGGCCCTTGCTAATTTCTATACGACGTCTTGCTCATCGACGCCCCCAGAAGAATGGTTGGAAAAGAACCCTTATAATGAAGCATTCTTTGATAATTCTGAGGGGTGGATGGACTGCTAGATGAGATCCAATGACGAGATCTCTGGATCAGACTTGATGCTGCTCGTGATTGGATGCTATAAGATGAAGAGAGGACAGTCTCTGGTATAGGAATAGAAGTTGTGCGATAATCTGAGATTTTTTTTGGCATTGCAGTTCCCTACAGATAGAGTTGCTTTCATTGATGAGGATATTTCTGGTATAAACAGAGGTTTGGAAATAACGTGAAACCTAAGGTAAATCGTTGGGCCAGATGTGGCCTGATAAAGGTGTGGTACGGCTAGAGCATATTATGAAGTTGATAGGCGTTAAAAGCAAGCAAAGACGAAGCTGATTGACAGCTAGCATATCTGAGCAGAAATAGTTGCATGAGAAGAAGCATGGCCATTCGATATCTAGACTAACAGTAATTTTTTTTTTCTTGCTGCTTAATGAGTACGGCTTCCGTGTCCGCATATAAGGGAGAAGGTTGAGAGCGGACTAAGGCCAAATGTCATGGTGAAAGCCATATTGGGCTGAGACTTGAAACAGATCTAACATGGACGGTTCCCAGTAGACCCCGAGTATGAAAATATTTGGAGGGAATAGTTGGGGATGTTCAGGACATAAAACAAGGCTCTGGACATTATTTACCTTTAGGCTATGAATATGTTGCCGGCCGGGCTTCAAACTTCAACTTTCTTGACCATTGTCCTTGCAGGGATTTCAAATCCCTTCCAGTGAACCTCTGGCCAAATTCCTTCTCGATCTGTTCCTATTCAAGCTTGCTGTATATCAATTCATGAACGAGATCATCTTTCGTATCCGAGTAAGGCCGGGCCCGTCTGCGGCTGGGGAATGAACAAGATGCTTCTGCTCTTGTCCCTGCCTATAGCAGGCCCAGCGTACCCTAACATGCTGCATGCGGGCTTCTTCAAACTGTGACGCTTTGACTGAGAGATTCTAGGTAGGCTACACACGGTAGTCTCGGTCACAGGCTGGGGCTCTCTACATCCAGAGGAAGTGACTTGTGATTCTTCATCCAACTGGCAGGAAGTAATCGGATCCTCTGATCCTAACCTATCGGACAAGTCACTCTTGCTTCCATCAGAAAGCGGAATCTTATAGGCTACCGAAGCTTTGCAGCTCTTAGCATCACTTCTTTTCCATATACCAGAGAATAATTCATCCGGGTGGAGCAAGTCATCGCTGTTAATGCTGCTTGTCTTGTCACAGTCACTCTCAAGCCCGGTGACTGAACCTGGGCGGGATAAGATTACTGGTAAAGAATGAGCCTTGGATAGTAATATGTAGTAGATCTGGATGAACCTTTACTGGATAGATGGATAATATTATTTATGTGAGGGCTGCTAGACATTTTATTGGAAGAAGCAGTTATGTGATGGTTTGTAAAGGGCTGTTTTTGGTTGTTATTTACAGGGATGGATTTATTATGTTTAATATGCTGAGCTGCTATATTATGAAGTGCGGTCTTTGGCTGGGGGGAAAGAGAAGTGTAAATGTGAAAGTATATAGAAATTGGAGGTTTTAGAGGCAACAGGTGCTTTATGAGGGTTGGGGATGTGAGCTAGGGAAATTGTAGGGTAAAGGGAAGAAGGTTAAGGGGCTATTGTAAGAAATCTGGTGATCTATCTTGGAAAATGAGTAAAAAGTGGGAAGCAGCCTGGTGATAAAATATTTAAGGAAATGGATTATGCTGTTTGTGTAGCCGTGCAATGATTTTTCTTAAGCTGGTCCAGAATATTTATAGTTAGCAGATTAGGGAATGACTTGAAGTTTTATGATCTATAAATAGGGCTTCAACGGAGGTGTATGCCTCCTAGAGCCGGGCTGGATGGCTATAGAGTAAGTCTATGCTTGTACTTGTGTTCACGTGTCTTACGTGCTATGAGTCTGGAAAATAACTGTTGTATTTATTTTGCTTTAAATCCAGCTAATATAATTGACCAGTCTATGGAGTTTGTCTGGAATCACGGTCTACCACAGGGATAATGTAAGGACTATCTATAAAGAGTAAATGCTTTAATGCACGGCTTGAACTCTGCTAAGTATCACATTATCACGGAATATTGCTGAGCTTTAACAAGTAGCCCTACAACAGCAAACAGCCGTCCGTACTTGTAACGTCGTTTCTTCCACATTCGACTAATGACAGGGCGCAGTAGACCGGATGATTGGAGATGAAGGACCAATCAGTCATGAAATCGGTAAGCAAGATGCCGCGAAAATGTGAATCGCGATGGTGATGGTGATGACGGTGACGCTGCCGAATAGCCGGTTGGAGCCATGAATGAGGCACTTATGCTATTGACATGGTCCTCCGAGGCGCAATTTTGTCATTATTCTAAGTAATCCAATCGCATGGCAGGACACTCGGGATCAACATGGACTAAGGTAAAGACAGAGACGCAGGGACAGGCGACCGCTGGAAACGGGTAAGATAGTGTGAGGGATGAGAGATAGGAATAAGCGTACGCTGTAACACGTAATCAGCCTTGCAGCCTGTCCAAGCATCAGTCTCTTTGGTCCTTGAATCAGGAAAGCGCGGATGATAGATGGATACCTTAGAAAGCTGGTAGACATAACAAGATCCCGTACAAACAAGCGACGCATTTTGTATCAATATAGGCTAAAGGGTAGAAAATAATGTATACAATCACTAGACAAAGGGCGGCAAAATAGAGGGAGACAATCCAATTCAGCTGAACAGCCGGTCAGAGCTAAAGGGGTGTATTTCTGGGACTCTGGAAGTGGAGGCGACGGGAAAAAAGGGTGCAGCTGCAATTTCTGGAGGGAGGTGGGGTGGTGAAGAAGGCAGCAAGATTTTCCATTTTTGGAGCAGGTGAGACGAGGGGGCGCGATTGAGTGAGTACAGAATATGGGAGGGGGGATTGAGGAAAAAGAAGAGAATGGGAGGAACAGAGGGTGAAAGGTTTTTATACTCGGAGGTGATGGGCAATGATGATAGTACGGTGTATTGGTGTGATTAAACCAAAAGCGGCAAAAATAACTGTAACAGAAAATCCACAAGTTTGAGAATCATGTCGGAAATTTGTACAGTATATGAGGGGAGAGAACAGTGTAGGAGAAGCCATTATAGTAATCTCTTGTGATTTGTGCTCCAATATACCTGAATAGAATCTTGACTTCTTTTCTGATATTGATCTGAGAATAATCTTGTCACAGTTGACCAAGGAAGCCTATGATTCCTTCTTAACTCTACCAGGAGTTTCTTTTTCTCTGGTAATCATGGCTTCTCTTTTCTAGAATCCTTGTGGCATGTTGAATGATTATTCTGAGTTTTGGGGTTAGCTCTCTGATTCTGTGTCTGACGGTGGGCTGACTGTATATTTTCTTTATTGACTGTATATGATTTTGATAAGGTGTGGAGAGCATGTTTGGTGTATAATGGCCTATTAGGGGCTGACTGGGTTTGGATGTGAGATGGCGGATGATTAATGGTATCTGGAAGAAATATAAGGAAATATATATGCTACTAGCTATGTGATTAAATACAGATAATACTGCGGCTGAAAATCTTCTATGTCTTATCAGGATTAGTGAGTAAGTTAACTGTAGATAGGGCCTTAGATGTGGTTATGGAGTCTTTAAAATAATAGTTAACAGAAATTGAGATGTTCTGAGTAATCTTTAAGATTATGTTCTGTTAATGTCTTTTCTGCGGGTGTTTTCTGTCATCAGTGGTAGTTTTTCTGGTAAAGCTGTCTGTTGGCTGGTCTTCTTTGTTATTATAACTTGTATTAGCTTGGTGAAAATGGTGTGATGGCTGTTGAAGGGAGTTTCTGGAAGTTCCTGCTATTAAACTGGTTGATTAATAAACTGGGATTATCATAGTAATAGAAGATGACTGATTGTACTAGTTAGATGCTGTATTTACTTGAGAGTGAAGTACATGTCAGGGAGGTGAGTTTGTCCTCTGTTACTTTCTGCTAAGTTATGGTTGTAAGTTCAGATTAGAAAGGATAGTGATGTTGTTATCTTTACAATCAGTACTGGTGTCTTCGCTTGAGGCAATGCTGGGTGTGGTAATTAGTGAATTAGATATACTAATTATCAAGACTCTTGTCTGCTCTCCACAGAATACTGCCTCGGATGGTAAGTCCTTAAATATGACTTCATGGTGTTGACTAGGTGGAGTGCGAGGCTTGCTCTCAGATAATGCAGGGTTTAACAAGGCCGGCGAAGATAGCTGAGAGTTGTGATGCTTTGGAACACTGTCTGTTATTATTATCTGCTTTTCAGCCTCGCGTCTAGATAAGGATAACTGAGGACAGTCTGAGTCATCTAGTAAATTATTGACTGTGCTAACAGATTGTCCTGCCATGTATTTATTAGTGGAATCAAGAGGATGAGGGGCATAAGCTACATACTACCTGAGTAGCCTGAGTTGGCTTCTACTGCAGTGATAATTGGACCAGAGCAGACAGCATTACCTCGTGGCTGTGAGCATATGTCAAGCTGGTCTTGCAAGGCCCTTCTTTAGGTAGCTAATTAATTTTCTTCTCCCTTATCTCCACTATCTTCCTTGCAGTCATCGGTGCTTGCTGGTATATCTGGGAGCACCGACATTCTTGAACTAGTTACTATCTAGAGTATTAGCAGGGACTTATCTAATACTGTTACAGATATTTTCCATGTATTAAGAGTAAGCGAAGCATCCTGGCATTGATCATCATGGTCATTTCCAGCTTAGGACCTGCTTTGATAGTCCGCCTCCAAGTCAGTCTCTCTCTTAATCAGGCTGTTTTCTCAAGTAGAGACTTTCTCAAGCTCAATATCAAATATATTGCGAGGAGCAGCACAGTAAAAGTAGCCTTTAATTATGGGAGTTAACATAGCTGTTACAGCGGTAAGAGGCTTGGGAGGAAGGGGATATGAAAATAAAATGGACTAGAGAGTAGAGGGAACATGGTATGACTTTCAGCTGGAAGAAGACAAAGTGTGCGCGGGAGGTTTGGGAGAAGGGGAATGATGGTAGAAATCAATATTATCAAGACTGA